GAAGTATCCAGCGATTATCTGCTTCAGTTGGGAGAGGAACACAAGGCACAAGGTGGAATACTTAAAGCGGGACATGGGGCTCCCTTTAACGGAGGTCCTTGCGTTCCCTTACTTCCTTGGGTACAGCTTGGATCGGCGAATCAGGCCACGACATCTGGCGCTGCTGAGCAAGGGCTATGTGTTGGTGCCACATGAGGTAGCTCTGCCGAATAATAGGGGAGAAGGGGGAGAAGTGGGAGGGAACTTGGAAGTTGATAGCAGGAGGAGGGCAGGAGAGAAGGAAGCAGAAGATGGGGAGGATGAGGGTGAGAGTGATGAGTTTGGGGTGAGGAAGAAGCATGAGTATGGAACTGCATTGGATTCTACCCAAGACTGCTATGCTAATGCTGCGTTGGGGAGAATAGGGGCTGTGGTCCAAGAAGGCGTGAATCAGCAGCAGGAAAGGGAGGCAGTGGTGTGTTTGATTCAGTTGCTTGGATGCACAGACAAGGAATTCGAACAGAGATTCAAAGTCGAGCTCGCACCATTCATGCCGGAAACTTGTCCCTAGTCGATTTTATTGAAGCAATTTAGCCAGAAACTCAATTGGAGTAGAAGATCAGTTGGGGAGGGGAGGAGGTGACTGGGAAATAATGGAAATGTTGGAATGGTGAAGGGAGGGAGTGGGATTGTTATGGAAAACATGCACTCTAGATCCCACCCAAGTTGATACTATCTTCCTAATGTGCTTGCTTCGTCAATTTCAGTAAACGCGTACGAATTTGAAACGGCACGAACGGATTTGACAGACGATCGCACACGACTCTTCGCAAGCGCAGCAACCTGTCGTCGCTTGCATACGATTGGACTAGCGAAATCACACGAAACTCCGCTTGCGACATTTCAGCCTCGGAATGCACTCGTGAAAGGTGTGGCGGTGTTCTGTTGCCGCACCACTTGATGCGGGGGCGGACAGGACAGCACCGCATCACATGGTGCGGCAGGAGGCTCGGGGCGCATCAATATTTTTGAAGGCTCACGCTATCTTCCTGCCCCTCTCCGCGCAATTTACAGGACAATGTATTTTTTTCGTTCGTAGACCGTAAAATCTCCTCTCCTCACCGACCATTGGATAGTGGGATGGCCTGTTAGCAAAGCGGCCAACCAGGACAGAGAGAAACATTTATTCCTGCCCCGCACCACTTGATGCGGTGCCTTGATCCCCACTCTGACCCTGAACCAGGCCCGCACCAGTCCCGCACCCATTTTGCCTGGGAGTGGGGGATTACGAGTGCGTCAGTGGTTCACCGTTCTTTTGGGCGGACGGACTGCACTGCACTCGTTAGGTCCGGAAAGGTGTTCAGTTTCCCGAGCCTAGTATCAAGGAATACGCCTTCATAAATGAAGCTCGCAGGATCTCCGGTTGAACCCCAGAAGAAGCATCAATCTGGTGCAGTGCGGAGGGGTCCGCACCAAGTGGTGCGGCAACAGAACAGGCATCAATCTGTATGAAATTATTTGCCAGCCAGTTTTATCGCAGCTCGGTATTCCCAGTGCCAGCAGAGAGTGTCGCCCCAATTCTGTGAACGCCTCTGAGACCAGAAAAGTATCCTTCCCGTCCCGTTCCATTCGCCGCTGCTATTTTCTCTTCTAGGATCTGCTCATAGTGAGCGACATTATTCCAGCCTGCGAACTGGAGTATCCATGGATACGAAACGCTTCTTTAGCTCGTTAGTTTTCCGTCAGTCACTGCAACGATTAGAAAATCGCTACCGATAATCCGTAATCGGACAAGCACCACTGCGGAGTAACTCGCTGATCCTTTTTTCATCCTTTTGGTCACATCCATCGGCTATTCGACATGGCGTATCCTGCATCTAGGTCACGGCCATCCATCGCGTGGATTGACAGATTAGGTTTTACGCTAAGATACATGACGCAGTCTTCTTCGCCTCGTTCCAAGTCATTTTCAGAGATATCTGGAATGGCATCAACAGCTGTTATTCCTTCCCCGCCGAGCCTCTACCTGTTTGGGCTAAGTCGACACCAACCTGCGGAAAACGCATTCACCAGGATTCGAACCCCTGACCGGAGCTTCAATATAAGCTGTTCCGTTGGTTCGTTAACCAGAGCAGGAGTGGTTCACGAGGCGGAGAGCGCGACTCTGCGATTCGAACCGAGCTTCGACGACGAGCCAGTACTGCCGGTTGTGTCGGAGGCTCGGTTGCGTGCAGGAGGAAGAGATGAGGGAGAAAGTGAGGGAGGAAAATCAGAGAAGAGCGAGAGTAGAGTGACAAGAATAAGGGAAGTGGAGGATAAAGTTGCGGGAGGCGGGTGGAAGCTTGGAGAGAGGGAAGGATGCAAGGAGACAGAGGAGGAGGAAAAGGCAGTGGCTGTGATTGCCGGAGTGTTAAGAGAGAAATTCGGGCCCCAGATTGTGACAGAGGAGGAGTACGAGGGGTCCACAAACGAAAGGATTACGGAAGAGGAGGACGCTAAGGGACGACAGGGAGAGGAAGAGGTGGGGTATGGGGATGAGGAAAGAGGGGGCGTAGAAGCTGAGGGCGAAGAGGGTGAGGGATGGAAGGAGAGGGAAGACGCAGAACCAGAAGCAGAATTGGAAGCAGAAGCAGAAGCAAGTGAGGAGGACGCACCACCCACCACATCTCCTCCCAAACGGCCTCCTCCTCCATACTATGGCCCGCGGGTCGTATCTCCCTCCTCCCTCCTCTCCCTCTACCGCTTCTTCTCCTCCCACCTCGGCATCACCTCCCCTTCCACTGTCGCTTCCCTCCTAGCCTCTCACCCTGCCCTCCTGCGTTCCGATCCCACCAGTGACCTGCTGCCACGTGTCCACCTCCTCCAGTCGTATGGCGTATCCCGTGCTGACATCTCGGCCATCACCATGAATAATGCATCCTGGTTCCGATGCTCCCTTCCCCAAGTTCAGGAAATGCTTGACTTCCTATTGGCTCGGGGTGTACGCCGTACGAGGCTAGGTACGGTGCTCCGAAAATCTTGAAAACTCATTAGCGTGCGGGCTCGTTCAACGAACCTGGACTTTCTGGTGGAAAAAGCAGGGGTTCCTGTTGGGAAACTGGGCCTGCTTATAGAGAGAGGCCCAGATATCCTAATCGTGAGGGAGGAAATCATACGACGTCGTCTCGAGCAAGTATCAGCATATTTTTTTGATGGTTCCGGAGAAGGAAGTGTCAACAGTGGGCACCTGAGGCAACACCTGAATGGGCAGCACGAGGACAAGAATCACCTGAGCAGACTCCTGGTGCACTATCCAGGAATCCTCCTCAGGTCTCCTGAACGCATTGGCAGCAACCTCCGCCTCCTCCAGTCCTTCACTCCTCCTGACAGCCCCTCCGTTGCAATCCCTGTTCTTTGTCGGGCTCCCACTCTCTTCCACCACAGCTCGCAAAATCTCTTAGCTAAGCTCCAGTTTGTAGTGGAGCTCGTGGGGGAGAAGGCAGCGGGGGCTGTGGTGCGCAGCCATGCATCGGTTCTTATTCTATCGGTAGAGAACATGCAAGGCAAGGTGGCGTTGTTGGGCGATCTGATTGGCCGAGAGAACGCTGTGCTTGCTGTGGCACGGTATCCTTTGATGCTGGCGATTAACGAAGAGAACCTTAAGAGGGGTTTTAGCGAGCTTGTGCGAGAAGTGGAAGAGGCATTGGAGGAGAGTGGAGGAGAGGAGAATGGGAGGCAAATGCTCGATGAAGGTGCACGGAAGCTTCTGCGAGAAGTGGAAGAGGCATTGGAGGAGAGTGGAGGAGAGGAGAATGGGAGGCAAATGCTCCAGGAAGGTGCACGGAAGCTTGTGCGAGAAGTGGAAGAGGCTTTGGAGGGTGGCGAAGCTGATGGGTTTGCACGAGAAAGCCTGCCTGTTGAAGAGCCCCAAAAGGATGCAAGAGAGCGTGCGGAGCAAGGGGGGAGTGGTGCAGAAGCAAGGGCAGGAGAAAGACGAGGTTTTATGGGCATTGCTGGTGCCACCGCAGCTCGTGAGCTTGTAGTGAATCTGGTGGTTAAGTTCCCAAATTCCATCTGCTACAGTTGGGAGAGGAACACGAGGCACAAGGTGGAATACTTAAAGCGGGACATGGGGCTGTCTATAGAGGAGGTGCTTGCATTCCCCACTTTCCTTGGGTACAGTTTGGATCGGCGAATCAGACCGCGACATGTGGCGCTGTTGAGCAAGGGCTATGTGTTGGTGCCACATAAGGTAGTTATTCCAGTTAAGTATGGAGAGAGGGAAAGGCACTTGGAAGGAGTTGGTAGTGCGATGAGGGCAGAACAGAAGGGAGTGGTGGAGGATGGGGAGGATGAGGGTGAGAAAGATGAGTATGGGGTGGGGAAGCATGAGCATGGAACTGCTTTGGATTTTACCCGAGACAGCTATGGTGCGTTGGGGAGAAAGGGGGCTGTGGGGCAGAGAGGTGTGATGTGGCAGCAGGGAAGGAAGGCAGTGTGCTTGGTTCAGTTCCTTATAGGCTCCGACGAGCAATTCGAAATGCGATTTAATGTCAAGCTCGCACCGCTTATGCCGTAAATCCCTGTTCAGTTTGATTGGAACATTTCAAATGATGCGAGAAACTCAATTCGGTATTCTATCAATGCATGCAGGACACCTGGCTCCCCCTCTGAATTTTACAGCACAGCTAGGATATAGAGTTGTATGATACAGTGTACTCCTGATAACATGAGCAGCTCACAAGCAATTTCGTATTGCAATCCAAGAGAATTCTGATAGGCTTACAGAATGTCTAACAGCAATACTTTTGCATCTACAGTACGGTACTACATCGACAGGAAGAACATCACAAGTTTCACCAGGATTTTTTACGATTCAGCCTTCGGTGGTTTCCACCTCCACACTTGCCGACTCAGTAGAAACCATAGTGGCATCAGTGGTGGCTGGCAGCAGTGGTGATAGCAGTGGTAATCATGGTGCTGGTGGTTGGTGGTGGTAGTAGTCGTCGTTCTCTCGGTCTTCACTTCTTCCGTCACCTATTCTACGATTCAGCCTCCACAAATTCCTCTTCAGTGGTTTCAACCTCCACACTGGCCGACTCAGTAACAACAGCGGTAGCAGCGGTGGTAGCAGCAGTGGTGACTGTGGTGCTGGTAGTGGTGGTGCTGCTGGTGGTGGTAACTGTCGTTGCTGTCACCTCTTCCGTCGCCACCACACTCTCCTCCTTCGCTTCAACCACCTCCTCTATAACCACACTGCTCTTCACACTCGCCCCCTCCTCAACGCCCCCACCGGACCCACCCACCACCTCCCCCTGCAGCTTAGACACCGGCAGCAGCTTGGTAAACTCGGGGGTCTTTTTCCGGAGCAGGTAAGCAGACGCCCAGTACCAGCCGAGCATGATCTGCACCTCCTTGCGCACGGATTTTGCCACGGAGCTATCGGAGAAGGAGAGGCGCTCCAGCACCTGCTTGCCCGTGCTCAGGTCTGTCGGCTTGGTCGCCTCGAATGTGAGCCCGTCGAACTCGTTCACACACAGTGCCTCAAAGCCCCTGGTGGTGGGGAGGGAGTGGGAAAGGGCGAGGGAAGGAGAGAGGGGAAAGGGAAGGGCGTGGGAGGGAGAGAGGGGGAGGAGAAGGAGCGTGGGTTTGGTAAGCCGAGCCAACACCCAGTACCAGCCGAGCATGATCTGCACCTCCTTGCGCACGGATTTGGCCACGGAGCTATCGGAGAAGGAGAGGCGCTCCAGCACTTGCTTGCCCGTGCTCAGATCCGTGGGCTTGGTCGCCTCGAATGTGAGCCCGTCAAACTCGTTCACACACAGCGCCTCGAATCCCCTGGTGAGGAGGGAAGGGCGTGGGAAGGTAAGGGGGTGGGAAGGAGAGAGGGGGATGAGAAGGTGTGTGGGCTTGCTGGCCTCGAATGTGAGCCCGTCAAACTCGTTCACACACAGTGCCTCAAAGCCCCTGGTGGGAAGGAGAGAGGGGGAAGGGAAGGGTGAGAATGGAAGGGCGTTGGGGAAGGTGTAGGGAATTGTTTTGAGGCGCCTCAAAAGTATAAGATTTTGAACACAGGGCTTTAAAGGACATGTTGGAGGGGAGACGGGGCCAGGGCTTTAAAGGGTAGAGCTACTTACCAGCGAATAAGTGAGGTGTTGGGTTGGGGATCCAGCGGAAGATAACTGGTGTGTTGTCCGGGTTGACGGCTCCAAAGACAATGTAACACGGTCATGATGGAAGGGTGGATGGATGGATGGATGATTGTAAAAACCAGTTTGTTTGAGTGTAAATTACTCACCAGCGGATGAGGGAGGTGTTGGGGATCCAGCGGAAGATAACTGGCGTGTTGTCGGGGTTGACGTAGTACCCTCCTCCAAACACGATGAACACGGTCATTATGGATGGGTAGAGGGCTCAGGGCCATGAGTTAAATCACTGGATGAGTACTGACCAGCGGATAAGGGAGGCGTTGGGGATCCAGCGGAAAATAGCAGGCGTGTTCTCGGCGTTGACGTAGTACCCTCCGAAGACAATGAAGAAGTCATGATGGAGGGGCCGAGCGCCATGGCTGCTTCGGTGGTGGGGGCGATGCACCCCACTGTGAGCCCCATGGCTGACGATGTGAAGGACTCGACCGTTGTGGCTCCCATGAACTTGAGGAACCTGCAAGCATGGATGGGGAGGGGGGCGTTTGGGGGGAGAATGAGGGACTGCTGTGGGGGCAATGCATCATGCACCCCACTGTGAGCCCCATGGCTGAGGAGGTGAAGGACTCGACCGTTGTGGCTCCCGTGAACTTGAGGAACCTGCAGGGATGGAAGGCGGGAGACGGGGGAGAAGTGGGTTGGGGTGGTGGAGGGAACGGAGGGGGCAGGGGAGGTGAGGGATTGCTGTGGTGGGGGCGAGGCACCCCACTGTGAGGCCCATGGCTGATGATGTGAATGACTCGACTGTGGTGGCTCCCAGGAACTAGAGGAACGGCGGGTGTAGGGACGGCGGGTGCAATCAACGGCTGGCATCGTGTCTCTCACCTGGGAATAGTGCGGTGCAGACCGGTCATGGGGTAGCACACCAGCGAGAACAGCGCAAGGGAAAAACGCCGTCACGGGAAGCTCAGCGACAAGCTTGGACAGAAAATACGGGCCCACCGCATACGCTCCCTTGGCCCTCTCCCTCTCCACTGAACGGGCCGGCACCGTGCCTCTCACTCACCTGGGAATAGTGCGGTGCAGACCGGTCATCGGGTAGCACACCAGCGAGAACAGCGCGGGGAAAAACGCCGTCACCGGCAGCTCAGCGACCAGCTTGGACAGAAAATACGGCCCCACCGCATACGCCCCCTTGGCCCTCTCCCTCTCCACTATCTGCCGCTCTTTCGGGAACACATTCAGCGTCTTGGTGATGGAAGCCATGGCTGTGTTGATCGCCGCAACTTGGAGGAGTCCCATGCGGTCCTGGATGGTGGTTTGCCCGAAGCCCATGCGCCAGAAGATGGACCCGAAAATGGCTGCTGAGGTGAGGTTCATCATGGCTCGGACCACGTTGGTGGCGCGGTCGCGAGTGGTTTGGCGCCACGCTCGGACTAAGAGGATACGGAACTGCTGCCAGAAGCCCACCCCGTCTGCATCTGCCTTGGCTGCTGTCAGCCCAAGCTTCCGCTTCGGCTCCTGTCCCGCCTCCCCCTCCTCGTCGTCATCTCCTAGGCTGGACTGGAGGGCGGAGGAGACTGCCAGGGCGGCGCTGCTGCCGGTTTGGGCGGCGGAGTGGGCGGCGAAGGCTTGGATGAGGCGGTTGATGCGGGCGGCGGACTGCGCCTCGGTGTCGGGAGAGGAGTGGTCCGTGCCGACCAGGTCTGAGAGGAACTCTGCTGGGTTGGAGTGCAGTGGACACTCGTGGCTGGAGAAGGTGTGTGGGGCGGTGGGGGAAGGGGCGAGGGGTAGAGGAGGGGAGATTAGAGAGGCATCTCACAACGTCGGGAGAGGTGTGATCGGTGCCGACCAGGTCTGAGAGGAACTCTGCTGGGTTGGAGTGCAGTGGACACTCGTGGCTGGGAAGGAGGGAGGGGTGAGGGGGAAAACGGGGGAAGGGTGTGGGTTTGAGACGTCTCACAACGGGCCTCCGTGTCGGGAGAGGAGTGGTCTGTGCCGTGCCGACCAGGTCTGATAGGAACTCTGCTGGGTTGGAGTGCAGTGTACACTCGTGCATGCAGGATGGGGACGGGGCAGGAGGTTGGGAGAGTGTGGGGGAGAGGGGTAGGAAAATCAGGAGAAAGGAGCATTTGACATAATTCAAGTAGACCAAGCGATGAGCTTTGCTGGGTTGGAGTGCAGCGAGCACCTGTGGCTGAAGAAGACGGGGGAGGGGGGGATTAACGTAGGGTTTGGAGGATAGAGGTGGAACAGAAGAATTTGAGTTGATAGGTGGAGGAGTAACTGGAGCTCTGCAGGCAGGGCTCTCTTTTGCAGGGTGAACTGGAGAAAAAAAAAATCGCCCCTTCACCCCCCCCCCCCCCCCCCTTTTTTTTTCTCATCTTTTGCATTGAGTTGAACTGAAGAATTTCTATCGTTAATTCATTGAGCTCCCTCCCGGTTTCTGCCAGGTTTTGCACTGATCCTTCACTCACCCCTGGTTCTTGAAGTACTCGAGGCACGTGCCCCCTGCCTTCCTCCAGCCCTGAGTAAACCACTAGGCCCCACTTTCTTTCACTCTCTCCGCTTCCCAATGCACCCTCACACTCACCCCTGGTTCTTGAAGTGCTCAAGCACGTGTCCCCTGCCGGCCCCGAGTATACGACTCCCACCTCGTCTCCCCCTCTCGTTTCCCCCCTGCATTTCCACTTCATCCTCCTCTCTACTCCTCTCACCCCTGGTTCTTGAAGTGGTCCAGGCAAGTGCCCCCAGCAAGCCCCGAGTAGACGAGCTTGCTCAACCCTTCCTCCCTCTCCTTCCCTCTCAGCTCAATCTCCTCTCACCCCTGGTTCTTAAAGTGCCCCAGGCATGTGTTGCCTGCCGGCCCCGAGTAGACCACTCCCCAGTCCCTCTCCCCCACTCCTCCCCCACCCACCTGCACCCTCACACTCACCCCTGGTCCTTGAAGTACTCAAGACACGCGTCCCCTGCCGGCCCCGAGTAGACAAGCTTGCCGCCCGCAACCACCATGATGTCATCAAACATGTCAAACACGCTGCCACGTGGCTGATGGATACTGGTGGATGGACGAGGGCGGGAGGGGGAGAGGGGAAGGCGGGGGGTTTAGATTGCAGATCAGATGAAAGAAGGGAGGGCATAAGAGAATGTGAAAAAGGAGAGATGAATGCTTCAAGGGGGAAGGGGTGGGCTGGAAGGGGCGGGGCGATGGAGGAAGGGAGAGGACGAGAGTAAGGAGAGGCGGATTTGAAAAGGGAACAGCACTCTCTCTCCATTTCCCCACAATCCCCTCACAATTCACGCCCTCCTATGCAAATAATAGTGCGGCCCTCCGTAGCAAGGTCCTTGAGCGTCTGCATGACCTTCTCCGCCTGCTACGCGTCCAGCCCCGTGGTGGGCTCGTCCGCGAATACCCTCATGCCACACCCTCACTCCCTGCAGTCCCCTCTCAACGCAGGCAGCGCTCACCTGCAGATGACGGTGCGGCCCTCCGTAGCAAGGTCTTTCAGCGTCTGCATGACCTTCTCCGCCTGGTACGCGTCCAGCCCCGTGGTGGGCTCGTCTGCAAACACCACGGACGGGTTGCCCAGCAGCTCGCACGCGATGGACAGCCGCTTCTTCTCGCCCCCGCTGATGCCGCGCGTCTTGTTGTCGCCCACTATTGTGCCCGCCGCGTTCACCTGCATGGAGGGGAGGGATGGGAGGGGCCGGCTTGATGGGAATCAGGTCGGTTTTCGTCGTCTCCCACTGGCTGGCACTCACTGGTTTTGACGACTTCATTTTGACTGGCTGATTCTGATCAGTCACAGCCTGAGCCTGGAGGCTCAGGTGTAGCAACTGCAGCACCCCTTTGCGTGCTGCTCCTTCTCGTCATGATGTATAAAAATTCTCATCCATATTCTCCATACAACAGCCAACATCCAATAATAACTCACCAGCCCCAGGTGCTGCAGCAGCTCCTCCACGTGCTGTTCCTTCTCCTCGTATTTTGAAACATCTCACGTCCATTTTTTCCTCGTCCATACGATAGGCAGCATAAGACTCACCAGCCCCAGGTGCTGCAGCAGCTCCTCCACGTGCTGTTCCTTCTCCTCGTATTTTGAAACATCTCACGTCCATTTTTTCCTCGTTCATACGATAGGCAGCATAAGACTCACCAGCCCCAGGTGCTGCAGCAGCTCCTCCACGTGCTGCTCCTTCTCCGCGTCCGACATGGACGACGGCAGCTGCAGCTTCGCGGCCGTCACCAGCGTCTCCCGCACCGTCAGCTGTGAGAAGAAAATGTCCTCCTGCCGGACGTACACCTGCCTGCATTCCGGGTAGACCGTGGAGGAAAAAAAAAGGGCAAAGACTCAGGCGCAAATCTGCGTAGGGGTACTACGATCGTAGGCGTCGGCGTTCGCAGGGGTTTCTGACCGAAGATTTATCAAGGCGCTGCACGTTGCGAGAAACAGCTGCTGAAGCAAACCACTCAAGGCCCATTCTGCGTCTTTCGAGCGCAAAGGTGGATAGCAGTGCATGCGTCGGACTGAAAGAGCTCACTTGTGCCATGAGTCCGCGATGGGGATGCCATTAGCGCGGATGGATCCGTAGAGCGCGATCTTGCTGCTCTTAGGCAGCTGGCCGGCCAGGGTGTTGAGCAGCGTCGTCTTGCCGGACCCCGACGGTCCCATGATCGCCAGCAGGCGACCGGACCTCGCGCTGCCATTCAGCCCGTCCAACAGCTTCTTCACCTGCGGGTAAAGAGCAACAGGGTCATTCTAAGGATCCTCGGACAGCAGTGTCTGTCTTGCCGGACACCGACGGGTCCATGATGGCCAGCAGGCGACCGGGCCTCGCTCTGCCATTTAAACCGTTCAGCAACTTCGTCACCAGCCATTGATTGGGACTCTATTATTAAGGTCAGTGACCTTAAATATATCTAGAAAGCAGGCTTGGTCGAATAATTTCAAGAGGTTGCCAGCCATGTCCGAATGTGACTGAGCTGTCTCAAGACACTCTGTTTTCTAAACTGACATTGTCGTACCTCTTCTCCCTTCTTATCAAGGAGCTGGCACGTGATGTCGCTCCATTCAAGCTTCACGCCACGGTCGGGGTCGCCGGCGACAAACGACTTATGTCGCACAGCCTTTCCCTTCTTCTTACCGCCGCGCACCAGGCTTCCGACAGCACTAACCGCGACAATTATCGTGCGGTGCTGAGGGAATGCAGCGTAAGCCGCGACACTGACAATGAAACCCCAGGGAACCATTCTTATCGCTGTATAGAGACAATCACGCACAGGGAACGAACCCTAGTCTAGTCTTCAAACAGGAGAAGACAGCACCAGAAAGGGAAACCAGGAAGAAGATTGAAAAGGCTGGTGAAATGGTGCTCGTTTGCCTTGGGATTTGAAATTGGAGATGGCGATGGGGCAAGAAAGGGAGGCGAGAGGAATGAACGGTTATTCTCTTGAGATTGTCGCTGTTTGCGACAGGGTGGCGAATCGAACAATGTCGTAAATGCCAAGGCTGCATAGACATTGGCGAACAGATGGGATGAGAGAACCAGCAAACGTGGCAGGGCGCCTGGATTTCCGGGTTGCCAGCTTGTCCTTCTGGATGTCTGCGATTCTTTACAATCATGTCCTGAGCACCCTTTGAGCCAACTTTCTCTGAGAAACGTAACATTGAATGAAAAGAATATGCACTTTCTAGAGCTTACCCTCCTACCCCAGCTTCTCTAACTTCTTGGTCTTTGTCGAAGTAAAGCCGAAATGAAATCAAACAAAATGCCTTTCCGGTTGCAAAAAAAACAGGTGTTACGATTTAAATATAGTACGGTAACTATTTCACTAGTGTGCAGGTGCAGCAACAAGTGGTTGCGCACTTGCTTGAACTTCCAAACTTATCCTTATATTGTCATCCTCCGGGTGGCCTTGCCGAGCCTGCGTTGCTGAACCTTGCACTTGAACCCCAGCGCTCGATCTGTGAACACTCGCCTCTTGAATGGTGGATTCAGAAGATGCGTGTGACAAGAGCTGGATATCACTTGCCATCTCCAAATCATTTGTCGACGAGGATGATGACGAGGAGGCAGATAAGGCGGTTGCCTCTGCTTCGGGTGTTTTCTTCGGGGTTCGAGCGATGCGCTTGCAGACAGGGCAGAAGGGCTGTCGGGTTGTAAGCCACTCGTCCACGCACTCGGTGTGGAACTCTGCACGGGGGAAGAAATGGGTGACAAGGAAAAAAAAAACACACACACACAAAAAAAACGTTACGAAAGCATGAAGTGATGAATGAGAGGGTCTCTGGTGCAAGATGACATGGGAGCAGAAGCAAGGAAAGGAAGGAGAATCAACTGTGAGTATGACATTGGGTAGTAACCCGGTCCCCCTCTTTGTACAAAGCACTGTCGTTCTTTCCACCTCCTCATCTTAGCAACACTTACCGTGACTGCATGGCAGGACTCTCAGCCGGTCCCCACACTCATAGTCCTCCAGGCAAATCGCACATGTCTCCCACGTGCTTCTGTAAATCACCTCCTCCTCCCCATCCCCTTCCTCCTCCTCTCCCTCTGCACTGCGGAAAGACACTCTGCTTCGCACACTGCTCTGCCGACTCAGCTCCACACCAGGAAAGCCACCCAAATCCACGTCTCCCCGTTGGATATAGTCACACGAGGGCCTCCGCCCTTCCGTTTTTATCACAATATCTGCCTGATGCTTCCCCTTGAGTTTCTCCTGACTACTCCCATCTGCTTTTTCAGCCTCTTCCTTCCTGTCAGCCTCCTCCTTTTCAACCCCTTCACCACCATCCCCCTTGCTGCTGCTGCCGTCCTTCTTTCCAGCATCTGCCCGTTTGAGACTCGGCAGCCCCAGAAAAGTTTTCTCGGGCAGCGCCATAACCTCCTCCAAAGTCATTTTCGCCGGCGAAGCGGTCAGCTGAATGGGCAGAAAAGCCGGACTAACCCCCGCCTCTGCCGCCGCTCCCGCCACCGCATTCCGAATCCTATACCGGCAGACGCAGAGAAACGCGAGGAGCATTATGCCTATGGCAAGGAGGGAGGAGATCCAGATGATAAAGGACCAGGAGTAGGCAGAGGTGGTGTAGTAGGGCTGTGCGGGGTAGAGGATGGCTATGGACTCAGGGTAGGGCTGTATGACCGAGAGAATGGTGGATGCGTCTTCTAGCGAGATGAAGGCGGAGGGGATTGTTATGCCCATGCGCTGATTCTCCGTCACTGGGGGAATCCGGGGGGGGGGGGGGGGGAGGGGGGAAAGCAGGGGGGACGGGGGGCGGGGGTAACAGGGGTAGGGGAGGGGAGGGGGGGATGGGGACGTTTGAGTTACTCAGATGTATCATGTATCACAGGGTGGATGTGTCTTCTAGAGAGATGAAGGCGGAGGGAATCACGATGCCCGTGCGCTGGTTCTCCGTCACTGGGAAAAGGCGGGGAGGGGTGGAGGGGAAGGTGGAAGAATTGGGGAGTGAAGGGAGGCAGAGAGTCGGAAATGGGTCATTGGGGGATCTAGGCCATGGCGCAATGGGGGACTTCGGAAACTGGGAAAAGGGCGAACTGGGGCAATGGACGGCAACGGGGAAACGCAGAGGATGCGAGGGGTTTGCTAGTGAAGGTGAAGGGACAAGCAACGCAAGTTGTGTGAGAATAGTGATCACTTACTTATAGCGAGGACTTGGTTGGATTCGTTATTGTACACGACGGCCGCAGCAAAGCCCGCAAATTGCGCGTTCTGCACCTTCCGCCCGAAGGAGCAGTCTCCGCGCGCGATCAGCGCGAACTGGACGGTGCCGGGCGGCACGCGGTTCTGAATTGGCTGGCATGCGTTGGCGGGTAGCGTCGGATACAGCCGTCCCCAGAGGCCGCTGAACGGGATGACGGGGCCTGAAGAGGAGTACGAGGGAGTAAGGAGGAGTATGAGGGAGTGCAACGGAGTGAGAGCAGCAGAATGGAAGAGTTAGGCAAAAAAACATCAATGGTGAGTCGAGACAGAAGGAGGGCGCGCGGTGGCGAGGCGAAGGCAGGGAGCGAGGGAGGGGCAAGGATCGGGGCGGGGAGGAGGGGAACGTGGAGGTGGAAAGGGAGAGGCAAGTGGGGCCGGAGAGGGAAGAGGGGACGAGTGATGGGGGCAAGGCGAGGGAGGGAGGGAGGGCCTATACTAGGCGGCCAACCTCCCCTTGCTCTGGCAGCGCATGGAGGCCGATGTCGAAGAGCTTACCGAAGTCGGCGTCAGTGGAGGCGAAGGAGTAGCCGAGCTGCTGTGGCGACTTGAGGCGCAGGAGACCCGCGGCGACGGGCGCGAGGCGGAGCAGCGCGACGAGCAGCAGCAGGGGGAGGGGGAGACTGCGCAGGCCGCGAGGGAGATTGCGCAAGCCGCGGGAATGGCATCGGGGGAGCGGCGGAGGAGCGGGGTTGGCGGAGCTGGGGGGCGCGAGACGGCGCGCGGAGGGGAGGCGGGGTTCGCGGGGCTTCGGCATTGCGGCTCCGCTGCTCCCGGCTGGGCGGTTGTAGCAAGCAATGAGGTTAGTTCCGCGGCGCCTTGAGAATAGAGTGAGCGGCTGTAGCACGCGACGGGGTTATTCCTGAGGCGCCTCGAGGCTAGTGTCAGCAAATAGCGTGCGACGAGGTGAAAAGGATACGACGGTGAGATTGAATCAGGACGAGGGTAACGCAGGATGTCTATTGCTATTACGATATCGGTGCGTGTAGTAACGAGGCGGTGTGATCCACTGCGACCCAGTACAAGTCTGCTTCACACTGAGTTATCTCGAGTAACCGTCCAGAAGCTAACAAGCCCCCGCGCAACGCCTTGCGAATTCCTGTCGGCGGACAACTAATAACGAGAACCTGGAAGCACAATAGCAGCATGTGCGACGACGGCCAAGACAACTAACAGCAGGAGTCGACAGGAGTGGACGACTAGTCAGTCAGTTCGGCTAGGCCAAGGCGACTGCCAGAAGTCACACTCTATCCAGTGACAGCCGTCCGGGAAATTCACGGATCACGGTTCCTGAGAACCTTGGGAGTGGCAGGATAGAAAGGAAAGCGTCTGTGTGTGATGTGGTGTGAATGTGATGCCAACTTCACCAGCTACAGCTGGGGTGGGTCGTGCAGGGAGGGTGGGTGGAGGTGTGTTGGTGATGTGGTTGCTAGCTATCAACGCAACCAAACCAAATTTTACACACTAAACGTTTTCATTCCGTGCAGACACAAATGCAGGGCAGATACAGTACAGTACACTCCAAGGAAGAAACGGGCAAGAAAGGAGCATCTTTTTCGGCACCGTCCGTGTTTGTACGGCCTAGCGCAATTTACGCGTCGCGTCGCGCCCATCGCACCGAATCACAGCTTTCCCAACGAGACGTCGTTGTCGCCCAACCCGTTATGCCCCCTGCGAAGTCTGCGTTCGGGGGCATGAAGGGCAAAAATACGGCTTTTACCTACTGCATGCAGATTTTCCTAGTGCAAGTTTGCAAATGCATGCAATAGACGGTTCAGGGAAAAATGTCGGCCTGCCGGCAAAACCATGCGGTTACCCGTGTTTAGGGTTGAGGCTCCCCCAGTCGCATGCCATCAAGACGGGGTTTAGTTTTTTCTGACCGCGGGCAGATAACAGGTACCGCGGGCCCTCTTTCCCCTACGGCCGTCTATTGTATGCATCTGCATAATCGCACTGGCATAAGTTGAATACCGTTGAAAATGGCCCGCAAAAATAGGTTCGGAACAAAAGAAGCCAATGACGCAAACACGTTGCACGAAGCCAAACGCGGTTCGTTGGCTTGGCAGCAAGGGGCACCTACCCCCGAGCCGATCAATCATATCTGCGATGGGGGCTGAGGTGAGGTGGGTGGGATCACGAAGAATCCACCTCGTCCGTCTTTTGTACGTTATGGTCTAATTCGTTGCGTCGCGGTGCAAAACAATGAACTCTAAGGCTACTTTAAGGTACTACTTTCCTAAAAGCTTGCTGCAAGTATAACCTGGATAATAGGTGGGATAATAGAATAGAATAATAGGTGGGATTCTTCAAGGAATAGTAACATACACATCTAGTGCATAATCCAGGATGGCGAAAGAACCCTGTATCACTCTGCCCAAGCTATTTACACAAAGTGCGGCGAAAGATACGGTATGCCCAACTTAATCTTCCTCCTCTTCAACCTCCACTCCCTCTTCCATTTCATCCTCCTCATCCTCCTCATCATCCTCTTCACTTCCCTCCCCATACTCCAACTTCTCCCTCTCCCCCCCTTCATCTCCAATTGCCCCAGCTCCTCCTTCCCCTCCACCTCCCTCAATGCGTCCCACCCACCCCTCCTCTTCTTCCTCCCCATCCTCCTCCTCGTCCTCCTCATTCTCCTCCTCATCCTCGTCCTCCTCATCCCATGCGCGAACCTCCCACGCCCCACACCCCAGCCTCCTCATCCCCCCACCGCCATCACCACCATCCCTAGAAGCACCAAGAGCAAGTGCTTCAGCACGCCTAGCAGTCAACTCCAGATGCCTCTTCTGCATCTCATACGCTCCCACCAACGCCCTCACCTCCCTCTCGCCCCCCAATGCACCGGCCAGATAATTCACCCCCGGTCCAATCACTTCCGAATCTCCTGATCCCGGACCTCCACCTCCCTTCCCCAAACCTTTTCCCCGTCCTCCCCCCCTCCGTTCTCGAACAGCCTTTCCTCCCCTTCCTCCTCCTCGTCCTACTCCTCCTGTTCCCCCACCCTTGACATTCCCTCTCCGTCCGCCTCGCCCCCTCCCTCTTGACTGACTGCCGCCTGTATGAGTAAATTATCACAGCAATAAAGAGGAATATGACAGTGGGGATCAGAACGAAGGTGAGATACATAGAAAGATACGGAACACGGGCTTTGGAGTGCAGAAGATCGGGATACAATGTGGAAGGATTCGTGATAAAAGAATACATACAGCTCAGTTATTCCCAGCATCTTATTTGTGTGTGCGGCTGTGCCTCTTTTGAAAGGCGGAAAACACGATTCGACTCTGAAGTCAAATAAAAAAAAGTCACTCCTTTTACAAAACAAAAACACTACTAACCTGCTGCATGCGGCCGTGGCAGGCTGCTGCTCTGCTTCTCCCGAATGATCCGATCCACATACATGGTGTACTGCAGAGAAGGGGTTTGGGGTTCGAGGGATTGAAGAAACATAATTGAGGTTCAGGGTCTGTATTAGAAGAGGAACTGTCGTGGCAGGCTGCTGCTCTGCCTCTCCCGGATGATTCGGTCCAAATACGTGGTGTAGTGCAAGGGGATAAACATTTGGAATTGGTGGAATTGAAGAAGCAAATTCAGGTCAGGTTGAGAGGGAATAAAGGGAAGGGCGTGTTTAGACATTCAAGCCATGTTCACTCCCCCCCCAACCACCCCTCTCGCCCACCTCTCCCCGCACACAACCCCCTGCCTTACCCCCGCTTCCCCTGAATGTCCCCCCATATCCCACCTTTTGTTTTAAACCCGCCGGACTCTCCCCTGCTGAACCTCGATCCGCATTCCCCGAAGCAGCAGCAGCAGCAGAAGCGCCAGCAGCAGCAGGAGCGGGGGCAACGGCAGCAGCACCTGCTGGTGGTGCAGGGCCGTCCAGCCGCGCACGGGCAGCAGAGGCCATGGCGAAGGCAAGGCGGGGGGCGACAGAAGACATGGCGCTGATCTGCTCGTCGTGCTGTGTGAAGTCGTCCTTGTGCTGGCACTGCACTGCTTGCACCGCCTGTGAGTGTGAGTGGGATGCAGAGAGAAAGAGGGGCAGAGGTTGGAGGAACGGGAGAAGGGAAGTGCGACAGAAGCAACAACGCTGATCTGCTCGTCGTGCTGTGTGAAGTCGTCATTGTGTTGGCACTGCACTGCTTGCACCGCCTGTGATGGGAGGGTGGGGAAGTGAGGGTACGACAGGGAGGCGCTGATTTCCTCATCATGCTGCGTGAAATCGTCCTTGTGGCGTGACTGCGCTGCCAGTACTGCCTGTCGCGGGGGGTGGGGGTGGGGATGGGGGTGTGGGGGGTGGCGGGTGCAATAGATATATTAGTGGTATTCATTATATTTCCTCATCATGCTGTGTGAAGTCGTCCTTGTGCTGGCACTGCACTGCTTGCACCGCCTGTGAGAGGAGAGGGGGGTGAAGCAGCAGCGGGGGGGGTGAAGCAGCAGCGGGGGGGGTGAAGTGAAGCAGCAGCAAGGGGGGTGAAGTGAAGCAGCAGCAAGGGGGGTGAAGTGAAGCAGCAGCAAGGGGGGTGAAGTGAAGCAGCAGCAAGGGGGGTGAAGTGGAGCAGCAGCAAGGGGGGTGAAGTGAAGCAGCAGCAAGGGGGGTGAAGTGAAGCAGCAGCAAGGGGGGTGAAGTGAAGCAGCAGCAAGGGGGGTGAAGTGAAGCAGCAGCAAGGGGGGTGAAGTGAAGCAGCAGCAAGGGGGGTGAAGTGAAGCAGCAGCAAGGGGGGTGAAGTGAAGCAGCAGCAAGGGGGGTGAAGTGAAGCAGCAGCAAGGGGGGTGAAGTGAAGCAGCAGCAAGGGGGGTGAAGTGAAGCAGCAGCAAGGGGGGTGAAGTGAAGCAGCAGCAAGGGGGGTGAAGTGAAGCAGCAGCAAGGGGGGTGAAGTGAAGCAGCAGCAAGGGGGGTGAAGTGAAGCAGCAGCAAGGGGGGTGAAGTGAAGCAGCAGCAAGGGGGGTGAAGTGAAGCAGCAGCAAGGGGGGTGAAGTGAAGCAGCAGCAAGGGGGGTGAAGTGAAGCAGCAGCAAGGGGGGTGAAGTGAAGCAGCAGCAAGGGGGGTGAAGTGAAGCAGCAGCAAGGGGGGTGAAGTGAAGCAGCAGCAAGGGGGGTGAAGTGAAGCAGCAGCAAGGGGGGTGAAGTGAAGCAGCAGCAAGGGGGGTGAAGTGAAGCAGCAGCAAGGGGGGTGAAGTGAAGCAGCAGCAAGGGGGGGCGACAGCAAACATGGCGCTGATTTCCTCATCGTGCTGCGTGAAGTCGTCCTTGTGGAGTGACTGCGCTGCCAGCACCGCCTGTCGTGCGTGAGTTGGATGCAGGGAGAAGGAGGGGCAGAGGTGTGGGACGCGCTCTGCTCGCTGTGCTGCTAGACCGCCTGTTGCGTGTGAGACGAGGCGATGGGGTAATAAGGGGGATGGTGGGGACTTCTGCCTGTGTTACCTGAAAGGCGCACAGCAGTAATAAGGCATAGCATCCCGTATACCAAGAAGGCTCACACACCTGGTAGGCACACTTGACTCGCATCCTCCTGTGTGCAGCCACCATCAGTGCCGCCTTCAACTTATGAGTCGACTCAAGAATCAACACAGCGGGCGCCCAGCAAGGGTATGGCACGTCGTCCCACGTACCTGGAACACGCATACACCTGGAAGGCACACTTGTCTCGCATCCTCCTGTATCCAGGTGCGTTTTGAGTCGAAGGCACGCGTACCTGAAGTGCACACACACCTGGAAGGCACAATCGTTTCGCATCCTCCTGTGTGCAGCCACCAACAGCCCAGCCTTTGTTTGAGGAAGCTTCCACCCTTCTTCCGCTCCGCATGCCCCAATTCCGTCCACCGTCCCAACCTCCCTCCCACCTCCCCTTCCCCTTCCACTCCCCCTAGCAGCGTCCCCTTTCCCCTTTCCCCCACCTGCTCCCCTTCCCCTACCTGCCCCCACAGCTGCCTTCCCCTTTCCTTTTCCCACCACTGCCTTCCCCTTTCCCCCAACCACAACCACCCCTGCTTCAGCACAATCGATTCGCACCGCCACCTGTCTTCCTCTATTCCTCGCCGCACTGCGGCTCTCCCCCATACGAATCTCAATCTCACCCATCTCCACCCCTTCCAACCCCTCCCGGCCCTCCCCTGCACCATCCGCACCTCCCCGAGGCCCAATCCCCACACAAGCAGCAACGAACGCAGCATGTGATGACTCCCCAACCGGCACCCCTCGCTGCTGTTGCTCCTGCCCCTGCTGCTCCTGCTGCCCCTCCTGCTCCGCCCTCACACCCCCTCCAATCAACCGCCTCTGCCTTTCCCTCCGTCTCGGCGGCGTCGGAAACTGCTCATGATGCCGGTTAAAGCACTCAGTGGCCGTCTTTCCAGTCACCCACAGCGCCACCCTCTCCCAGAACCCGCTTTCATGCGGATTCACAGCACTCATGGCCTCGTGGTACGCTCTCACTTGACCCGCCGTCCACCCCATGTGATCCAGGGCAGGAGCGGCGGCAGGAGCGAAAGCAGGAGCAGAGACGGGGCTTTCAGGGGGATCATCTTGAGAGGGGTGGTTCTGACCGCGGTGGTTCTGATTGGCCCGGTTTCTAGGGGCGTGGGACGGTGAAGCCATAGGGTTACCAGCAGCGGCAGCGGCAGTGGCAGAAGCAGAGGCGGAGGTTGAAGCAGAGGGGCGATTGCGAGTTGATTCGGAGATGTTGACAGAGGGAAGAGGGGAGGGTGGGGGAGGCGCTGGGACCAGGGCAAGGCATTGGGGGTCGTGGGATGGGGATGGGGGATTGTGGGGTGATGATGGAGGAACATAGGATGGGGATGGGGGCATATGACAATCATCCTTCCCCTTCCCCACCTCCTTCCCCTTCCTTCCCCCCTTCCCCTTCCCTTCCCCCTTCCCTTCCCCCTTCCCTTCCCCCTTCCCCTTCCCTTCCCCCTTCCCCTTCTCTAGTCCCTTCCCCTTCCTTCCCCCGTTCCCCACATCCCCATTATCCCCTCGAGCAATCCTAGCCATCGATCTGGTCACTCTCACACTCCTCCTTTCCATTTCCTGCACCTCAACTCTCTTTCTTTTAAGAACATTCGCCCTCCCGTTCGCATCCCCATTCGCTTTCCCCTTCGCTTCCCCATCCCCTTTTCCCTTGCTTTTCCCCCCCTCTTGCTCCGCCCCTCCCCCACTCCCACCCAGTCCTCCATTCCCCTCCTCAACCCTCCCCACATCCCCCACACCAGCCGCCCCCACTCTCCCCTCCTCCCCACCCACACCTACTCTCCCCTTCTGCCCAGGCCTCGAGGTTCGGCACATCCGAGCCAGAGCAGCAGTCTTGGCAGCCCTACCAGGCACAGTTCTTCCTCCCGCCATTGTCCCATCAACGGTTCTCCCAGCTCCCCTCAACCCACTCGCTAAAGTCACACTTGTTACAGCATCCTTATCCGCAGCCTCCATTACAGGAGCTTCAACAACTTCCTTCTCCCTTCCATCCTCCCCGTTCCCTTCCACTTCTCCCTCCCCTCCACCCTCCCCTCTTCCCTCCTCTTCCCCCTCCCCTCCACCCTCCCCTCTTCCCTCCTCTTCTCCCTCCCCTTCACCCTCCCCTCTTCCCTCCTCTTCTCCCTCCCCTCCTGCGCCGCCATATCCATGCCCTTCCTCTCCACCCTCCATTTCCTCCTCCGTTCCTTCCTTCTCTCTCCTCTCCTCTCTCCTCTCCTCATCGCCCTCCCTCACCACCTCTCCACCCACATCTCCCTCCCCGCTTCCCCCCTCCTCCCTCCCACCCCCTCCTCCCTCCTCCACCACCGCCTCTCTCCCCCCATCCGCCTCCTCAGTCAAATCTATCATATCCTCTTTATCCTGCCCGCCTTCCCCACACTCTCCCCTCCGCCTAGGAGACTTTCGAGTTGCTTCAGTAGCCACCACTCTCCCCGCCCCTCCCTTTCGAGCAGAATTAACCAAACCCTCTGCTTCGACCCCAACTTGGGCACACCTCCCCCTCTCTCTACGCGACTTTCGAGGTGATTCAGAGGCCACTGCTTTCCCCGCCCCTGTCTTTGCAGCAACACCTTCCGCCTCAACCCCCACTTGAGCAAACCTCTCCCTCCCCCTAGGCGACTTTAGGGCCAATTCAGTAGCCACCGCTCCTTCCCCACCTGTCCTTCCAACCAAAGCACCCACTCCCTCCTCGTCATCCACCCCTTGAGCACACCTTCCCCTCCCCCTAGGCGACTTCGACTTCTGGGCCGATTCAGTAGCCACTGCTCTCCCCACACCTGTCATCCCAGCCGAGGCACCCACACCCCCCGCCTCAACCCCCCCTCGCCCGCAACCCTTCCTCCCCCTAGGCGACTTCCGGGCCGATAAAGAAGCCGCTGCTCTCTCCCCATGTGCCTCTCCAGCCGTAGCACCCACATCCTCCGTCTCAACCCCCCCTTCCCCTTGAGCACACCTCCCTTTCCCCCTAGGCGACTTCCGGGCCAACTCAGAGGCCACTGCTCTCTCCCCATGTGCCTCTCCAGCCGTATCACCCACACCCCCCGCCTGAACAACTTCTTCTTCTTGCCCTTTCCGCCTCCTCTTGCTCTTCTGCTTCTCACCCACCTCCCTCGATCCATCCCTCTCTGCGCCATTCCCTTCCCCTTCCTCCTGCTCTTCCGCTCCACCCTGCTCTTCCATTCCCTCTTGCTCCTCCCCATCGCGAATCAAATCCCCAAGCAAGGCTGCAAAGAGCAGTGGGTAGCAGTGTGGTTGGCAGTGGCACGGACATATAAAAACACAAAAATAAGGAAGAATTAGACAGTAAAATTAATGGACAAAAAAGTGGACGAATCAGCAAGCCAAAACAGCTTGAACCAAAGAATGGCAATGGGGATGTGGCAACCACACACCTGTTACCTGAAGTGTGGTAACCACACACCTGTTACCTGAAGTGTGGTAACCACACATATGGTAACCTAATTGTGGCAACCACACATCTGGTAACCCGCATACCCTTCGTGATCATCTTCAACTCCTCTGCACGTGTGGTTGGCTGCAGTCCAAGCAAGACAGAAGGTCGCTCCACATCCTGCAGCCAATGCAGCAAGTAACGCAACGAGTAATGTAGCAAGCAGAAAGAGAGGAATAAAATCAAGAGAATCAGGGGTTGAGAAGTGTGGTTGGCTGCAGTCCTAGCAAGACAGAAGGTCGCTCCACATCCTGCAGCCAATGCAGCAAGCAATGCGTGAGATCAAGAAGATACAGAAAGAGAGGAATACAGCAAGAAAATCAAGTGCTGAGATGTCTCAAGCCCACCTTTACAAAAAAACAACGCACGAGGGTGACAGTACTAGGCAGGAATAGAGGCAAGGAGGCAAGAGCGTGAGGTAGGCAGGGAGCTTTCAAGGCAGCACAAAGCAGATGGTGGTTCAGGAATTGAGAACCTGGTATGAGTGTGCCACGTGTCACACGCCAGTTGCCCTAACGGAAATCTAACGGAACGTTGCTGCCTCAAAGACACACCTCAACGCTAACTCTCCCCCAACACAAAGCTGAACACTCACCACTGGACTGAAAATTCTCTCATGCAGCCAGTAGGCCAGGGGACGGAAGCGCGGGCGACCTGCGGGCAGCAGCAATGCATAGAGAACAGGTGGGGACACGGGTTTGGGAGGATGGGCACAGGGACCGGGCAGAGGAACGAAGGGAAGGTTTTGAGACGCCTCAACCCGGGGATAGCGAGCATATGGAGCAAGGGAATGAGGGAGTGAAGGAATGAGAGAACCAGGGTGCGAGCATTGGGAGACAGAGAACACGTGAAGGAGGGAGGGAATCACCCTTATGCAGCAAGATTGCACCCGCTCTATATCACACCAGCCTAACCCTAAACGCCAAAACATGGATTCAGGTTAACAGCAGAACCGTGTTTTTCAGGCAACTAAAAAATTAGGGTTTCTGAGGCGGGTGAACACGGCCTTAACCCTATAAGCCAGAACAAGGTCCAGTCCAGGGTAGTAAGTCAAAATCGGGTTTGGCTAAAATTCAAAGCATAAAATGTGCAGCAGGGGGGCGCTAGATGGGAGTGTAAGGAGCGGGAAAAAAACGAGATGCGGAGGGTGGCAGGAAGGAGAGCGAGACGGCTGGTGGGAAGGAGAGTGAGGTGTGCGGCAGGAATGAGAGTTTGAGGGGATTCGCACCACTCCTTGAGTATTCCACTACAATGCCAGGGCCAATGGTGGCGGGTCTGGGAGGTCTAGAGTTGGAAGCACCCCCTCCAGCTGGGGTATTCATGTGAGAAGCCGCACGGCTGGGTTTCCGGGAGTGTAACAAGTTCTTGCTGCCTTTGTGGGAAGGCTGGTGCGAAAGTGGGTGGGGAGGCGGGTGAGAAGGTGGGTGGGACAGTCGGTGGGGGGCGGTGGCAGGCGGAGGGGGAGGAGTGGAGCAGCGACGACGTGAGGCAGCACGAGGAGGTGTGGCAGGTAGTGGCGAGTGGGAAGGAGCTCGCACGCTGGGGGATGGTGCATTGGCCGCGTTGGTAGCGTTGGTAGCGTTGGCAGCAGTGGCAGCACCAGCAGCAGTGGAGCGTTGGTGAAGCGAGGAGGCACGGGGAGGTGTGGCAGGTAGTGGCGAGTCGGGAGTAGCATTGGTCGCGTTGGCAGCAGTGGCAGCATTGGCAGACCGTGTGACATTATCAGGCGAAGCCACACCAATGGGACTCCCAAATGCAGCAGCAGTTGTTGCTGCTGCAGGTCCAGTCCCTGCCCTCACTTCTCTCACTGCCCTTAGTTCTCTCACTGCCCTCACTACACCCACTGCTCCCACTTCCCCCCTCACTGCCTCTGCTCCCACTGCTCTCCCTGCAGTGACTGACGCCCCTGCAGCCCCACACGGAGCATCATTTGAAGGAAATGCATCTCTTGCATCCACGCGCCTACATGCTTCCTCCTCACCAGCTGCAACCCCCCCATCTGCGCCCTCGGCTTCCCCCACCATCACTGCTCCCACTACTCCCACTGCAGTCCCTGCATATCCTGCACTCCCACGTGGGGAACTATTCAAAGGAGACTCATCCCATGCACCAACGAGTCTACATGCTTCTTCCTCCCCACCTGCAAACCCCACATCCGCACCCTCCGCCTCTCCCACCCTCACCCCTGCCCGCTTCCGCTTCCTCCCTCCCCGTACAGCCCCACCACACGGCCTAAGCCTTCCCTCCTGAGACCCCTCAGCAGAAGCCCCACCACACGGCCTACGCCTTCCCTCCTGAGACCCCTCAGCAGAAGCCCCACCACACGGCCTACGCCTTCCCTCCTGAGACCCCTCAGCAGAAGCCCCACCACACGGCCTACGCCTTCCCTCCTGAGACCCCTCAGCAGAAGCCCCACCACACGGCCTACGCCTTCCCTCCTGAGACCCCTCAGCAGAAGCCCCACCACACGGCCTACGCCTTCCCTCCTGAGACCCCTCAGCAGAAGCCCCACCACACGGCCTACGCCTTCCCTCCTGAGACCCCTCAGCAGAAGCCCCACCACACGGCCTACGCCTTCCCTCCTGAGACCCCTCAGCAGAAGCCCCACCACACGGCCTACGCCTTCCCTCCTGAGACCCCTCAGCAGAAGCCCCACCACACGGCCTACGCCTTCCCTCCTGAGACCCCTCAGCAGAAGCCCCACCACACGGCCTACGCCTTCCCTCCTGAGACCCCTCAGCAGAAGCCCCACCACACGGCCTACGCCTTCCCTCCTGAGACCCCTCAGCAGAAGCCCCACCACACGGCCTACGCCTTCCCTCCTGAGACCCCTCAGCAGAAGCCCCACCACACGGCCTACGCCTTCCCTCCTGAGACCCCTCAGCAGAAGCCCCACCACACGGCCTAAGCCTTCCCTCCTGAGACCCCTCAGCAGAAGCCCCACCACACGGCCTAAGCCTTCCCTCCTGAGACCCCTCAGCAGAAGCCCCACCACACGGCCTAAGCCTTCCCTCCTGAGACCCCTCAGCAGAAGCCCCACCACACGGCCTAAGCCTTCCCTCCTGAGACCCCTCAGCAGAAGCCCCACCACACGGCCTAAGCCTTCCCTCCTGAGACCCCTCAGCAGAAGCCCCACCACACGGCCTAAGCCTTCCCTCCTGAGACCCCTCAGCAGAAGCCCCACCACACGGCCTAAGCCTTCCCTCCTGAGACCCCTCAGCAGAAGCCCCACCACACGGCCTAAGCCTTCCCTCCTGAGACCCCTCAGCAGAAGCCCCACCACACGGCCTAAGCCTTCCCTCCTGAGACCCCTCAGCAGAAGCCCCACCACACGGCCTAAGCCTTCCCTCCTGAGACCCCTCAGCAGAAGCCCCACCACACGGCCTAAGCCTTCCCTCCTGAGACCCCTCAGCAGAAGCCCCACCACACGGCCTACGCCTTCCCTCCTGAGACCCCTCAGCAGAAGCCCCACCACACGGCCTAAGCCTTCCCTCCTGAGACCCCTCAGCAGAAGCCCCACCACACGGCCTAAGCCTTCCCTCCTGAGACCCCTCAGCAGAAGCCCCACCACACGGCCTAAGCCTTCCCTCCTGAGACCCCTCCACCCCATGCCCCATTAGAGGCACCTCCACCCCATGCCCCATTAGAGGCACCTCCACCCCATGCCCCATTAGAGGCACCTCCACCCCATGCCCCATTAGAGGCACCTCCACCCCATGCCCCATTAGAGGCACCTCCACCCCATGCCCCATTAGAGGCACCTCCACCCCATGCCCCATTAGAGGCACCTCCACCCCATGCCCCATTAGAGGCACCTCCACCCCATGCCCCATTAGAGGCACCTCCACCCCATGCCCCATTAGAGGCACCTCCACCCCATGCCCCATTAGAGGCACCTCCACCACATCCGGACTCGCACTACCAGACGGATCAGCCTCTTCCTCCCTGCGCCCTTCGTCCCTCACCCCTCCTCTGCGCCCCTTCTGTAAACGCGTTTTCATAAACTCAGCAGTCACCCCACTCGGCCGGCCAACCTCTTCCTTCCTCTGCCCTCCGTCCCTCACCCCCCCTCTCTGCCCCTTCCTCAAACGCGTCTTCATAAACTCAGGAGTCACCCCACTTGCCTGGCCAGCCCCTTCCTTCCTCTGCCCTCCGTCCCTCACCCCTCCGACCCTCACCCCTCTCTGCCCCTTCCTCAAACGCGTCTTCATAAACTCAGGAGTCACCCCACTTGGCTGCCCAACCCCTTCCTTCCTCTGCCCGCCGCCCCTCACCCCTCCTCTCAGCCCCTTCTGTAAACGCGTCTTCATAAATTCAGGAGTCACAGTCATGCCGCATGTCTGGTCCCCTCTCTCCTCCCTCTCACACCCCGCCTCATTCCCCCACGCCTCTTCCACCGCACCGCATTCCTCTTCCACACCACACGCTCCCTCCGCACCACTCTCCACCTCACATCCCCACATCTCCTCCACCCCACACTCTTCCTCATCCCCGCAATCGTCCTCACTCCCACACTCCGCCCCACAATCCCCCAACTCTTCACTGTCGCTCCCTCCCGCATTCCCCTCACCCTTCTCCTCACATGCAATTCTTCTGCCCTTTATTTTTTTCATAGCTTCCACGTCACCACCGTTCCCTCCCACAACCCCCTTGACCTTTGCCTCACCTGTCACTCTCCTCCCTGGCCTCCCCTTCCCCGCCCTCGCCCCCCTCCCTTCTGCCGTAGCCCCTCCCCCCACCTCTCCTTCCTTCGACTTCGCTTTCCTCCCTTTCGCAGGTCGTCCTCTCGCCCCTGCTTTCGCCCCTCCTTTCGCGCCTCCTTTCGCCCCTGTATTCGCACCGACCTTAGCCCCTCGTTCTAAGCTCTGCCGTTTCACCCACAAGACATCTCGAGCCTTGGCCTTGCTCCTCCTCTCAGCCCTCTCCGCCCTCTCTCCCCTCTTCGCACTCTCCCTCCTCTCCTTCCTCAATTTCGCTGCTGCTCCAGCTGTCCCCGCAGCCCTCCCTTTATCCAACGCATCCGCTATAACCTTTAACGGAGCCCTTCCAGACGAACCAGCAGCACTACCCCCCCCGGCCTTACCTCCTCCTGCTGCTCGTGTTACGGCTGCTGCTCCTGATGCTGCACCTGATGCTGCTCCTGACGCTGCTCCTAAAGCTGCTCCTGCATCTCGTACTATCGCTGCATCTGACGCTGCTGCTGCAACCACTACTTGCCCTCTCTCTCCCTTACCCTTGCGTCCCCTCTTACCTGCTGCTACAGCAGGCCCTAACACTACCCCCTTGCTTCCATTCTCTTCCCACCTCCCTTCCCCACTCCCTTCCCCACTCCCTTTCCCACTACCTTTCCCCTTTCCCCTCCCAATCCCTGTCTCTTTCCCGGTCCCTTGTCCTTTCGCTGTCCCTGTTCCTGTCCCTTCCCCGGCCCCTTCACCCGTTCCCCTCCCATTCCCTTTTCCAACCCCGTTCCCTTTCCCTACCCCTCTCCCTCTCCCTCTCCCTTTCCCTTTCCTCGGCGTTGCAGCTTCTTTCAAGGCAGCAGCAGCGGCCACAGCAGCAGGTCTTCGCCTCCCTTTAGGCGGGCTCCATTTAACCAGCGCCCGGCGGAAGCTCAGTTGCCTCACCACTGCCAACCGCGCTTGACCCCTCGTTCGCACTTCTTTCCTCGTTGACCGTCCGCCCGTGTGTTGCTTCTCGTCCTTCTCCCCCTGGAACGTACCACCTGCCTGCGGTTCTGCTACCCCCGACCGCCCCTGCTCGTTGCCCGGGGTTCCACACCCACCTTCCATGCCCGTCCTAGCTGAATCTCCCGCGCCCTTCCCGGTTCTCCTTCTCCCCTGCCCCACCCTACCCCTCCCCACCGACTTGCGACCCGCTCGCCGCCTCCCCTTCCCCCCTTCCCCTTCCCCTTCCCCTCGTGCGCGACCCTCTTCCGCATCCGCTGCGCTATCCCTTCCGCCTACCGCTGCTCTAATTTCCGAACCATCCTCCGCGCTATCGCCCCCCCGGTCCCCATCCCGCGCGCCTACCAGCGCTGATTCACCAAACCACCCGTCGGGAGTCCGGGGCCCCTCCGCCCCGCGCAAACCCTCCGCGCTTTCCCCCGCGCCTTCCCCTCCGCTGCGAGCCCCGCGCGGGGCGGAAACGCCCCTTCCGCCCGCTTCCACGGGATGCCAGCCAACGAACGCGCCTACTGCAGCTACGCCCGCGTGCATGCTTTCCTCTACCTCCTCCTCCGTTATATCCATGCTCACCGCATCGTCCTCTATTTCTACGCGCAATTCATCCCCTTCAATCTCCACATCAACCTCCTCCTCCTCTTCCTCCTCTTCCTCCTCCTTCTCTGCCTCCTCCTTCCCTCCCTCCTGTGCGCTCAACTCGTTCTCTCCAATCTCCACAACCACCACCTCCTCAGCCGCATCGCCTGCATCTGCTGCAATTTCCGCGTCCTCCATGAATTTCCCACACAAATTTTCCTCTTCTTCCATCTCTACCTCTACCCGCTCGTTTCTAGCCTCTTCGTTACGAGCATCAACAACGAAAACTCCCGCACGAACGCGCTGCTGTACCTCGTCGTCTACCCCGTTCGTATCATCCGCGTCTCCTTCCCCCGCTATAATACGTTCAGCGTAACCCGTTACGAAGCCGTCGGACTGCGCTGAAAAATAACTATCCTCTAATAAATCGCTAGCAGCTACGCCGCGCGTTTCAGACGGCGAGCGACGCGGTTCAGGATTGGTACGAACATTTTCGGATTCCGTGCCGTGCGTTTGCGGTTCTAAGCCGTCAATTTCAGCCGCATCTCTAGATGATGCGCCTGTCGGAGGCGCGCCTGCCGATACCACAGGTGCTCGGATCCTATCTGAAGAATCTCCTACTTTTTTGCTCCTACTAGTAGGCTGGTTAGTCTCTATTCTGGTCTCGGCAGAGTTCCCACGCGCAACGAGGTTACCCATTTTGCTAACACCGGCCGTGCGATCATCTTCACCAGTAGAAGATATACAGATCCTGCGTGGGCCTGTGCAAGGTAACATCCTATCGAGATTCGAACCGGCGACAATTTTACCTGAGGAGTACACACCCGTTTCCTTTCTGGCTGCCGACTTTCCGAGAAGGCTATCCTCATCGCTTCGACTTCTCCGTTCGCCAGGTGGCGTCATCTCTGCGAATCGTTTTCTCGAGGCAAGATTTTCAGCTCCCTCGCTTTCTCGAGCGCTTCAGGCAGGCTCCTGTTTCAGCGACAGTCCAACAGGCCAAAAGTATTGGCTAACTTTGCAACTGAAAAAACGGAATTTTCGTAACCTTGTTACTGCCGCTAAGGTGCGTTGGCGATTTCATCGAACTTCTGCGAGTGTCTAGCGATCAGGCTGGCGACGGTAGCCTGTGTGCGGTGCGACAATATCGAGAATACGACGACAGATCACTAAGTGACACGTTGCAACTGGAGGAATACCCTGAAAAGGTTATGTACCACTATGCCTGAAAAGGATGGTAACAACCTACGGCAACGAAGCTATGCTGGAAACTAGAAACGCAAGCGGTGAGAAACAGGTCAAATAAGGACGGAGAGGAGAGGTTGCTGCGTTTGCTGTTGCACGTTCGTGTTCGCTGGCTTTGAGCGGAGAGACCAACGCAACGATGACAGAGGATTGATTGAACGAGACTCCTGTGATTGGAGGAACAGTCCCAAGGTTCTGAATTTGGCGGGAAGTCTGACATTTCTGAAATCGTGGGGCCCGTCCCGCCAATTTGTCCATCAGCCGGTTGCGGTTCAGTGTGTTTCTACACGGTAACAAAAAGATATATGCTTTACCGCTATGGACCGCAACGAACCAAAACAAAACCGAGAGAATCGAGAACCAGGGAGGAGGACATCCCCCAGATGTCTGTACTCGCTATTTTACAGGACCCGTTCACGCACTGTATCATGAAGAAATGCCTATGTGCTGGGGAAATTCAATCTCTAATGGTGCAACCACCAATGTTCAATTTCCTTCAAAATTAAAGCCGTTGACCCAAATTGCACAAGTTTTAAAAAGTTGACGTGAGGGAGTTTTGGTATCGCAATGGCTGTCGTCACGGTGATTGGAATTATTCGTATTGTGTGATGTTATGAATGAAGTCTCATTATGGTGTGGTCTGACAATTTTGTTATACCGCGTACGAATTCGAAACGACACTTCCACTGATAATGGTGCCTAACGTGAACTTTTCGCACGGTAACAACCAGAAGCGAAATCACAAATTCCACCTGATGCGGCGGCATCTTGTTTTAGCAACGAAACACTCGGTAGTCCCAGTGGCAGGGATGGGGAGCAGCAGAAGTATCCGTTGACTTCGGGAAGATTCTGATCCGATGAATTCCTGTTCGATCTGCGCTTCCTGTAATCTGCCTGCTTCCGTTTCCTCTCGATTCTGCTTCTGCAAGGAGATATGACTGCATGCAAGAAGTTAGAAGGAGCTATCTTTCTGCACTACAACAAATTCACGCCTCTATCGAGTTGTCGTTCTTGGCGTACTAGGAACCATTAGTAACCTGCGACGCGCTCATGCAGTTTCTTCCTTTTTCGCTATATCCTTCTCCTTTTCGCCATGGCAAGTCGTACCTCGCCACGGCTATCCTGCGCGTGGATTTACAGACTAAGATACACATTTAGATACATCACGCATTCTTCTACGCCTCGTTCTGAGCCTTTCTTAGCGAAGCCTGGAATCACATCAACACCTTCTATACCTTCTATACCTTCCTCCCGAAGCCTCTACCAGTTCGGGTTTAACCCACACCAACCTGCGCAAAGAGCAATCGTCAGGATTCGAACCCCTGATCGGTGCCTCTCTATAGGATGTCCAGTTAGATTTTTGTCCAGATCAGCCGAGGCTCCCGAGACAGAGCGTGTGAACGTGGGACCCGATCCGAGGTTCGATGGCGAACCGGTACTGCCGGTTGGGACAGAGGCTCGGTTGCATACCGGGGGAAGAGAGGAGGGGGAAAGAGAGGGGGGAGAGCTAGGAGAGAGCGAGAGTAGGGGGAAAAAGGAGAAGGTGGTTGGCGGAGGAGGGCGTATGAGGCGTGCGGGACGAGCGGGGAAAGCGGAGGTAAATGATGAAGGAGGGGGGAAAAGGAGTGGAGGGAGGGGAGGAGGAGGGAGGGTAGGAGGAGGGAGGGGAGGAGGAGGGAGGGGAGGATGCGCCGCCGGCGAGGAGGAGGAGGCAGTGGCATTGATTGCTGGAGTGCTGAGAGAGAAATTCGGGCCTCAGATCGTAAGGGAGGAGGAGGAGGTGGGGTTTACGGACGGAAGAATTGCTTATGAGGAGGAGGCGAAGGGAGCAGAAGAAGAAGAGGAAGGGGATGTGGAGCGATTGGAATTAGAAATTGGGGAAGAAGGGGACGAGGGTGAGGGGGAGGAAGCAGAAGTGAAGGAGGAAGAATTTCCAGGAACCACCTCTCGTCGAAAAAACGCACGTGCAACCTCTCTCTCCTCCCTCCTCTCCCTCTACCGCTTCTTCTCCTCCCACCTCGGCATCTCCTCCCCTTCCACTGTCGCTTCCCTCCTCACCAATCGCCCAGCGCTCCTTCGGTCTGATCCCACCAATGACTTGCTGCCACGTGTCCAGCTTCTCCAGTCGTATGGCGTATCCCGCGCCGACATCTCAGTCATCACCATGAGAAATCCATGCTGGTTCCGATCCCCGCTTCCACAGATTCAGGATAAGCTTGACTTTCTCTTGGCTCGGGGCGTCCGCCGTACCAAGCTAGGTTCGGTGCTCTGTAATGCTTCATTCCTCACCAGAATGCAGGCTCGTTCAACGAACCTGGACATTTTGGTGGAAAGAGCAGGGGTTCCTGTGGACAAGCTAAGCATGCTGATCGAGAAAGCCCCAAGAATCCTTTGCAGCAAGGAAGAACCCATACGAACTCGCATTGAGCAACTATCAGCGTACCTGACTGATGGATACGAAGAAAAAAACGTCCGCACCGGGCACCTGAAGCAACACCTGACAAGGCAACATAAGGACAAGAATCGCCTGAGTAAACTCCTTTTGAAGAATCCGCAGCTCCTCCTTTCCTCCCCTAAGATCATCGCCACAAAACTCAGCCTCCTCCAGTCTCTAACCCCCCCTGGCACCCCATCCATAGCAAGCTCGATTCTCCGCCTTGCCCCCACCGTCGTCAACCTCAGCTCGCAGAATCTCTTAGCTAAGTTTCAGTTCTTAGTGGATCTAGTGGGGAAGAAGGCAGCAGGGAGTGCGGTGCGAAGCCATCCAATGATTCTTGATCGATCTTTAGAGAACCTGCAACGCAAGGTGGCATTGCTGAGCAACCTGATTGGGCAAGAGAACGCGGTGCGTGCAGTGGCGCGGTTTCCTTTGCTGCTGTGTTCAAGCGAAACAAATCTCAAGAGGAGTTTTGGAGAACTTGTGCGAGAAGTGGAAGGGGCATTGGAGAGTGGTGAAGAGACGTTGGAGAGTGGTGAAGAGACGTTGGAGAGTGGTGAAGGGGTCTTGGAAATCGGTGAAGAAGATGAAAACAACGCAAGAGAAAATCTTCCCTTTGAGTCGCCTCAAAAGAATGCAAGCGATAGTCCGAAGCAAGGCGGGAGCGGCGCTGGCTTCGGAGCCGGATCCAAGAGCTGGGCGGAAGCAAGGGCAGGAGAAGGAGGCGGTTCTGATGGCAGCGCTGGCACCACAGCCCGTGATCCAATGGCTGAGAGCAGGGCTGGCGCCACAGCTTATGATCTAATGGCTGAGAACAGAACTTGCGCCACAGCCCGTGATCTAGTGGCGCGTCTGGTGCTGAAGCACCCAGCGTCGATCTACTACAGTTGGGAGATGAATACGAGGCACAAGGTGGAGTACTTAGAACATGACATGGGGCTGTCTATAATGGAGGTGCTTGCGTTCCCTAATTTTCTGAATTACAGTTTGGATGCCCGAATCAGGCCGCGACATGTGGCACTGCTGAGCATGGGCTATGAGTTGGTGCCATATAGAGTGATGGCCCTTGAATGGAGAGGTGGACGTAGGAGGGAGAATGTGAAGGACACTGGCGCAGTGTTGGGAAATGGGTTGAAAGAGGTGGAAAAGGGTAACGGGGTGGAAGGATGTGAATGGGTGGAACGAGGAAAAGAGGTGGAATGCGGTAAAGAGGTTGGAGGTTCTAGTGGCCTGGAGTATATTCCAGGCAGCGACAGGTTCGGGACAAGAGCCACGGCGGAAGCGGCGTTGCAGCAGGCACGGAAGGTGTGTTTGGTTCAATTCATCCAGTGCTCGGACAAGCTATTTGAAAAGAGATTTGGGATAGCACCCATTGATTCTCCCATAAATGGGAGCTAATTCCTCAATTAGGTGGAAATCACAAGTACAGGGTTTAGTATCCCAGAAATCTACATTTACTGTAATGTGACGGATATGTAGTAGTTTGAACAGAGCAGAGTGTAGAGGAATGGTTCATTACATGATAAGGGCAAGAGAGGAGGTCCACGCATATGATCAAGTAGTGGCTCTCCATTCACTGTATAAGCACTTCATCTCATATACGGTAAATGGGCATATATCCACAGAATGAGTGCAGTATCTGTTCAAGTTCCCTTCTTCCCAGCTTGAGTTGAGCATTTTTATGTCCCTGAAACTACTTCACGCCAGATACTATGTCCCTCCATTTCAGCAGCACCCCAAGATCATCTTACACCTCTGCAGCTTGGCCTCAAAACTCGGTCGAGACGTCCCATCCCGGCATTATAACAGAACCAACCCAGCATCGTCGTTCACATCACATCGCATCATGTAGCACATCAGCCATAGAGCAAGACGTCGCAACGCTGGTTTGAGACATCCCACCCTGCCAACTCAGCATATTACGATGGTACTCGTCAGCAGCGCTGGGCTGAACGGTCATCCTGACTCCAGCAGCGAGTTTCCCTTCCATCTGCGCGGGTGTAGGGACAGGAGAAAGGTGGGGGAGTGAAAGGAGGAGGAGGATATCAAGGTGGATTCCTGCCCTGCCTGACAAAGACATGGGGTTCTGAGATCGCTCTAATAGATCCCCACGTAGGAGGCATGGCATAGCGTGGCAGCAGCTGTGCTTAGCAAACTGTTGTTTAGTAAACAAAGACATGGGGTTCTGAGATGCCTCTAATCTTGTGAGGGGAAAGAAGGAAAAAGGAAAAAAATAAAAAATAAAGGAAATAAAGAGGCTCCCAGCTCACTCACCTACGAAGGAGGAAGCTTCCCAGAGGGCTCAGGTTGTTAACGTCATCGTCCCCACCCTTGCCATGCCGCCTGTCTGCTCGCCCATCCGCTCCTCCCTCACCCCCCGGTCCCCCAAACTGCCTGCGCGCGTTGGCTTTCAGGTCACGCAAGGGGGGGACCTCCTCTGATGCACTGTGAGTGGAGTGGGAGAAAGACAAAATGCAAGAAATTAGTTACCCCATCCAAACTGCCTGCGAGCGTTGGCTTTCAGGTCACGGGAGGGGGGTACCTCCTCTGATGCTCTGCAAGAGGGGGGAGGGGGGAGGGGGAAGGTGAGGTGGTTGCAGTTGGAAACCTCTTGCTTCAACCCCAACTCCCTGCTTCGACCAAAACTGCCTGCCAGCGTTGGCCTTCACGCAGAATCTCAGCACACATAAATTAAAGGAATGAGAGAGGGTGGGCAAATGGAGGGATCACCTGCCGAGCTTGCCGAGCAGGCTTCCTTCCATCTCCACCCGTGCATCTGCTGCTGCCAGGCCTGTTGCCGTTCGTGCAAGTCCCCTACACTAAAGCACACTACAGCATAACCTTGTTGAGCTAAAAGCTTACCTGCCGAGTTTGCCAAGTAGGCTAGCAAGCAGCAGTTGGCAGGAGCCGGGAGCGCATCGTTCCATCTCCACCAGAGCGTCCGCTGCGTCTGCTGCTGCCCGCACTGCTGCCTGCTCCTGCTGATCCGCTGCCACCTGGTGTGACCAGGGGATTTGAATCAGAGAAGAAAGAAGGGGACATTATCCTTGCTTGCTGCTGCTGCTGTTTCTGTATTTTTTTAGCAGAGGGAGGGGGGGAAAGGGAGGAGGAGGGGGGGGGGGGGGGGGGGGGGGGGGTGGGAGGGTTCTTAAACAGACGGTAATAACCGGACCCATTGATTCAAAAGAACCAACTAATTGCGCCATACCTCTTTAAATGCAGGCATGAGCACAAGGGAGAGCAGAGGCGAGGACGACACAGCAGCATCCCTGCCAGCCACTCGCGCTCCTCCCTGCTCCTCCCCTCCCCCTCCCCCACCGCCCTTCCGCCCCCCTGCCTTGGGTTTTCTGGGACTCCAAAAGGGGAAGGATGGGGAAGAGAGAGGGAGAGGGAGAGGGAGAGGGAGAGGGAGAGGGAGAGGGAGAGGGAGAGGGAGAGGGAGAGGGAGAGGGGTGAGAAATATGGCATCCCATATCATCTCACAGACAACATTGCACATCATCCCAAATAATCTCACAGCACGTACCTTGTTCGAACTGTGCCACTGTCCATGGCATCTCCCCCCCCTCCTCCCCCTCCCCCGCCTCCTCTGCTCGCCCGCCCTCCCCCGCCCTTCTTTCCCCCTTTCATGGCCTTGAGTGCCTCCGCCATGTTCGTTTCCGAGTCCTCCTTTCTTCCGCCCTCCTCAGTCTGAGGAAAGGAATGCGGAAGGAGGAACACAAAAGAGGGACAACAGGGAGAGGGCACAGAAGGAAGGAACATATGAGTCAACGCAGCATGGCTCTTTCCCCCCTTCATGGCCTTCAGTGCCTCCGCCATGTTCGTTTCCGAGTCCTCCTTTCTTCCGCCCTCTGCAGAGTCAGACTGGGGAAGCCAAGGGAGAGTGCACAGAATGAACATCCGAGTTACATTAGCACAATACAATGCCTGATTTAGTGCCTCGGCGCCACTGCCATGTTGGTTGCTGAATCCTCCTTCCTCCGCCCTCCGCAAAATCAGAGAGAGGGGAGAGGAGAAAAGGAGACGGATACAAGAAAGAGGGACGACAGGAGAGGGGCACACAAGAAACATTTAATCAACTCAGCCCCCTGCAGAGTTGGACTGAGGAACCCGAGGAGAGTAGCACAGAAGCACACCGAGACGAGCGAGTAAGATGATGGGAGGCCATAACCCCTCTGACACCAACCAGCCTTGGCCCCACCCCTCCATGCCACCTCGTGTAGTGCGTCGTGTTTTGAGTAGCACACAAGCACACCGAGACGAGCGAGTAAGGAGGAGTACATAACCCCTCTGCCACCAACCAACCTTGGCCCCACCCCTCCATGCCACCTCGTGTAGTGAGTCGCGTTTTGAGTAGCACACAAGCACACCGAGACGAGCGAGTAAGGAGGAGTACATAACCCCTCTGCCACCAACCAACCTTGGCCCCACCCCTCCATGCCACCTCGTGTAGTGAGTCGTGTTTTGAGTAGCACACAAGCACACCGAGGCGAGCGAGTAAGGAGGAGGCCATAACCCCTCTGACTGACACCAACCTTGGCCCCACCCATCAATGCCACCTCCCATCATACCGCTCGAGAGCCATCAAGCAGGGGTGGCTTGCTGCCTCTCCTGCGACACTTGGCGCACCCCGCATGCCATCCGTGTTACCATTGCCATCACATCCAATCACCCATGCCATCAAGCCCTAGCTCCATGCCATCCGTGCCACGATCAGTCATACGGATCAAGAGCCATCAGACAGGGGCGGCTTGCTGCCTCTCCTGCGACCCTAGGCACGCCCCTCATGCCACCCATGTCACCTCTGCCATGAAGCCCCAGCTCCATGCCATCCATGCCACCATCAGTCATACCGCTCGAGAGCCATCAGATCAGGCAGGGACATCCCACCACACCACCCCACCATGCCATTCATGCCACCACCAGTCATACCGCTCGAGAGCCATCAGGCAGGGGGGGCTTGCTGCCTCTCCTGCGCCCCTCATCCCACCCGTGTTATCATTGCCATCACATCCCATCACCCATGCCATCAAGCCCTAGCTCCATGCCATTCGTGCCACCATCAGTCATACCGCTCGAGAGCCATCAGGCAGGGGGGGCTTGCTGCCTCTCCTGCGCCCCTAGGCACGCCCCTCATGCCACCCATGTCACCTCTGCCATCAAGCCCCAGCTCCATCCCATCCATCCCATCCATGCCACCACCAGTCATACCGCTCGAGAGGCATCAGATCAGGCAGGAACATCCCACCACACCACCCCACCATGCCATTCATGCCACCACCAGTCATACCGCTCGAGAGCCATCAGGCAGGGGCCGCTTGCTGCCTCTCCTGCGCCCCTCATCCCACCCGTGTTATCATTGCCATCACATCCCATCCATGCCACCACCCATCATACCGCTCGAGAGCCATCAGACACGGGCGGCTTGCTGCCTCTCCTGCGCCCCTTGCCGCCCTCCTGTGAGGCAAAGGAAAAGGGTTGGCAAAGCGGGAGGAAAGAAAGAGAGCGCACTGAAATCAACTTTGAGAATTATCATAAAGGTGGTAAGGGCGAGGGAAGGAAGTCAAAACGTGCCCCATCCTCTTCTGTGAAACACGGCATTCTGAGAACATAGGAAGGCAGTAAGACTGCAACATATTGAGACGGCTCGAAACGGGAAGGCAATGGGATTGCAAGAAACAAAACACTTAAAAGTCACTCAAAATCCAAATCGCCCCACCGTACAAAAGTGTAAGAACCCAACTCACCCCATCTTCTTCGGTGCCTGAGCCCTCACTCTCACTCCCCCACCCGCTCCCATACAACCCCCCTTTCTCCCCATTCGCCACTCCCTCCTCCCCTCCGCCTCCCCCTCCTCCTCCTCCCCCGCCTCCTCCCCCTGCGCCTCCCCCCGACGACCCCCCTTTCCCCTTGCTGGCCTTAACCGTGCCTGTATTCGCGCCCTTCTTTACAGTCCCACTCCCAGAATCACGCGGCTTGCGCCGCACAGTGCCACTCCGCTTCCCCCCATCATACCCATCCCCTCCCCCGCTCCCTCCGCCTCCCCCTCCCCCATCATCCCGCCCCAGGCCATCAGGCCCCCCTTCAGAGGGATCAGCAACAGCAGCGCGAATCTGCCTGCGAAGCGTCTCAGTGGGCTTCATGGTGCCCGTGGCCGTGCCAAAATCCCAACTCGCCATGCGCGAGTGCCTGAGGGGGAACAGGGAGGAGGAGCAGAAGAAGGAGGAGCAAGTGAAACGCAAGTGTCAGGACTAGTGCCCCGGGGTCAGCAACAGCGGCGCGTATCTGGCGCCTGAGCGTCTCAGTGGGTTTCATGGTGCCCGTGGCCGTGCCAAAGTCCCAACTCGCCATGCGCGAGTGCCTGGAGAGGGGAGGGGGCGGATGAATGAGGGAGAAGGTGAGAGGAGAGCACGTTAGGGTTGGGTGTGAAACATCCTTTGAATCAAACAATACTGCCAAACACATCCATCTGGAAGCACCTCGAATGGACAGCCGATACCCTACAGTACTGCCCTGCCCATCACTGACCTAGGAGCGCTGCTGGCAGCGGTGGCAGCAGCGACGGTGCTGGCAGCAACACCAGCAGCGAGTTTTGAGACAAGGTCCTAGCAAACATTGCTAGCACAAGAGCTCTTGGCACACGCACACACACAGCACAATAGCTCGAAACACTGCTTGCCACAACCGTATATATTTTATGCAGGGCTCTCCCCACTGACCTGGGCGCGCTGCTGGCAGCAGTAGCAGCAGCAACAGCAGCGGCGGCAACAGCAGCGGCGGATTGGGGAGGGCCGTCCACAGGGTCGTCTGGCTTCATACGGGGCGATACCACTCGCTCCCCCGCACTCTCCACCCTCTCCCTCACGCGGTCAATGATCCGCGGTGTCTTGCGCGCGTATTTGACAAACCGGTGCTTCAGTAATTCCTTGGCGCTGGGCCTCTGTAGGAAGTTAAGCAACCATTCAGAGAAACCATGCAATGGGGGAGCAAGGCAAGCGAGAGGCAAGGGTTGATGATCCGCGGTGTCTTGCGCGCGTACTTGACGAACCGGTGCTTCAGTAATTCCTTGGCACTGAGCCTCTGTACAGGCAGTCAACATGACTAAGAAACGATTGGAAGAAATGTCATCACAGAGCCGCCTCATTATCACCTTCCTCCCCCTCTCCTTTCCACCTCTCACCCTTTTCACCCCTCTCACCTGCCCACCTCTTACTCTCACATCTCCACCCACCCACCCCTCTCGACTCCGCACCCCCTCCTCTCACCTCCCTGGCTGTCTTGTTGAGGCAGAGATTGACAAACTCCTTGAAGGGCTTTGAAAAGTGATCGTCCAACTGCCGGCACAAATGGGTTGTGCAGGAGGGACGGGAGGCAAAGAATGGGAGGGGCGGGCAAGCGGGCAACGGTGGCAGTCTTGTTAAGGCAGAGGTTGACAAACTCCTTGAAGGGCTTTGAAAAGTGATCGTCCAACTGTAATAAATTGGTTGGGGGCAGTGGAGAGGAGGTAATATATGGGAGGACTTATTTTGTAACGCCCAAACGTGGTGGATGGTTTATTTCTGGGGTAAGGAAGAGCGCGCGCATGGGGTGCAGATGGATAGCACTACTCACTGGGTGGGTACTTACCAGCATGATGTTGAGGATCAGAGGGTGGCGGGTACACTCTCACCTGTGGCGGAGGGTCCTTGGGGATGAGGAAGAGCGCACACACGGGGTGCAGATCCGCACTCACTGGGTACTCTCAGAGAATTCTGAAGAACCGCCTGCATCAGGCTGAGGGTCAGAGGGTTCAGGGTGCTCTCACCTGTGGCGGGGGACCTTGGGGATGAGGAGGAGCGCGCGCAGGGGGTGCAGATCCGCAACTGTCACTGGGTACTCTAGAGAACCGGCTGCATGCATCTCACGCTCACCTGCACTGCAGATAGGTCACTGCACATCGGTCAAGGGTGCTCTCACTCACCTGCGGCGGTGGGACCTTGGGGATGAGGAGGAGCGCGCGCAGGGGGTGCAGATCCGCAACTGTCACTGGGTACTCTAGAGAACCGGCTGCATGCATCTCACGCTCACCTGCACTGCAGATAGGTCACTGCACATCGGTCAAGGGTGCTCTCACTCACCTGCGGCGGTGGGACCTTGGGGATGAGGAGGAGCGCGCGCAGGGGGTGCAGATCCGCACTCACTCACTCACCCAAGGGGATACCCATGCCCCTTACCTGTGCACACACTCTCACCTGCGGCGGAGGGTCCTTGGGAATGAGGAAGAGCGCGCGCATGGGGTGCAGATCCGCAAAGGGCGGCTCCCCCTTGGCCATCTCAATGGCTGTTATGCCCAGCGACCAGATGTCCGCCTGCAAGGTGGGGGATTGGGGGGGTGAAGGAAGAGGACGGGGTGGACGGGAGGAGGAAGATGGTGGTGTCCTAGGAGAAAGATGCCTGCACACCACCCAGAACAAGGCGATTCAACAAGCACGGTTGGGGTTGAACAACGTGCCTCAGTTCATAAACACTTGGAGGACAGGACGCTCACCTTCTCGTCGTACCCGTCGGTGTTCTGAATGACCTCGGGCGCCATCCAGAAGGGCGTTCCCACAAACGTCTGTTCATTTAGCAAACGTGCCAGATGGGGGCACACGTGGCAGGCGTGGTGGGGCACACGTGGCAGGCATAGGGGGGCACACGTGGCAGGCATAGGGGGGCACACGTGGCAGGCATAGGGGGGCACACGTGGCAGGCGTAGGGGGGCACACGTGGCAGGCATAGGGGGGCACACGTGGCAGGCATAGGGGGGCACACGTGGCAGGCAGAGGAGGGGCATGCATGTGATGTGAATACTAAGTTTTGAGGCGTTGAAACAGGCCATGCACAAAACGCGCTATGTGAGATGGAAAAAGGAAGGAAACAAAGAGGAAACTAGCAAGCAAACAAAACGGAAAGAGGCCTCTTGAGGTGCAGGCATTTCAAGGGCAAGAGCCAATACGTTTAGAAACGGCCTCGGCAAACTTGACGGACACAAGGCGACAATTGTATGAAGAAGTGTTTTGAGACGTCTCAAAACTTGACGGACACACTTCTTCATACACGGCCTCGGCTAACTTGACGGACACAAGGCGACAATTGAGTCAACTGAAAAGCCACCTTGTTACAAGGTCACTCCAAACGTACCTTTCGCTTCGAGATGGTTTTGGTGAGCTTGGCGGACACACCGAAATCAGCCACCTTGACATCCCCATCCTCGTTCAACAGAATGTTGGCCGCTGCTCAGTGGCGGGAGACAGGGCGGTGGGCAGGGAGAATGGGGACATGCGGTGAGGGGAGGACAAGGAGCGAGGGTTTAGGGGAAGAGAGCTGGAAGCATCGGGAAACAGGGGGGTAGGACAGGCAGGAAGGGTTACAGAGCAGCAGGCGACATGGTAGGGCATGCAGGGAGGGGGCTACAGAGCAGCAGGCGCCAAGCAGGATTACGATGTACCAAGCAGCAGTCAGGCCGAAACGAGACATGAGGTTGGGCAGGGGTACAGAGGGTAGGCAGGGTCGGGGCAACGAGAGCAGGCAGGGCCGCAGGGGTACCACAACAGGCAGGTAGAGACATGAGGCTGGCGGAGGATGAGCAAGCGGGGGAAAGCTGGGATCAACTGCTCTCGCATCACCCTCCTGTATGATTGAGCACATGATCACACCCTTCTCCGACGGTCGTCAATGCAAGAACCATGCAGCCCACCTTTGATATCACGGTGGATCTTGTTCTCCGAGTGCAAATACTCCAGAGCCTGCAGCAGGTCGCTGGATGAATGGGCTTACTATACCGCCAACCCAACATCCCATGCGTCTCTCACATCGCCACCAACCATCCAGCTCAGCCCACCTTTGATGTCGCGGTGGATCTTCTTCTCTGAGTGCAGATACTCCAGAGCCTGCAGCAGGTCAATTACTCGTTGGGAGAACATGATACTACCGCAGCACAACCAAGCAGCCCACCTTTACCTTTGCACCACATTCAACCAACCTTTAATGTCGCGGTGAATCTTCTTCTCCGAGTGAAGATACTCCAGCGCCTGCAGCAGGTCGTGCAGAATGTAGGCAATGGACGCCTCATCCAGAGGGGCCTCCTGGAGCTGCACAGGGCGAGAGAGGAAGAGGGAGGCAAGGCAGGACAAGAAGGAAACAGGGCTGGATTTGAAACTCCAGGGCCTGCAGAAGGTCGTGCAGGATGTATGCTATGGAGGCCTCGTCCAAAGGAGAGAGATCAGGAGATGGAGGAAACGACAAAGGGGACTCAGGACTCCAGAGCCTGCAGCAGGTCTTAAGGGGGTGTGTTTTTGAGGCGCCTCAAAACAGACTACGGACGCCTCGTCTAAAGGGGCCTCTGCGAGAGATGGACTGTGAGTTGTTCGCACTGGGTGGGTGCTGTGCAGTGTGCGGTGCAGTGGTGCGTGCACTGCTGTTCCGTCCACTACAACCTGTTTATCAAAAGTGAAACTCACCAAGTCAGCCACACTGCCGCCTGCCATGAACTCCATGACGATCCATAGCTTCGTGTTGTGCACACTGCTGCCGTAGTACCTGTGCGGATGAAAGAAGAAAAATTACGTAGAATCAGAATATGCTGACTGCATATGAATACGAAACAGACTTGCATACTAATAGTATGTTGGAGTCACTATTAGCTCTGAGGGAAATATATAGTTACAATAGATGACGCTAGCCCGGTTTGTTAAATGTGGGAATCAAGGCTAAGTTGGAAAAAGGCCTCAGGCCTCAGGGTCTTGCTGGCATGACATGGCATGGCATGGCAGTATGGTATGCTACCTGGTGATGTTGGGAGCTCTGCACTCTGCCAGCAGCGCTATCTCCTGCTCCCATGCAGTGACACACGCACACACGCACGCACGCACACAGGGAGGGAAAGATTGCATGCACCGAGAATTGTGCAAGTGCAGATTGCCAGGTCAGGTTAAACTGAATTCAGTAATTGAGAAGATTCGCGACGAGACTTGCAAAGACTTGAGTGATTAACAGAAGACAGTAAGCATCATTTCCACTTCACGTGAACCTCTCTGCCGTGTGAGATGCTAACCTTTTGAATATCCTCCACGTCATCTTCACTGCAACACAGCAACACAGGCGATGGCATGTCATGGAGCAGACATGGCATGGCATGGTAAGGCACAGCAGCAGAGCGAACATGGCATGGCATGGCGTAAGAAAGGTAGGAAGTCCGTTTAAACCAAAACTTTGAATCATGATTGCTTGGCAGGAATGGGAGGACAAGCTTAAACAGGTTGCTGGGACGAGCAATAACCAGGAAACAAAACGGATGATGGCAAGACGGCGACAAGGGAAAAATGGGAAAAGTGAATGCGGACTAGGAACACGATTCCGTCAGTCAAGTCAGGGCGCGGGAACGTACGCTTCTTCGAGGTCGATGATCTTCACAGCCACCTGCTTGCCCGTCTCCTTGTCAACCCTGCACAATGTGGTAACCACATGGTAACACCACAGGTCAGCATGTCACCACATGATTGATACGAGTTTGAGACGGCTATAAGATTGATCGTCACTGCCACCTGCTTGTCCGTCTCCTAGTCAATCCCGCACAGTGCGGTGGGTGAGCTCATGGTAACAGAGCTCATGGTAACACCACAGGTCAACATATGGTCGTACGTACCCCAAGCCTCATGACACCAAGTATTCAATTTTCAAGTGCCAAAAACGAGAGCAAAATGCTGCACTAAAAGCCGCGAGAACGAAACTGTCATGAATCGAACATGACACGATTATGAAAGGACTTCCAGCCATGTCACGCATCGGCTCGCCACGCCACGACATGGAAACCGACCATCAGGCATGAGAGTGGAATTAGGGGGATGAATTTTAAATACTAGGAGCGCGGTCTATACTAGGAATAATACTAGCAATGGCAATAACAACGGAGACTTACCCCTTGAACACATCGCCGAAGGAGCCTTTTCCAATAAGCTCTGTCAGCTGAAACCGCTGGTCCATGATGCCACGCAACGCCTTGAATCAGCCACCCGAGTCTTCGCCGCTTTATATCAAGGTGCAAAGTATGTCCCCTTAATTAGAGATAAACGTTTCGGAGATTTCGAGCTAACTCGTTTGTGGATTAGCAGCCAGTGCCTCTGCGCACAGAAGGGGAAATGCACCCTAAACGAGTGCTCATAGGCCTAGGGACTAATAACCCTAAACGTGCTCGTCAAGCACCAGCCTTTCCCTCAATAGAGAAACCCAAACTTGACAAAGTTGTTAGTATGCAGACGCCGCAAGCGCGGACAAATGCTCAAATCTAGGGCAGCATTGACTTGATACTAAGAGCGTTGTTGGGCAGATTGAACGCCGACGTGGCCGACAAGACGCTCAAACGGCATGGATCGATGAGAGTTCAGGCAGTTAACCGTGGCAACTGGTTAGAAACATCGCTCTAGCTAGCCCGAATGCCAAACGGCCAAATGAATTGAGACCGAAGCTAGACTGCAGTTATATAGTGGTTCTGTGTGGGAAACTAAATAACTACATTTGGTGGGAATAATAATCTGAACAACCAGCTTCGACCAACTCGGTCTGCAGGGCCAGCGAGGCGAGCGACAAGATATCTTTTCGCTGCACTCGTCCTTTCATTTTTTTGAGGTGCAGATTGGAGTTCGCCAGGCACGGACTGAAGTGGGGAACGAACATGGTAACCAACAGCTTCTCATCATCCCTGATGCAGTTGTGGTAATCCCTGTTTTACAGGTGTGCTTTTCCCGGTCGGCAAACTTCGCTAAAGCTAAACTTTGCCGTTTTTTCGCAGATTCCTCGAGAGCCGACCAGAGCAAACTTACCTGTCACGACAGCAACTGAGATGAGATTGCTAAACCAATATACCCCCCAGAAAATGCCGCATGGGTTATTTCATGGCTCCAATTCTGCCTAAACCACACCCGAGACTAGTCTAAGCCGAGCTCTTGCCGTACCGTCCCCTGATCGGAAATCAGATCCGACGGCATTCGTCACAAAGATAGCCATTGCGAAAACATTGGGTCGGTCAGTAGGAGCATTAGCCCGACCTTGATCGCCGTCTGGTCTACATCTCTCCTCCTCTCTTGCCGAAAATGCCGGGAGACGAAGACGACGGCCTTTTAGACTCTGAGCTAAAACTCAGTATTAACCCCAACATTCAGGTCCGCATTGGCGGTCCGCTCAATCCGCCTACCACCGCTCCACACAACCCGCAACCGCATTCCCGGCACTCGCCCTCCATCCCCCCTCCGGAAATCACGGAAGAAATAGGCCACGTTCCCAGCAATCTCTCAGCATTCTACGTCGACCATGGCGCAGCGGCCTCTCAAGACGCGGAAATCGCGGTCAGCCCACTATTGGACTTAGAATCCCCTAACCACTCGTCTGTGGGAGGCGCAGGCGGCTTTATCTTCAGCCCCGCAAATGTCGGCGGCCAGATCACCTCGTTCTTAGGAGCGTCCGTCCCCGCAACTCTCGCCGTGTTCAGCGCCGCGTTTTCCGGGCTGGCTTTCGCCATAAGCAGCGCGCATCAGGGTCTTCCCGTGGCCGCGCATTTTGGCGACTCGGATAGCGAAGATAACTTGAGAGGCTTAACGCGTATGCCTCTAACGGGGACATCTGGAGACTCGTTAAGGGACCCATCCAGGTGTCAACAAGCGTGCATACAGTTCTGGTCCGACCCAAAATATTACTCCATAGCGACATTTGTACTGTACCAAATATTCATTTTACTCGTTATTAACCTATTCCACCTCGTGGGGGCTTCTCCGGGTTTTACGGCTTTCCTCACCACCTCCTGGGCGGTCATTTTCGTGGGTAATTTACTCCTCGCGCTGCTTCTACCCGGACTACTCGCTCGAGAGTTCCTCAAGCGGTACGCCAAGCGCGATATACTGGAGGCTGCTAAAGTGGGTTACTCTATAGCGGGGCAGCGGAGAGGCGGGCGAGTGGTGGTGCTGCGAGGACGAGTGAGCCTGCCTTCATCGGCAGCAGCATCCATGCCAGGCGGCTCCTCTTTTGAGGGTGATCAGGTAAGGATTCTTGCTTTGAGATGGAAGATTGTTTTTTCAAAGCAGAAGCAGTGGTGCTGCGAGTGGTGTTGCGGCGAGGGCGAGTGAGCCTGCCTTCGTCGTCAGCAATGCCAGGAAGGTGCTCTCTTGAGGGGAGAGCTGTGGTATTATGGGAGTAAGTAAGATGGGAATATGGTGGGAGTGTGATGGGAGAATGGTGGAAGGGATTACCTTCCTTCCAGCACACCCCCCTCTCTTTCAAAGCTTCCTCATCTTGACCACGTCCCTTCAGTCTTACCATGCCCGCACAGCCACGGCCTTCTACCGCCGCCGGGAGCAGCACAGCACACCAATCAAACTCACCCTTTACCCGCCCTCTTCCCCCCAACCCCCGTGCACTTCACCAGGGCTTCCTCATCATGATTCATGAGCATTGAGCACCTCCCTTCAGTCCCATGCCACCAGGCTCCGTCCTATTTCAGGGATTCCCAAATAACCTCACTACTCTCCTCACCATCCGCTCCCCACCCTTCCCCCTCTCTCCCACAAACCTCCTTACAGGGCTTCCTCATCATGAGCACGTCCCTCCAGTTGTACCACGCCCGCACAGCCACGGCTTTCAACCGCCACCGGGAGCACCACGGCAAGCTAACCTTCTCCCCACCCTCCTCCTCTCCTCCCCTCCTCTCCTCTCCCAGGGTTTCCTCATCATGAGCACATCCCTTCAATCTTACCACGCCCGCAGAGCCACAGCCTTCTACCGCCGCCGTGAGCACCTGCGGCAGATCCTGGCCGTTGATTTCCGCATATCCGACGACAGCGGGGACAGCATTCTCGTGTGCGGGCGGCGGGCGGCGGACCGGGGGAAACTGGCGGCGTTTGTGCAGCACGGGACGGTGGTGCCTTTGGCGTCTAGCAAGCGGATCATCGGCTTCCTGGATACTTCCTGGCTGGAGCAGGAGCAGCAGTTTCTGGAGACCCATCCAAATTTGCAGCCTTCGGATCTGGTTATCTCCCGAGGGTAAGTTAAAACATGAGGGAGGGAGTCTGACCTGCTTGTGTGCTTTACAAATCTACTCATAAGCTGCTCGGGAACAGAGCAGGAGCAGCAGTTTCTGGAGGCGCACCCAAACTTGCACCCATCAATTATGGTTATCTCCCGAGGGAGGGACTGCTGAGGGAATGATGGGGAGACGATCCAGAGCGATAGAAACACATTGTTGTCATGTCACCTCCAACCCACCCTTTCCTCTCCTCTACCCACAGGATTGGATGGAGGGGCAGATGGTGAGCGTGATGGGGCTGCTTAGGGAATCCCGGCCGCTAGAAGACGACGGGGAGAGCTGGTGTCGCTGTGCTCTCTCCTTCCCCACTCCTCCCCCACACCCACCCGACCCCCATACTCCATTTCCCCTTCCCCCACACCCCCCTCTCCACTTCTCCGTTCCCTGTATCCACGCAGGATGGTCACGGAGGGGCAGACGGTGAGCGTGATGGGGCTTCTAAGAGAAGCAAGACCTTTAGAGGACGACGGGGAGACGATCCGCAGCAGCAGCGTGTGGTCTACAGCACAGGAGGGGCTGGTGCTGGAGCCGCTGTGCGCGCCTGTGAACGTGGGCGAGTTCTTCCTCTGCTGGGGCTTCTTCCCTGTGTACTTCCCTACCTGGGTGTCCGGGCTGCTAGTTTCAGACAACCAAGGGCTGTTTTAACCAGAAAAGGTGGAAGGTGTGGGGTACAGTGCTGCAGTAGCAAGGCATGGTGCTGGAGCCGCTGGGCTCGCCTGTGAACGTGGGCGAGTTCTTCCTCTACTGGGGCTTCTTCCCTGTGTACTTCCCCACTTAAGTCTCTGGCCTGTTAGTCTCAGACTACCAAGGGCTGTTTTGACAGACACAGGAGGGCAAGGGGGAGCTTGCTGGCGGACGCGAGACCTCTTGAGGACGACAGGGTGACAGGGAAGTAGCCTAGGAGGGGCTGGTGCTGGAGCCCCTCTGCTCGCCTGTGAATGTGGGAGAATTCTTCCTCTGCTAGGGCTTCTTACCCCATGTACTTCCCCACTTGGGTCTCTGGCCGGGTAGTCTTGGACAGCCAGGGGCTGTTTTGACACAAACCCCTGCTCGTTTCAAAGACCTGGGGGCTCTTCTAATCTAAACTGTTTGGGAGGGCATCAGGGGCTGCTTTGGTGGAAGCAAGAGACATTGCCTTGCCTAATACAGCAGGGACACTGTCTACTGGCCAATTCAGTCACCAGAGCTAACCTTTTATGCGCCTAGAAAATGGCTGCGGTGGGCTGTAACCAGGGAGATAAGATAAGGCAACCAGTCTAGGAAACCTGATAATCAGGAACGTTGTACTTGCTACCAGTCATACGGTATGAGATAAGGCACCTATGTCAAATGTTATTATAAGTTCTTAGGCTACAGTGAGTAGCACTCTAGGGAGTACAACACTTTTAGGGTGCTATTTGTATCCCTTGTTTCCCTAGTTCATACATTCCGTTGTTCGCTAACTTTGAGAACCTATCCTATCCTGGTAGTTATTCTTGAGAATTTCAGGGACTGGAATTTCAGTTTCAAAGTATCCGGCATCTTTTTTTGACTACGTGAAACTCCATTCACCCGCTTGACTTGCGTTGACTCCTCTCGTCCAGCCAGCCAATCATAACACTCAGCACCGCCTCAGCAGTCTCCTCAGGCTCCCCCTCAGTCAGCAGGTGCCACGCACCCTCATACACCTTCAACGCCTTGCCCGATCATACATTCCCTTACTCGATTGACTTGCATTGACTTCTCTGGTCCAGCCAGCCAATCATATCCCGCAGCACTTCCTCAGCAGTCTCCTCAGGCTCCCCCTCAGTCAGCAGGTGCCACGCACCCTCATACACCTTCAACGTCTTGTCCTCACTCCGTGCTCTGTCATGCAACGCCTGGCTGCCGTCCAGCTCTGTGACTGTGTCGGCGTCCCCGTGGAGCAGCAGGAAGGGCAGAGAGACGGAGGGGAGGGAGGCCTCTGCGTCTTGACTGGCGTGCAGCATGGTGAGGGCGGTTCGCATGCGCGGGCGAGCACGGTAGGTGTGTGGGCTCGCTGCTATCTGTCAGGGGGGGGAAGGGGGAGGGAGGGGGGGTGTGGTTTGGTAAGCAGAGGCGTTGGGGGCAGAGGGAAAACGGAGTGCGTTGATAAATCTTGTCAAGTAAGCAGAGAAGTAGCTGTATGGAGGAACGCATCTCACCTTAGCAAACCGTGTTTCACCTTCTAAAACCGTATCTCACCTTTTAAAACAGCGTCTAACCCTATTTAGCTTCTCAGGGCAGCGAATGGAGGAAGTGACGATGCCACTGGAACGCATCATCTGCAGGGTATTTTTGAAAGTCCTCAAAATTACCCTGTAACCTCCTGAAAATTCTCAACAATACCCTACCTCACCTTCTTGAGCTTCTCCGGGCAGCGAATGACGGAGGTGACGATGTCAGCGGAGGGCATTACCTGCAGGGTAGTCTAAAAGTTTTCCTGCAAATACCTGAGAATTTTCCGAATTACATCATCTCACCTTCTTGAGCTTTTCCGGGCAGCGAATGGCGGAGGTGACGATGTCAGCGGAGGGCACTATCTGCCATGTGGGTATCACATACGCCAGGCCCTTCAACAGCCGCACTAAGATCGCTGGCGGCTGCACCTTGGCTGAGATCTGGTGATGGAAGCACAGTAAGGGAGTGTGTGCACAGGAAAAGAAAGAGGTTGATGAGCGGCTCCCACGTGGGAAGCACACACGCCAGGTGCTTCAACAGCCGCACTAGGATGGCTGGCGGCTGTACCTTGGCTGATATTTGCTCGAAGGCCACAGGAGAAAACAGGGAGAAACACAGCTGCCCAGCAGCCCAACAAAGGGGAATATAAGCAGGTCATGGGAATGGCGTGTTTTGAGTCGACTCAAAACACGCCATGAGAATGGTGGCATCTCCCATCAGTCCGGATGTTTACGATAGATGGATCTAGCGCCACTGCCCCCCCACATGCCCGAAGATGCATACCTTGCACGGCCATTCACAAAGGAAAGATGGAGGACCCAAGGGGATTTTTTTTTTTTTTTTTTTTTTTTCATTGGTTTCTCATGGCACGTGCTAGAAGCATACCTTGCACATGGGGGCCATGAAAATAGCGCCGTCCCATTGGTCGGGCTGCTTGCGGTGAATGCAAATCGCCACTGCCCCGCCCATCGATTCCCCACACATGAACTTGGGTATGCTCTGGTGCTCTGGGCGGTCTGTGGAAGCAAAAAAATGAAGAGAAACGGGAGAGGATCACGGGGCGAGGAGTGAGGGCAGGTTAGGGTCAAGGAGGAGGATTGGGGGCGAAACATGTAGGAGAGGGGACGAGGGGGCGATGGGAAGGGTCAAGGAGGAGAACTGGGGGCGATGTCGGATGGTGGGTAAAAGAGGAGGAAGGGGACGAGGGGAAGGGGAGAAACAGAAAAGAGAGGGGGAAAAATGCAACATCCGTTCCATTCTCCATCTGGGCATAGCCATGTTGGTGTTACTTTTGAGAAGTGTTTTGAGTGGACTCAAAACACGAGCCACGTTGTTGCTACTTTTGAGAATTCTCAAGAGTAACACCAATACAGGATGCAACATCCGTTCCATTCTCCATCTGTGCAAAGCCATGAATCTGGCTGGCTATCAAGACATTCATATGATAAAAGTGATTTTTTTTATAGACATCTCAGAAATTCACTTTTATCACGTCGTTCCATTCTCCATCTGTGCATAGCCATGAATCTGGCTGGCTATGAAGACACTCATACGGCCATGCCATGCACCCCCTTCTCTTCCGCCCTTCTCCCCCCCCCCCATACACCCGTCTCTCCCTCTCCTCCTTCACCCCCCTCCCACACGCCCTACGTACCCCGTATGGGAGCAAAGTATGCAATGCTGTCGTCGACTAGGGTGCTGAAGTCAGGAATGAACACGCTGAGTCCGTCCGACCTGAGGCACAGGGAAGTGTGAACAGGGAGGATGACATGGGGGCACTGTTATAATCAGGAGCGCATGAGAGTGAGACAGCAGAGTGCGATGCTGTCAACGACTAGAGTGTTGAAGTCAGGGATGAACACGCTGAGCCCGTCCGATCTGTCACACAGGGGGGAGTTGGAACACATGAGAGTGTATGCCAGTGCCACTACAGAGTGCGCGATGCTGCCAGTCATCAACGAGGGTGTTAAAGTCAGGGATGAGGTACGCTGAGCCCGTCAAACCTGAAGCACAGAGACGTGCGTGGAGAGCACGAAACGGGAAACCATTCTATTGCTAAGAGATGCGTGAAAACTACGCTGAAAGTAGGACCCTGCCATGCCCTTCAAAAGTCAATCCCATACAAGCCATACCCCTCTGTCACCTGCACCTGGAAAGTGTCTGGAAGGTAAGGCGTACCTGCCATGCCCCTCAAAGTCGATGCCATACACGCCATACCCCTCTGACGCCAGACGCTCTGCAGTGGCTGCATGAGAGGGGAACCGACGGGGTGGAGGAGAGCAGGGAGGAGAGGAGGAAAGGAAGGGGGTGGGAAAGGAGGAGGGGGGGAGGAAAAGGGGGAGGAAAAAGGGAGGAAAAGTGAGGTGGAACGGAGGGATATGAAAGCAACGAACACTGACTTGAAACTTCAGGAGGCACAGGGTGGGGAAAGGGCACAGGGCGGGGAAAGGGCACAGGGCGGGGAAAGGGCACAGGGCGTGAACGAGGCACAGGGCGGGGAAAGGGCACAGGGCGGGGAAAGGGCACAGGGCGGGGAAAGGGCACAGGGCGGGGAAAGGGCACAGGGCGCGGAAAGGGCACAGGGCGGGGAAGCAGTATACCGTACCTTGGAAGTAAGTGGTGCAATCGAAGCCATATCCTGCCACACCATGAACGGGAAGAGAAGGAATAAAAATCTCGAGGAAATTAACGAAAGGAAAGGCTTGTAATAACGGAATTAAGCCGAATATGTGCAGAATGAGGTCCTGGATATAACGAGGTTAGCGCCGAGGCCTAGCATTACCAACCCCTGTTCTCCCTATCTAAAGTGGGATGTACCGTGAAGGTGGATGCTCCGTAAGAAAAGAGGATGAGTGATTTTGGCGGTTGACTTTCGATCGTCGACTCAAATGTCACGTCGCGACGTACCGTGAAGGAGGAGGATGAGCGCTTTCAACGGGCGGTTCGTGGGTACCCACGACGCGGACATCAATTTCATTCCGCGTGAGTTTGTGATCCACTCCTCCTTGTGCTCCACGCCGTTACTACTGGTAACGTTACCTCCCTCGCTTGGTACCTTGACTTCCGAGCCCGTCGCTGATTCAGCAGCCATGGTTTGAGCTAATTGAAAGAAGAGAAGAAGAACTATGTTGAAAATAGACCTTTCGGATTACAATGAATTCGTCGGTTTCAGACCAACTAATTAGTTTGCGGGAGACAGCGGCGGCAAAAACGGTTATGAAAAGAACAGCTCGTGATGGATGAGACTCCAAACTCGGAAAAGCCATCTCGAGCGAGAATAAATTGGTCGCGGCAAGAATCTCCCTGTCTGCCACGCCGTTCATCTATCCAATCCAAGGTAGTGGAGTCGTCCAGACAGAAGGGTCCCTCGAAATTACCGACAGGCGAGGCGACATGATCGATGGCTGCCGTGGCATTTCTGTTGGAACCTCGAGCGCCAGCGGGGTAATGGAATAATCAACGGCACGCAAATGCTCGGATCGGATGTCCCAAGGTTGACGCGGCTGTGTAGGGTGCATATATTTCTAGCGGGGTTTCAGTGCGGTAGCGGCTCGACTTGTAGCCCACATGCTTTGGACTTATTTCTTTCCTGTTTGTCTTTCTGTCAGGCTTCGCTATAAGCAACTAATGCAGAAGCAGCGCAGGAAGGAGAGCTGGAGCTGGCTGGCATCCCCGTTCCAGCATTGTCCAACATCTTTCTATGTGCAATAATTTACTACATTTTACTTCAGGCACTATACTTTATAATATTCTTAAAGTAGCTTAAATCTGCTTGGAAATATATTATTCATGCATCGTTCCTACAAAGCTTCCACTATTGATGGAAATCCGTAATGATGAGACTGCTTCGCTGTAATGACACTAGGAACTCCTGACTCGGAGAGTAGAATATGGTACATAATCCAAGCAGTTCGCACAAAGAATAAAATGCATTTTGTGGAATTTGCTTTCGTCTGCGCAGACTGCGAAGTCGTTCCTCCCAATCTCGCTAGTCTTCTAGATTCCTTCAGCGCGTAACTTTCCTTAGCTGCTGCTTCTCCTCGGCAATCGCAGTCTACATGGACGACAGGCGAAAAATAGTCGTTTGCGATAACGGCAGCGCGGTAAGGCGGCTCATTTGATACGTCACGGCGCGTAGCGTAACATTCGCCTCGCTTTGCAATTCTCCTAAACACTATCGTATTCCTGATTTTTTCCTCGCGCTTCGTTCGCTCACTTGCTCATTACCGTGCGTCCGTCTGTCGCAGTCCATCAAGTGCGGGTTCGCAGGCGACAATTTCCCCGTCGCCGTCATTCCCAATGTCGTCGGGCGGCGCCTCGTTCGCCTGGACGAAACCTCCCAAGGCCAAGCACCCCCTGTAAGCCCTGCTACCTTGTCACCCTGTTACGCGTAGTCACTCTGTAGGCGTTCACTCTGTAACGCGTCAACGGTTGAGCTGAAATAAGGTGTACCATTCTCTAACATTCTCCTGAGTCTCATAGTCCTCCATCCCATTGCATCCTCTCCCATCTCATTCCATCCCATCCAACCCATCATTCCCCACTTCTCTCGACTGTGGAGCAGAGCTGACGTACCAATCCCATTCAGAGCGATTTTTGAGAATTTTTCAAAAATCGCTCACGGAAATTCCAAAAACTCCATTATTCCCCTCTTCTCTCGAATGTGGAGCTGAGCTGACTCACCAATCCCGTTCAGCTCAATGCCATTGCCAAGCAACCCGTTCAGTCCAATCCCATCCTATCCCATCCCATCCCATGCCAACCCTACCACCGACCCAACTACCTACCAACCCTACTTTGCTGTGCTGTGTGCAGGGCATTCTGGTGGACTCACAGTGCATGGAGCAACAGCAGCAGCAGGGCGGGCAGCGAGTGGAGCTGACCTACCCCATCCACCCTCTCATTCCAATCCCATCCCATGCCAACCCTACTGTGCTCTACAGAGCATTCTCGTTGGCTCACAGTGCATGGAGCAGCAGCAGGGCGGGCAGCGAGTGGAGCTGACCTACCCCATCCACAAGCAATCCCTTTCAGTCCAATCCCATCCCATGCCAACCCCACCACCGACCCTCCCCTCCACAACCCTACTTGTTTGTGCAGAGCATCCTGGTGGGCTCACAGTGCATGGAGCAGCAGCAGGGAGGGCAGCGAGTGGAGCTGACCTACCCCATCCACAACGGCGTGGTGCAGCGCTGGGACGACATGGGGCACGTGTGGGACTACACCTTCAACACCGCTCTCGGAATTGACCCCTCTGAAACCAAGATCCTGCTCACTGACCCTCCTCTCAATCCCACTAAGAACCGCCAGCGCATGGTGAGTGAGAGATGGCACGGGCTGCACGGTGTGGTGCAGCGCTGGGACGACATGGGGCACGTGTGGAACTACACCTTCAACACCGCTCTTGGCATTGACCCCTCTGAGACCAAGATTCTTCTTACTGACCCACCGCTCAACCCCACCAAGAATCGTCAGCGCATGGTGAGCGAGAGATTCATGGGGCTTGTGGGGCTTGTGAGGCTTGTGGGGTTTACAGGCTTTATGGTATGGACTAGTCAGGGTTCCCCACTTACCACTGCTCTTCTCACCCCCCTTTCCGCCGCACTTCCCACCGCCCTTCCCACCGCTCTTCCCACCGCTCTTCCCACCGCTCTTCCCACCGCTCTTCCCACCGCTCTTCCCACCGCTCTTCCCACCGCTCTTCCCACCGCTCTTCCCACTGCTCTTCCCGCCACCCCCCACGGCAGCTGCAAATGATGTTTGAGAAGTACAACTTCGATTCCCTCTTCATTCAGCAAACATAACCTCCCTTGAGTCCCCCCTCTGACCATCCGTCCTGTCCCTGTTTCCCCCTACTATCTTCCTCATTCCGTCGCTCCCCACCGCAGCTGCAAATGATGTTTGAGAAGTACAACTTCGATTCCCTCTTCATTCAGCAAACATAACCTCCCTTGAGTCCCCCCTCTGACCATCCGTCCTGTCCCTGTTTCCCCCTACTATCTTCCTCATTCCGTCGCTCCCCACCGCAGCTGCAAATGATGTTTGAGAAGTACAACTTCGATTCCCTCTTCATCCACCTCATCCTCCCTTGAGTCCCCTCTTTCTGTCCCTGCTTCCTCCCTTTTCTCCATCTTTTTGCTCCCCACCACAGCTGCAAATGATGTTTGAGAAGTACAACTTCGATTCCCTCTTCATCCACCTCATCCTCCCTTGAGTCCCCTCTTTCTGTCCCTGCTTCCTCCCTTTTCTCCATCTTTTTGCTCCCCACCACAGCTGCAAATGATGTTTGAGAAGTACAACTTCGATTCCCTCTTCATCCACCTCATCCTCCCTTGAGTCCCCTCTTTCTGTCCCTGCTTCCTCCCTTTTCTCCATCTTTTTGCTCCCCACCACAGCTGCAAATGATGTTTGAGAAGTACAACTTCGATTCCCTCTTCATCCACCTCATCCTCCCTTGAGTCCCCTCTTTCTGTCCCTGCTTCCTCCCTTTTCTCCATCTTTTTGCTCCCCACCACAGCTGCAAATGATGTTTGAGAAGTACAACTTCGATTCCCTCTTCATCCACCTCATCCTCCCTTGAGTCCCCTCTTTCTGTCCCTGCTTCCTCCCTTTTCTCCATCTTTTTGCTCCCCACCACAGCTGCAAATGATGTTTGAGAAGTACAACTTCGATTCCCTCTTCATCCACCTCATCCTCCCTTGAGTCCCCTCTTTCTGTTCCTGATTCCTCCCTTTTCTCCATCTTTTTGCTCCCCACCACAGCTGCAAATGATGTTTGAGAAGTACAACTTCGACTCCCTCTTCATTCAGCTGCAAGCCGTGCTGCCACTCTACGCCCAAGGTGTGCTGCTCGGTGCTGCTGGGTGGGTGCTGCTGCATTCTTGGAACGCTGCTACATTCATTAAATACTGCTGCTTTTCCACTCCATAAATAGTCGCAGCTTATGCAATCTGATCGCGTTCTGAACATACTGTATCAGATGCACGCTTCCCCTCTCCCTCTCCCTCCCCTTCTCTCTCCATCCCTCTCCGTTTACATCTCTCCCTCAGGCATTCTGACAGGGCTTGTAGTGGACTCTGGGGAGAGCGCCACTCACGCAGTAAGCCCCGTTCTTTCCCCTTGCATTTTGTTTTTGGGGGAAGGGTTGCCTCTTATAACTCATGCATGCCTGCTTGTGAGGCGCTTCCAAAATCGTTCTGACAGGGCTTGTAGTGGACTCTGAAGAGAGCGCCACTCACGCAGTAAGCACCCTTCCGAAACACACTGCACAGCACACCTTCATTCATATGAATCGCCTCACAGTCATCACAAACCTTATCTTCATTCCCCCCTTCTTTCTCAGGTGCTCAGAGCGAGGTTGACAAATTCTTTTTGGAATGAACCTCCTCCCCACGTCTCCCTTCTTCCTCTGTCGTGCTTCCCTCCGCATACCCCCAGTGAGGGAGAGCAAAATCATGTGTCTGCATACCCTCTTGCACTCACTCCTTCCTCATCCCTTGCGTCCCTCCAGGTCCCAGTGGTGGAAGGCTTTGCATACCCACACCTCACAAAGCGGATCAGCATAGCATAGCAGGCAGATCACATCACGTCTCTGGAATTTCTTCCCACCCGTGACCCCCCCTTGCCTCCCTTTCCTCCCTTGGACTCTCCTCCAGGTCCCAGTGGTGGAAGGCTTTGCATACCCACACCTTACAAAGCGGATCAGCATAGCAGGCAGGCAGATCACGTCTCACCTCATTGATCTCATGATGCGACGCGGGTATGTATGTGCTCCTTCATACATGCATTTCTGTATTCATAGTATATTCGTATCATATTGGACTTGGCTACTATCGTATTGTTGAGTCCACTCACAACGAGGATCAGCATTGCTGGCAGGCAGGCAGATCACGTCTCACCTCATTGATCTCATGATGCGACACGGGTACGTGCTCAGTTATACATCCATGTCTGTATTCATACTTGACTTGGATTCTATTGTATTGTTGAATCCACTTGTCTGTTCACCGCCTGCCTCGCACCCCCTTTCCTCACCAGCTACCTTTCAGCAAGGTGTCGGACTTTGAGGCTGCAAGTACCGGCGCTGCTTCCCTTACTGCTGCTCAACAGTCAACTCTTCTCTACGCTCCCACTCCTCCCTTTCCGTCTCTGCCACACTTCGTCTCGCCTTTCCCCCCCCCTTCCTCACCAGCTACCCCTTCAGCAAGGTGTGGGACTTTGAGGCTGCGAGGGCCATCAAGTCAAGGAACAGCTCTGCTCACCACATAACGCTCCATCTCAAGTTCAACTATACCTTGATGCGCTCTTCAACAGCCCCCCGCTGCTGAGCCAAACGGGCGTGCAGAGCTGTTCCTCCCCAACTTTCCCTCTCCCTACCTTGCGTGCCTGTCATCCCAACCCCTTCCTCACCAGCTACCCCTTCAGCAAGGTCTCGGACTTTGAGGCTGGGAGGAGCAGCGCTGCTTCCATTACTGCTGCTCAACTCTTCTCTACACTCCCGCTCCTCCCTCTCCGTCTCTGCCACACTTCTCCTCCCCTTTCCTTCCCCTTTCCTCTCCAGCTACCCCTTCAGCAAGGTGTCAGACTTTGAAGCGGCGAGGGCCATTAAGGAACAGCTCTGCTTCGTCAGGTCAGTGAATGAGTGAGAGAGTGAGCGAGTGAGTGAGTGAGTGAGTGAGTGGGTGAGTGAGTGCGAGGGTAGGTGAGCAAGTGAATGAATGAGTTTGTTTAATTTTCTTCTTTCAACTCACTTGTATCGTTGTTGTCCTCTTCAATTCCTTCCACAACACCCCCTCCTCGCTCCCCGTTTCCCCACGCCATCCTCGTGGCCTGATTATGGCGGTTCATGTTGCCTGCATCAGCTGTGATTACAAGCGAGAGATGCAACTGGCAGAGGACACCACAGTGCTTGTGAAGCAGTCCTCTTAACCCTAGCCCCTCCTCCCACCTTTCCCTCCCCCCTCCCCCCGCCTCATTCCCTGGCCCCTATAATGTGGGTTTATGGTCCTCTTTGATGCAGCTGTGATTACAAGAGAGAGATGCAACTGGCAGAGGACACCACAGTGCTTGTCAAAGAGTTCACTGTGAGTGGACGGTGGGGGGGAACTGGGGGGCAAGGAGCTTGATCTGGCTCAGAAATGGTTCTTCCTTTATCAGCTGTGACTGCAGAAGAAGAGAGAGATGCAACTGGCAGAGGACACCACAGTGCTTGTCAAAGAGTTCACTGTGAGTGGACGGTGGGGGGGAACTGGGGGGCAAGGAGCTTGATCTGGCTCAGAAATGGTTCTTCCTTTATCAGCTGTGACTGCGGAAGAAGAGAGAGATGCAACTGGCAGAGGACACCACAGTGCTTGTCAAAGAGTTCACTGTGAGTGGACGGTGGGGGGGAACTGGGGGGCAAGGAGCTTGATCTGGCTCAGAAATGGTTCTTCCTTTATCAGCTGTGACTGCGGAAGAAGAGAGAGATGCAACTGGCAGAGGACACCACAGTGCTTGTCAAAGAGTTCACTGTGAGTGGACGGTGGGGGGGAACTGGGGGGCAAGGAGCTTGATCTGGCTCAGAAATGGTTCTTCCTTTATCAGCTGTGACTGCGGAAGAAGAGAGAGATGCAACTGGCAGAGGACACCACAGTGCTTGTCAAAGAGTTCACTGTGAGTGGACGGTGGGGGGGAACTGGGGGGCAAGGAGCTTGATCTGGCTCAGAAATGGTTCTTCCTTTATCAGCTGTGACTGCGGAAGAAGAGAGAGATGCAACTGGCAGAGGACACCACAGTGCTTGTCAAAGAGTTCACTGTGAGTGGACGGTGGGGGGGAACTGGGGGGCAAGGAGCGTGATCTGGCTCAAAAATGGTTCTTCCTTTATCAGCTGTGACTACAAGAGAGAGATGCAACTGGCAGAGGACACCACAGTGCTTGTCAAAGAGTTCACTGTGAGTGGAAGCTTGGGGGCCAATGAGTCTGATTTTGCTCAATATTCATTCTGCCGGCATGGCATATCAGTTCTGATCTGATGTTATTAGTGCAAGAGGACAGAACAGTGCTTGTCGAAGAGTTCACTGTGAGTGGAAGCTTGGGGGCCAATGAGTCTGATTTTGCTCAATATTCATTCTGCCGGCATGGCATATCAGTTCTGATCTGATGTTATTAGTGCAAGAGGACAGAACAGTGCTTGTCGAAGAGTTCACTGTGAGTGGAAGCTTGGGGGCCAATGAGTCTGATTTTGCTCAATATTCATTCTGCCGGCATGGCATATCAGTTCTGATCTGATGTTATTAGTGCAAGAGGACAGAACAGTGCTTGTCGAAGAGTTCACTGTGAGTGGAAGCTTGGGGGCCAATGAGTCTGATTTTGCTCAATATTCATTCTGCCGGCATGGCATATCAGTTCTGATCTGATGTTATTAGTGCAAGAGGACAGAACAGTGCTTGTCGAAGAGTTCACTGTGAGTGGAAGCTTGGGGGCCAATGAGTCTGATTTTGCTCAATATTCATTCTGCCGGCATGGCATATCAGTTCTGATCTGATGTTATTAGTGCAAGAGGACAGAACAGTGCTTGTCGAAGAGTTCACTGTGAGTGGAAGCTTGGGGGCCAATGAGTCTGATTTTGCTCAATATTCATTCTGCCGGCATGGCATATCAGTTCTGATCTGATGTTATTAGTGCAAGAGGACAGAACAGTGCTTGTCGAAGAGTTCACTGTGAGTGGAAGCTTGGGGCCAAATGAGTCTGATTTTGCTCAATATTCATTCTGCCGGCATGGCATATCAGTTCTGATCTGATGTTATTAGTGCAAGAGAACACAACAGTGCTTGTCAAAGAGTTCACTGTGAGTGGAAGTTGGGGGGCAAGGAGCCTGTTTTGACTCAATGAGAAATGACACATACACATGCACATACGCATGCACGCACACACGCACATATACTCAAGCGTGCGAGCGTGCACACCCACACACACACACACGCACACACACACACACACGCGTGCACACACACACACACACACACACACACGCGCGCGCACACACACACACACACACACACACTCACACACACACACACACACACACACCTCCCTCCCCCTTCATCCCTCTATACACCGGCCCAATTCTCTCCCCCATCCACCCCCCCCTCTTCCCCTCTTTCCCCCCCCTTTCCCTTCTCCCCCCTTACCCCCCCTCTCCCCTCTCCCCCCCCCCCCCTTTTTTCCCCCCGCTTCCCCTCTCTCCTCCCCCCCAATTCCCCCCCCCCTTCCCCTCTCCCCCCCACCTTCCCCCTCCCCCTCCCCCTCCCCTCTCCCTTCCTCTCTCATCATCAGCTGCCTGATGGTCGAACGATTCGGATCGGTGCAGAGCGGTTCCAAGCACCAGAAGCCCTCTTCTCCCCTGTACGCTTCTCTCTTCTCTCGTCTCCGTCCTCCTCTCCCCATCTTTCGTCGTTTACCATTTTTTTACCCTTTCAAAACGGATCCTTGCAGCCCTTTTTCACCCTAAACCTTCTTTCCATCCGTGTGCCGTTGACTCCCTTGTCAAATCTTAAGGCTCCCTAATTAATTGGCCTGCATTTCGCCTAAAAATTGGTGCCTGTTATCGTGCAAGAGAACAATGCATATCTATTTAAAATTTATTTGTATCATGGCCCTGAAGCGAGCCTTCGAGTTTTTCAAATCTGGTGTGTATATCTGTCATTTGCACATGGTGCATTTCTTTCTTTGTTTCCTGCATGGTGGATTCATGGGCTCCTGGCATGGAATGTATGTTTGGAGTGTGAGTGGGTGGACGCGTATGGCGGGTATGTGTGTGTGGGTGGTATGTGCAACGCATGGCATGGTATGTGGCATGGCATGGTGCGGATTGGCATGGCGCGGATTGGCATGGCGCGGATTGGCATGGCATGGCGTGTGTGGTTACAGGAGCTGATCGACAATGAAGGGCTGGGATTGGCCGATGTGATCTTCAGAACCATTCAAGACATGGACATAGACCACCGGTTGAGCGTAAGTTGTTTTCTCTTCTTTCCTTCTGCACGGAACCTTTCAAGACACGAACATAGAGCATCGCTTGCTCATAAGTGAGCTTCTCTCAGCCGGCAGCCCCCACACTCCTTCCCCTGATTTTCGACTCTATCATTCTCTGTTCTGCCCTTTCTTCTCCCTCTCATGCATCACCAACAGCTGTACCAGCACATCATGCTGTGTGGCGGGTCCACCATGTTTCCCGGGCTGCCCACGCGATTGGAGAGGGAAGTGAAAGACCGGTATCTGAAGCATGTGCTCAAGGGGAATAAGGACGGCCTCAAGGTGCGTGGTTTTCTCTCTCCTTGGCTTCAAATGCCTTGAAAAATGTTTTCCCGGGCTGCCCAGTTTATTAGAGAGGGAAGTGAGGGACCTCTACCTGAAGCATGTGCTAAAGGGCATTAAGGGGGGGCTCAAGGTGGGTGTGTGGGTGTGTGTGTGTGTGATGGGCTGGTTAGATGCATGTGGCATTATTGCGTATGCATTCACAAAGGCAAAACATTGTGCAGGAATATACTGGACGGCTTCAATTTTGACCTTCACGCTCATGTGGCACAATGACTTTTACCCTTCATCGGTCCTCGGAATTGTCTTTTCACACTGTTTAACCAACTTTATTTGAGCAGAAATTCAAGCTAAGGATTGAAGACCCCCCGAATCGCAAGCATCTTGTCTTCCTCGGGGGTGCTGTTCTGGCCGATATCATGAAGGTATGCATGCACTGATTGCTTTGCTTCAATTTTGGCTGAAATGTAAATGACCAGTGTATGTATGGGTTCTCATGTGACATTGTACTCACCCTTTGATTTTGTTTTGGGCTTGTGATTTCTTTGTGCCGTGTTTGCAGGACAAGCCCGACTTTTGGATAACTCGTGCTGACTATGAGGAGGAAGGTTTCAAGTGTTTACGAAAATGTGAAAATGCTTAGTGAAATTGGTATATGGTGGGTAGCATTAGGTGGGAATAAAGTATGTGTCAGAGCCTGTAGTGGGAGCTACAATTTGCAAGTGTTCCTGGACTCGTTAGACGTTTGCAACGAGGCACAATGAATCGAAGGTCTTCTCTCATCTCCGTGCACCGCATTGTATCTATCAGGAATCTAGTTCCACCGAGCACTCTAGTGGTATTTTCAGTTCAATCAACAGCAAACTACCAAACGAGGTTTTAGGAGCTGAAGTATTAGGGGCGAACCTCGAAGCCGTATTGAAGGATCAGCCGTGGCCGTCGCGGTAGAACCTAGGGCTTCATAGTTCGTACCTATCGCGATCTGCGATAGCACGAGGACTCGTTATTGAGCGCTCGTTTAGTGCGGAACGTGGAGGCGCGGTTCTGGCCCGCTGGCCTTATCACTCTGTCTCCTAGCCGAGCCTCGCGAGCCTCGCAATCCCGATTCGTCCATGTGCTCGCGTCGCGATCGTGCGTCTGCTTAGTCGCCGCTATAAATCATCCGCCGCCTTCTCCGAGTAGCGCGTCTGCCGTGCGTTACACTGGGCTTCAACCCCCGTTGGCGGCGTCGCGTTCGTATGTTCCTGACATTCGTTCCTTCCACTCAACGCCTCAAGCCACGATCCGTTTCTTAATCACCACCCGCAAGCGCACAAACCACCTCGTCCCTCACCCGCCGCCTGTCTATTCACCCTTTGTCCACGCGTCCACGCGTCCACGCGTCAACGCGTCAACTCGTCGTCAACTTCGCATCCTCCGGCTCCTCCATTTTCCTCAGCATCCCCGCTATTATGGGCCGGCTCGTCCACTTCGCGAACATTCCTCTCCGCATCGTCCGGCCCGAGTCGCTGGAGAACATTAAGGAGGTCGTCTTTAGAACCATACCGTCCGTTAATAAGGTGAGATGAGGCGATAGGATCATCCTGTTTGTAGTTTGCCGATTACTAAAGTCTGGGAGCTCTTATTTAGAGCTTAGCAAGGAAGGCAGGGAAATAGGACGGTATACAGTTTCACCCCTCACCTCTCTCTCACCTCTCACCTCTCTCTCACTTCTCCCCTCTCGCCTCTCTCTCTCTCACTTATGTCAACCACCGTGCCCCCATCCCGCTACCTATGTTCCCTATATACGTTTTCACCGTCCGCGACGTCCGCTTATCCCCCTATATAAGTCTTCAGCGTCCGCATATCCCCCTCCCTCTACCGTTTTTCCTCCTGTCACCCCCATCATCCCTCCCTTCCCTTCCACGAACATCATCACGAGTACTTTACCTTTTTAGTCGACTTACAGCGAATTTTCCCATCCCCCATCCTCTGTGGTTTTCCTCCTTTCACCCCCATCATCCCTTCCCTTTCGAACAGCTTCTGCACTCTGCCTTTTGAGTTGACTCAAAGGGAGTCTCGCCATCCCCCTCTGTGGTTTTCCTCCTTTCACCCCCATCATCCCTTCCATTCCACTAACACCTCCTGCGTTTCGCCGTACATTGTCACTCCTCTTTCCATGCTAGTGGAAGGAAGACGCGTCCTTTCAATGCTCTCACATCGAATTGCACCTTTTCCTATTTTCTAGTCCCTCGCTTTCCCTTGTCCTTCTCTTCCCATTCCTTCCACTTTTCGTCATTCTCCTCCTGCAATTCCCCCTCCCACCCTCTCCCATTCACCCCTCCCTCTCTTCCTCCTCACTACACCCTGTATCCGTTACATTCCCTCTCGTTACCTATCTTGCACTTACCTGGCAGGTGGAGATTCGCCATTACCTTGAGACATTACACAACCTTCAAGTGATGTTTGTGGCGCTTTAAGAATCCCAAAAAACATTACGTTGCCTTCTCATTATCTTTTCTTTCCCTCTCTTGTGCTTTCTTGGTAGGTGGAGATTCGTCGTTACCTTGAGACAATATACAACCTTGAAGTGTCCCGCGTGCATACAATGAATTATGAGGGCAAGAAGAAGCGGAGCCGGTTTGGATACTACCGCCGCCCGGACTGGAAAAAGGTGGTTGTGGAGCTCAAGAACCCAGTCACACTACCCGGAAACATTTTCCTGGGTGTGCCGAACGAGACAGAAGAGGCAGGAGCAGCAGCTGCAGGCTCAGCAGCCCAATAGGGAAGATTCATGTATAAAAGGTTCACTACGATGTTCTCTGAAAGCGTAAGCATAGCATTTATTCTGCTGGTTGGTTGCCGACACAGCACCTGCAGCAGATCCAATGCAAGACTCAGATGGGGTATTTTAATTTACAGTAGTTCCTTGCTGCACGTTCTCCCACGTTCTCCCAAGCCTTGGAATCTGCCTCCAGGTTCTCGCTCGCTCTCATTGATCTGTAGTGTATGCTGCTGGGCAAAAACTTGTGTTATTGATATAGAGATGCTAGTTGGTGTGGTGTGCCTGCTCTGCTGCTGCTGCTAATGCAGAAAGAGCATGTAACGAATAAAAGAATTGGGTGTAAGGAGAACAATGTTCATAGCATGGATGGACCATGGTTGCTAGAATGATCTTGTTGCTCATCCGCATGAGTGAGGACCCCTGGGTGAGAACTAACTTTCGTGCAACTTCCGTAATTTCGATGAACATCTTGCTACCGTATGCTTTCCCTTCCAGGCAAAGCCCTTCAAAATGCTCCTTCTGCGCCTCTTAATCCATGTCCCTGTGGCCGCGCTTGTCTGCTAGCTGTGTGCCGCCCAGACTCATGAGGATACCGCCTGTCACTTGCACCAGGAACTGCAGAAGGGACAGGAACTGCTGGTTGAACACCATATCGGGCAAGAGGTCGAGTAATGGGTGTAGACGGCACAACAGAAGCTACAGTTGTCATTCCCACAAACTTCATTCTCCCCACGAGGGTCTGATTGCCGGAAAACGCCACACGCAGATCGGTCAAATCTCCACCGTACGATCGGCCGTACGACAGCACAGCACGGACCAGTGCGGGGGTAGTAACCCTGCCCTGTAACATCCAGGCGGGCTGGTTCTTGTACGACCAGGCTACCCAGGTGCCTTTCATGGTGAGAAAGTGTTTTGGCGACACAAGAGGGTTACAGGGGTTCCCTATAACGAGGCTGGGGGGAGGCGGTTCCGGAGATCACGAGGGAGTAGGAGACAGAATCTTCACCTGATCTGGATATGGGAGAGATGATGGAGAGAGGGGGTTGGAGGAGAGGGGGAGAGTAGAGAAGGAGCGAGGGGGAGGGGAATGTGAGGTTAGGAGGAGGAAGAAAGATGAGAGGCGTGAGGGGGTTGGAAGAGCAGCAATGGCAAGGGGGTGCTTACATCTGTTGGAAGCGCGACGGGCAATAGGGGAAGGGGGTTGGCGCGACGGGCAATATGTAAAGGGCGGTGACGTGACTGTACTCACTGTGACTTTAACGAAGAGATGGTGGCGACGCCGTTCATTCCTTGAAATACCCGAAGGCAAGGCTTCAAAGGAGACTCGGAGTGCACTGTAGCGCGGATGAGGGGAGGTTGGGGAAGGAGGGAGAGGGTGGGGGTGTGGGGGGGCCGAGGGGGATAGAGGAGGGGGTGAGGTAAAAGGGTGGGGGGAAAGGGAGGGGGGAAGGAAACGAGGGGGATGCCACGGTGCCACCTGGCTTCCCTGGGAAATTGTGCGAAAGCGCTTACGCCAAAGCGATGACGCAAAGCGGGAAACGCGTGGGGAGTTCGCCCGGAGAGGAAGGGAGTGGGGAAATCAATGGGGAGGGAACTGACCTACTATTTTCGGCCATCTTTGGGAGGTGACAGCGACGGCGGAAGCGGCGGCGGCAGCGGCGGCGGCGGCGGCGGCGGCGGTGGCGTCCATTGCGCTAGCTGATCTCCATAGCGACGCGGCGACTACGTGGTTGAGAAGGGGGGAAAGGCGAAGCGGGAGGAGCAAGCCTGGTGGGCAAGGTTAGGAGCCCGTACTTCTGGAAGGATGGCTATATAAGCTTGTTTTTTCAAGGCGCTTCTAAAGAGGACGGGTGCTACGCTCGAATTAAACGGGAACAGAAGAGCAGTTATAAGTTATTGTGGTTACAAAACGAGGCGAAAACATGATTCGCAGAGAAAATCGCGAAGAGAAAACAGCGAGGTGAAATTTGATAGTGGGAAGTCGAACCAGGGAGTTTAGAGGTGTCTTGAAAGTGATTTGAGTTTACAATAAGGCGCCATGAAAAAAAAAAAAAAAGCCAAAACAAAACAAAACCAAAGCTATTATTACCGAGAGTGGTTATGAAGATTGACAGCGCGAGATTCCGCCGCAACCGAGTCATGGAGATGGCGTGGATGAAAGCCGTTTGGAGAAGTTGCTGCTGGGAACGATAACTTCGCCAGTGGCAATTCTCGATTTCAGACAATTGCGAGGACGAAACGGCTTCTAATGCGATTAGGGGATGAGGCTTTGTCTAAAGGTCTCGGGAGCAGGGAATACAGTAGGGCGAAACTAACTGAACAATGTCAGTGGAGTCCCGACGGGAATCACGATGGAAAGGCTGGGTAGGAGATAACGAGCAGGCAGCGACAATGACAGCTATTTGATCCAGAGGGGATGGTGTCGTGGGGAAGAGTTATACTACTAGCGGACGGACCCAACCAAGGCTGACGCAAAACATTGCTGGGATCGAGGAGTGGGGAGGAGGAATGAGCGAAAGAGCCGGGGGCAGAGGAGACGCAGGGATCGAGTAGCAAGACGAGGTGAGGTGAGGAGGTGTGTTTCTTGACAAGATCGACCCGCAGAAAAAGGAGAGGGGAGGGGAGGAACGGGGGGGAGACGAAGGAGGGGAAGGAGGGGGGGAGGAGGAAGAGGAAGAGGGAGAGAGTTTGGTTTGGCGGACTCCACGGGTGGGGGGGGATGAGGGAGGGGTAGAGGCTTGACTTGAGGGAAAAACAAATTGTGGGAGGGAAGAGGCGGATGGGTCTGGTTGGTGGGACGGGAGGGAGGTGGTCAACATGTGCGCTTCGCAGTGTTTTAATCGCGCCTCGTGCGTCTGGGCAGCCAGCCAGCCCAACCAAACCACCTGTCCTGGAGGTGGTCCAATAGTCGCCAGGCTGGCAGCGTGCTGTTGAAATTCGTATTTTTCGCCCCACCACCACGACGTCGAATTTCGGTGACGCTGAAGAAAAAACCTTTCTTGCCCAGCGGCAGCCCGCCCAGAATGACCCAGTCGACGGTTTTCTTGCGTTGGTTGGGGCTGGATTTGTTTCTTGAGCGAGTGTCGCATGTGGTGTGACGATGATGTGCGAGATTTCCAGCGCACCTGTGGGAGTGAGTGAGGTTACTTGCAGGTGGCAAGCGAATCCTGATTGTATTTCGTGCAGCTAGGTTACAGTGGTTTCACACGGGAATTTCGATATGATGCGAAACCTTTTCCCATGCAAACTACACAACTACTCTTGCTTTCCCAAGTGAACCAGGACAGTTTGAAATGATGTCACATGTTTTATCGATTTTCTCGTATCATTTTCCGATTAACCTCTGCACCTATAACGAATGAGTCGACAGAGAAGATAATAGAACCAGAGCACATGTTGGGGGCGCAATATATGCATGCACTAGACTTGGAGCCCGGTCTAGGAGTCCAGTAAACGCCTTACTACTGGCCTGGACTTGGACCACTGGTAAGAGATTTGTAGATTTCTCTAGCACATATAGAGCTGGTAAACTAAAGCTCGACTATGGGACGACGACGAAACAAGCAGGGTCGTTGCGCTGCCTCGAGCGCAGGACCCGCATCGAAAGCTGGTACCTCTATAGGACAAGTTCGCGAGAGTGCTAGTAAAGGTGCTTCGTCAGATATCGCCGACTGGCGGTCGTTTCATCTCGCCGCAAGAGACGGCGATCTGGCTCACGTGCAGGAAATTCTCAACCACAGAACCGGAATCTCGACTTCCGAAATTGGCAATTTCGAAGGCGTCGAAATAATAAAAAAATCGGAATCGACGATGTTCACAGCGGGAACGTCATGCTTCCTGGGCGGTAACACCGCTACAGCAGAGCTAACGGATTTCGTCAACTCTCGCGATCCCTCCGGCAAGACCGCGCTTCACGAGGCTTGCGCGCACGGGCACGCGAAAATCGCCCGCCTGCTGCTCTCCCTGGGCGCGCTCCCCGCTGCGCGGAAGGCCAACGGCTTCACCCCGCTACTCTGCGCGGCCGCGGGGGGACACGCGGAGTGCGCGAGGCTCCTTCTGGTGCACATGCGCGCGGGGGAAAGCGCGTGGGAAAGTTTAAAGGAAAACGATGGGAAAATCGGCAGCCAAACTGCGGGAAGGGCGGGAGGCGGGCGCGCGAGTGCGTGGCGGGAATCGGACAGGTGCGGGGAGAACGCGCTTCATCTGGCGGCGCGAGCAGGGGCAGAGGAGGTGGTGGCGATGCTGGTGGATGCTGCTGAGAGAGAGGACAAGGATTTGGGTTTGTCAGGTGAAGCGCCAGGTGGAGAGGGAGATAATAAAGAGGAAGGTGTGGGCAGTGGAGGCGCGTCTGCTTCTCCCACAATTGATTTCACTGCATCAGTGTCTTCTCCCACACGCTCGGCCCTTAGTCCCTCGGTGAACAGCGAACGCCAATCGCAGCTGCTTGTGAATGCACGCACGCGCAACGGCCGCACTCCCCTGCATTCCGCCTGCCTGCATGGCCACGTGGCTGTCTGTGAGTTGCTGCTGAAGCACGGGGCCAATCCCAAAGCGCGGGACTCCTCTGGTTCGGAGCCTATTCATGAAGCAGCTGCAGGGGGGCACGTGGCAGTCATTCATTTGCTCGCTGGTGGTGCCACAGAACCAGGTTCAGCCAAACACATCACTCAGACAAACACCAAGACCGAGACTCCAATAAATTTCAATGCCCAGCCTTCTAGGCCGCACGAGCTCAGTGATTCTGGCACTGCATTGGCTTCAGTTGATGTGAACAGTCGGGATGCGTCTGGAGCCACGCCTTTTCACCGTGCTGCTGCGGCTGGCCATGTGGATGCCATGCGTGCGCTGAGTCAGCACAGGGCTGATCTGGATTCCCTGGATAATGCAGGCACCACGCCTTTGTACTGGACGGCGAGTAGGGGACACGTGGCAGCTGTTGAGTGGCTGCTGGAGAAACAAGAGCAGGAACTCCAAAAGGGGTTGCAGGAGGCAGCAGGAGGAAGAGGATATGGTAATAGGTGCAACAAGGATAGAGGCAACAGCAAGCGCAGTGCACTCCATGTTGCAGTGGGGTGGGGACATGTGGGGGTGTGTTCTCTACTTCTAGCTTCTGGGAGGTTTGATCCATTGCAGAAGGATTCGAGTGGGCTAACAGCTCTTGACATAGCTAACCGGTTACTGGACAATGGTAAAAAGGTAGAAATAACTAACCTGATAAAAGGTTATGACGGAACTGTACAGTGATTTTATGCTTTCTGCAATCGGTAGGATTAGAGCTTATAGTGAAGTATAAATGCAACTCCCACCCGATCCCAGATGTCTGTACAGTACTGATAGAAACGCGATGCGAAACCTGACGTGAAAATGCAAACATCACAAGACACGTGGCTAGTGTGACTCACAGTGGACATGCTGTATGACAGGAAGGGTGGTTCTTGTTGGTGGATCTTGTCCACAAGTCCAATTTAGAGCGCGGTACACCCAAGCAAAGATCGCTGCATTTTGAGGATCACGTCGGCGATCCTTGCGGAACAGTGTCCCACCTACTACAGTACAGTGATCACTGTGTCAGGTGGTGTACCAACAGAGGTGGGATCGGGAACATGTGTAGTCAATGCTACACAATCTTTGTGATGTCCGTAGGATCATCGTGACTGCCAATCTCTTGGTGATCTTTGCAACTCTGTACCAAAGTCAGGGTGATCCTTGTTGACGAAAAACTTTCCTTTCGCAATCAGGTCGTACATCTGAAACGAGGTCGCATCAAATCAAAACATTTCGAAAATGAAAATCTCACCAATGAGGTTGTTTCGTCTCAGTATATTACACGGCCAACATATGCACGCGAAGTATCAATGTTCGTGACTTGTTGCGATGTCGCCTGGTCGCAGAGGATCACCAATGCAAAATTGGAATTGGTACATCAACGAGGATCGTAATGTGCCCACAAAATCTGTTGTTTTGCTACCAATGATCCTACGATTGGGGTGACGGTGATCTCAGCTAAGTGATCCTTAAAAATACGCCAGGTGTACCCCGCTCTTACGATATACGTATGTGGGTTGAAGATCGTCTCTATTCTATCCAGCCCTGCACGCGTACAGATCTCTTTGCTGTCATGGATTGTCTGGTGGTTCTGGAGCTGCAAATTCATTGTCGGGCTCTCAACGTGGCCTAGTTCAGCACCACAATTGTTTTCCCTAACTGCTGAACTTCACCTTGGATCTTCTGCCAAATGCGTTTGAACACCAGCAGTGTGCGATAGCGTGCCCTAGCTTATCTGGACATCACAGACCCACAGTTCAACAATTCACGCGGTAAAGATGAATGGACAGAAGGTAGTTTACGCGTCGAAAACATCCATGTACTGTACCACAAAATATGGTCCCCCCCTTGTCCACCCTTTGGTTTCGTCACTCTCGCACAGAAGCCATAACCTATCCAAAAAAATCCTGTTTCTAGGGCCAGAACGATTTTTTCCCGGAACCAGTCAGACAGTGTCCATTGTAGTGTTCAAGTGGATAAGAGCGGGGTACACCTGGCGTATTTTTAAGGATCACTTAGCTGAGATCACCGTCACCACAATCGTAGGATCATTGATAGCAAAACAACAGATTTTGTGGGCACATTACGATCCTCGTTGATGTACCAATTCCAATTTTGCATTGGTGATCCTCTGCGACCAGGCGACATAGCAACGAGTCACGAACGTTGATACTTCGCGTGCATATGTTGGCCGTGTAATATACTTAGACGAAACAACCTCATTGGTGAGATTTTCATTTTCGAAATGTTTTGATTTGATGCGACCTCATTTCAGATGTACGACCTGATTGTGAAAGGAAAGTTTTTCGTCAACAAGGATCACCCTGACTTTGGTACAGAGTTGCAAAGATCACCCAGAGATTGGCAGTCACGATGATCCTACGGACATCACAAAGATTGTGTAGCATTGACTACACGTTCCCGATCCCACCTCTGTTGGTACACCACCTGACACAGTGATCACTGTACTGTAGTAGGTGGGACACTGTTCTGCAAGGATCGCCGACGTGATCCTCAAAATGCAGCGATCTTTGCTTGGGTGTACCGCGCCCTGAATACACGCGCTCGGTTTGCACCCTCACATTGCAAAACGGGCTTTCTACAGTTCTACTTGATTTCGCTCCTCATTTTCTGTGAAGGACACCTCTGACTGACTTGATTTTCGAAGAAAGCGACAAGACTGCACTCGTCGGCTGGCGCCGTTTCGACGACCTTCCTCTCTTTTTTTTCCACAGAGAAGGGAGTGAAGAGAGTAGTAAAATACACACTTCTGTTGCCCAAGTTCCCTAAGTGGAAGCGGGTTTCCTATTTGTCAACCCACAAATACTTCTGAGATTGACATATTTTGAAAATCATGCGACCTACAAATATTGGCGGTAAGTGACTAATTCAAGCAAAATTTCCGTTCCCTCTACGGAACCTTCATCCACTCCAGCCTCCCTCGTCTCCCCTCACCTCCTGTCCTGAGTCCCTCCCTCCCATCCCGCCCACTTCATTTTTCCTCTTGCTCTCTGAAGACTGCCTACCCAAAGCTGCGGCGCCACCAAATTGGTTGATTGGTTCATCACATCACCTCCTTCTCGCCAGGTGTTTCAAAACCGTTATTCACGCATCAGCCCTCGTCGCTCTATTCGCATAGTGTCGCCTATTTATGACTACGGTACTTCGTGGCTGCCGGCTAGGCCTGTAGTCCAGTTGTAGCGAACAGAAGTATCAAATTGTGGCGCTGTAGTGTTGTTTTTACAGAACAGTACTTCACATTTGATATCTTGGATGGGCGTGGCTTTTGGGACCCGCTAATCGTCTTGCCTCTGACAATATAAAGTCTGCGAGCAATGGGGTTCGGAAGGCCATCTGCCGCAATGGCGGCGCGACTGCAGGTGGACATTCAGAACGTCGACGCGCGCCAGGAGAAAACCGCTCTTAGCAACGCCGACGCCGCGTTAGCGGTTCGAACGAAAGCTGCTCCTAGCTCCGCGGGAGGAACCGCTTTCTTTTCCGCCTACTCATTTTCAAAATTACCCCCGATGGTCGAAATCGACCCTGCGAAAAGCAGCAGCAGCAGCAGCGGCGGCAGCGGCAGTGGTGGCAGCGGCCGCAGAGGAGAGGAGGGGGAGGTAGAGGAGGGGCAGTTCGCGCCAGCGGTTATTTCGGAAGGGCTAAGCAAGGGCATGGAGGCCTTCGACGAAGAGCTTCATAACTTTCTCAGTTACGAGGGCGAGGATGGCGGGGGGGAAGGGGACGTGCGAGCCGCGGTGGCGGCAGCGGAGGTTGTGGCCGCATCTCCTTCGTCTTCGGCGGGGACGGTGCCTAAGGTCCCTGACTCGCCGGACTTTGCTAAGTACATCGGGTTCAAGGACAGGCGCGGCGGGTCGCGGTCAACGAAGTCAATGCGGTCATCAAGCTCAACGCGGTCATCGACGAGCTCAGCTCAGCTTGACGTGAGGTGCGCTCGCGTGACGTCATCTCTTCCTCGTAAACCAGCTTAGGACTTTATACTCTTAAACAAACTGGAATAGTGCATGAGACCTGGCCGTACGGCTCAACTTGCCATGGGGTTCGACGTCCGTGAAGGAACACTAATACAAAAACATATACATGCCTCGGATGCGAGGGCTGGGCAAAAGGATAGGTTGCGCGGTCACGGGTATTTCGACCACTTTCAAGGGTTGCTTCCTATTGTCACCATCAGGGTAGCTCCGCGACAGCATTCGCGAGTTCGCGGTTTGGTAACCCTGTCGTTCTGATTCGTGCTTCCCCCAACTTTCCGGTATTCCCAAAGCAGGCAAGCCGCAGCGAAGGCTTCAGCTGCAGTCGCTAACCCCGTTGTAGCACAGCAGGTGCAGGCTACGCTCTATAACGAGGCGCCTATTATCGAGACCGGCGAGCTACAGCAGACCCAACAGCAACAGCAGCAGCAGGCAGAGGCGCAGAGCCAGCAGCAAGCGCTGCGGCGCAGGCTGGGTCCTACCGCGCTGAAGGCCTTCCCCGCGCCCGACGCGCTTCTTACCGCCTCCCCCAGCGGCGGAAAGAAGAAGGTTTCCGCTTTCCGCCAAGCCGCCATCGCTCGCCACCTCCAATCCGTCTCCGCGGTAGGCGCGGACGGCTCGCCGAATTCCGCCAATTCCGGCACGTTAAGCCCTGCGGATTCAAAGGGGGATTCCCCCTCGAAGAAAGCGGTCATTAATCACCGTTTGGCCGCCGCCATTGCCGCCGCGTCTCGCGGAACCAGCGGAACTGGTTCTTCCCCATCTCCCGCCCAGCTTGCGGCGGCGGCGGGCGCGGCGACGCGGCTAGCGAAGCGCCATTCCGCCGATCCGGAGCGTCCCAGCGCTGATTCCGCCGGAGCGGACAGTGCGGGGAGCGCGGGGGGGAGCACCGGGGGAAGCGGAGGCAGTAGCAGCGCGGGAAAGGGCGTGCCGTGGGAATTGACGCGGTCGAAAACAGGCGACTCGGGTGGGTCAGCGCATGGCGAAGAGGGCACTCGCGAAGTGCCGGCGCGCAGTGCGGGGATGGGGATGGGGATGGGGATGGGGATGGGAATGGGAATGGGGATGGGGATGGGATTGGGGATGGGGATGGCGGAAGCCGAGGAGGGCGGAGCGGCGATCGCGCGGCGGAAGACCGCGGATCATTTGCACACCATGCGGAACGCGCGCGAAGCGGAGAGGGGCATGCAATCGCGTTTCCCCTCGTCTCGTTCCACAATGACCGGCAGCGGCGACATGCCCGTTTCGCTGGAGGAGCTGTGCAGCGGCGAGATGGACGAACTAAGCGATACGGACGAGTTTGGTAACAGTGATACGGACGGAGACGATCTTATCGAGGGGCTGATTCTCCCGTTAGAAGGTCACGCACTATCGGAACAGGATACACGAGGGATGACTCGAACGAGGTCCCTCGGAAATCTCGAATCGGCTCTCGAAGCGGCTGTTGCGGCGGATCTGGCCGTTTTACCGTTTGATGCAACGAAGACAAGCAGCAGCGGCGGCGGCTCGGGGGAGCTTACTCGTACGGCGGGAGCGGGAGCGATTGCAGCTAGGGGAGGGCAACAGGAGTTCAGCACGTTAAAGAGCGCGACGCGGAGAGCTTCGATTGCCGGAAGCGCTGTAACGGCAGCTTCGGCGGTAGTAGCGGCGCGAGGGAAGGGCTGGGGAGTCAGCCTGCTTCACGCGAGGGAGGCTCTAGGCGGCTCCGGTTCGTTCGACGTCGATCGACTTGCTAATAAGCGAGTTGACTTTGGCGGAGGGTTGGGGACACAAACGGGAGGTGTGAGTCGAATGAAGGAGAGGGGAGATGTGGTAACGGCGGGGGAGGTGGAGCGCTTTACGAGCGCGTCGGATTCAGGTGCTTCTCCAGGTGGGGCTTCCGCTGGTTCAGGTGGTGGCGACAGTGGTCGTCTTTCGTCCCTTTCTGCTTCCGCTTCGGGCGGTTCGGCTATGGAGCTTTACTCCCCGTATCCGGCTGGTGGTAACCCTAACGATATCGCCACGGGCCTGGCTTCCTCTGGCGGCAGCGTTGGCACCGAGGTGTTCAGTGGCGGTTTGGATCCGTACGGTATAGCTGCCGTACCTCTTCCCGTGCCTACGCTCTCGCCTCGGCCATCCAGCTCCGGAGGGGACAGGCCTGGTGCTGCTGGGAGGAGAAGGGACGGGGGGATGGGGGGAGGGGGAGTCGGAGGTCTGGAAGCGTCTGGGCTTGGGGGGGCCGCAGCGGTTGTTAAGGCGGAAAGGGGGGCGGAAGGGAGGGCAAACCCGGAGAAAATGGTACTGCGGTGTCCTGTGACTGGAGCGGAAGTGAGTATGGGCGATGGTGATAGCAAGGGGAACCCCCACGGATCCGCGCATGCGGGCGGAAGTGGAAGCATGAGCGGGAGCGGGAGCATGAGCGGAAGCAGTGGCCGCAGCGGCGGGAGTGTCGGGGGTGTGGGTGCGGGTGCTGCGAAGGGGGGAAGGAGCGGAGAAGTGGGAGCGGAGGAACGAGGGGGCGGAGGGGGAGGAGGAGCGGAGGTGATGGGGAAAGTGATAGCAGCGGTGGTTGAATCACATTCTCTTTTCTTCACAGACGAGGTGCGTACGTAAATATTACTTCCAACAAATCTCATACAAAAACAACAATGAGCATCTTAGCTATATTTCATGCTGGATAATACTGAAAGAAAGAGTGTGTCCTCACATCCCTCCTGCACTTCATTTTCCACTCCCCCCTTTCGTCATCACCTTCCATCATCAACCCTCTCAATGTTTATCCTCGCGAACCAAAATATAAGCAACTATCACCTTTTCGCCGCCCTTCTTGACCTCACCCAATCCCCCATGGCTGTCATTCCCATTCCCCTTCCTCAACCCTTCTGTCATCACCTTCCGTCAGCAACCTTTCGTTTTTAGCCCCACGAACCAACGTATACGCAACCATCTCCCCTCAACACTCCCTTCTTATCCCCCTTTTTTTCCAACACCATTTTTGCCACTCAGACTTCCAATGGAACCAAGATATGCGACCACCTACTTGCCGCCTTTCTCGACATCACCGAATCCCCCATGGGCGTCATTGCCTCCGTGCTGCATCGTCACGATGGTTCACCATATCTCAAGGTGCGTAGAGTTTCATGCATACATGATACTTGCACGCTTGTCACTTACACTCCCTCCCTTTCCATTCCTCTTTCTGTATCTTCCTTCTTTCCTTCCTTTCTTCCCCTCCTGCTCCCCCACGCTTGATCTTTTGAAACATTTCTTACCGTCCCTTCCTCACTCCACCCCCACCCCTTCTACCCCACTACACCATCCCCCGCCCCACTCCCCCCACTTCCCCAGACCCATGCGGCCACCAACGTGGCATGGACCCCAGAGCTGCACCAGTGGTGTATCGCCAACTACGAAAGCGGGCTCGTCTTCACCAACATGAAGTCCCTTCTCGGAGCCTCCATAGCCTCCCGCCAGCCCCACATCTCCAACCATCCGCTCTCCGACCCGCAGTCCTCGGGAACACCCCCGGGGCACCCAACCCTTAACACCTTCCTCTCAGTGCCTGTCTTCATGGGTGAGTGGGCTGGGCTGTGCGGGTGAGTATGGTGGGTAATGCAATTATCGCTGATTTGCTCGCCTCCATCGCCTCCTGCCAGCCCCACATCTCCAACCATCCGTTCTCCGACCCGCACTCCCCGGGAACCCCTCCAATCCTGTGTTTATGGGTGAGTGAGTGTCATGGGTTATGCATGCAATCATGCGTGCATCGATGTCAATCCCTCTCCTCGGCGCCTCCATCGCCCCCACATATCCAATCACCCGCAGTCCTCCGACCCGCACTCCTCCGGCTCTCCCACCGGCTACCCGACCATCAACTCCGTCCTCTCCATGCCTTCCTCCCCTTATGTTTCTCCTCCCTCCCTTCTCCTTATCCTCCTCCCCTTCTCCCTTTCCTCCTCCCCTTCTCCTTTCCCTCCTCCCCTTCTCCTTTTCCTCCTCCCCTGAAACAGGCACCGAGCTAGTGGGCGTGTGGATGGTAGCAAACAAGGAGGGAGGCTATAAAGAGGATATTGTGCATGCAACAGAGGCACTATCAGCCACTCTGGGACAAATCCTGTTTGGAATCAGCAAGAGGAAGAGAAGGATGGAGGCCAAGAGCAAGCTGTATGAGGGGCGCGTGCCGGTGAGTGGAACTGGATATGTGTTGCATTGTTGCATCTTGTTGTGTGTTGGGTCTTTTGTGTGTTGGTGCCTGGGTGGCCAAGCATTGTACTGACTGATGGAGGTCAAGAGCACGCTCGGTTAGTTTGCTGGCAGCAGTGAGTTGACAAGGTCTTAGTACTGATGAGCTGTGAGACGTCTAGACACGCTAAGAGCTGTGAGCGGATCCTGTTGGGCTCAGCAAGAGGAAGCGAAGGATGGAGGCCAAGAGCAAGCTCTGTGAGGGGCGCGTGCCGGTGAGTGTCCCTCTGTGTGTGTTGCACTTGTGTGTTTTGGCCTGGTTTGAAAGAAGCACTTCATGAGTGGCTGATGGTGAAGTGGAACACTGTGACTTTTGAGTCGACTCAAAAGTCCCTCTGTGTGTTGCACTTGTGTGTTTTGGCCTGGTTTTGAAGACTCACTTCATGAGTGGCTGACTGTAAAGTGGAACACTTTTCTTAGAATATCTGACCCTGTTTCTTATTGTATTTTCTCCCTTGTACACCCAATCCCCGTTACAGGCTGCTGGGGAATCCCGTCTGGTGGTTGACGCCTTGGGAACAGTCACAGCGTGCAATAGAGAGGCGAGCAAGCTTTTCTGCTTGCCCATACTCGCACCACCGCCAACAGCAGCACCGGCAACAGCACCACCAGCAGCAGCTGGGGCGGTAACAGCAGCAGCAGCAGCTGCTGCTGATGAGGCTGTTTACCCTCCGGCAGAGCAGATCGCTTTCCCTGATCTGTTTTACAACATCAACTGCAGAGAGGACTTCATGTTGCTCGGTACGTTGGGGTGCTGCTCGGTTCGTTGCGGTGCTGCCCGGTATGTCGCGGTGCTGCTCGGTACATTGTGGTGCTGCATACTGTCGTGCCCCTCTCCTCCCCTTTCTGCCTGAACTGATACCAGTCGTGGTCGATGGCACATCTGTCCAACTTTTCCTGCTCCGTGGCATGTCATCACACCTCCCTGTCTCCCTGAGTCGTGTTTTGAGTCGACTCAAAAAACTTCTGCTGCTCCGTGGCACGCCATGCCAGCACACCGGCAAGACCATTCTGGCCCTCGTGTGCATTACCAAGCAGAACCTCCCTGCTGGTGCTCCCTCTCCCAACTCCCATCTCCTCCCATCTCCCATCTCCCATCGCTCTCCCCTTCCCACACCTCAGGTGTTGATGCTCATCTGGAAAACTCCTGCTGGTCCATGGCACGCCAGTGCACTCCCTGTCCCCCATACACGCTTCACTACCCTCGCTCACTCGACCTCCTCCCCCCTCGCCTCAATCCCCTCTCAGGTTTTGACGCTCATTTGGACAAGTCCTGCTGGTCCATGGCACGCCAGCGCACCGGCAAGACTCTGCTGGCCCTCGTGCGCATCACCACTCTCTCATCCCACTCTCCCTCACCACCCTTACACCCCTCCCCTGATCCCCTCTCAGGAGTGGACGCTCATCTGGACAAGTCCTGCTGGTCCATGGCACGCCAGCGCACTGGCAAGACCATTCTGGCCCTCGTGCGCATCACCAAGCAGAACCTCCCCACGGGTGCTGCTTTCATCTGCTCTGTGTGGGAAATGATTCCACCTGAGTATGCCAAGCTGCTCCGAGCAAACCCATGATTCTGATTCTCGACTCGGGACTTCTCAGTGTGGGTGGAAAGTCACCTTTCCCACTGGCGCCGCTTTCATTTGCTCAGTGTGGGAGCTGAATCCGCCCGAATATGCCAAGCCGCTTCGAGCAACCCCTTGATTTTGTAGTCTATTACCGGTATCACAAAGGTTGCCTTCGCGCTGGTGCTGCTTTTGTGGGCCGCTGTGGGAAATGTTTTTGCCGAAATACTGTAGCGGATTAGTTTTCCATTGCTTCCTTCCTGGTGGTGGGTTGGTGTCTGATTTACTTTGACTGCTGGGGTCGGCTTATCGTAACTGCATCTGGATGGGGTTTTTCTCTTTTGCAGCTGTTCTTGTCTACTGCCGCAACCACTGTATAGTACAGGGAAATATGTGGGTAGGGTACTACTTCTGGAGTTTAATTTGGAGATATATAATTATGGTACTAACTGACAGGCATTTGTTGGGAATGCATGAGATCGCAGGCTGGGTGGTCCGGCAGTTGTTGAACCTGTATGGTGCAGTATGGTACCGTATGTACCGTATAGCCCCGGATATAAGCGCCGTCCGTTTAAAGGCGCCGGCGCTTCTATCTGGAGCAGGCGCTTATAGACGCGACTTGATTATAAGCGCACCCCTTGTGAAACCTGTACTTATTATAAGCGCCCCCTTGTTCGGTATTGGTAGTTTTATCTTTTTTTTTAGTTTTATCTAACCACAATTCATCTAGCTAGTACTCGCAAAGACAACATAATGTTCTAATGATTACACTAGCACGGTCTGAGCATACAATCACTACGTATATTCAAGCTATTGCACGGCTTTACAGCCCCTAGCACGTCTCCTCATCTTCGTCTGACTCAGGGTCCGGGCAGTTGTTGCCCCAGAAGCCGTCGGCCGTGATGTCGTCGTCCACGTCCACTTCGTGCGTGAGCTGGCTCCTCCTGTGCGCCATAGTGAGATTCTCCTCGCTCCCGTCTAGTGCGTTGCTGATGCCGCATGTTAGAAACGCCTTCTTGATAAGTTCGGCGGGGACTGCCTTCCAGGCCCTGGAGATCCACCTGAGAACCACCTCTGCTGGCGGCTTCTTCAGATTCCCTGCACCACATGGCACTCACGGGGGTGATTAGAACAACAAAGGGAGAGGACAAAACTGCTAGACGTTAAACAACAAGGCCAAACCATACCTGCTTTGGTGAGCCTCTCCAAGCCTTCTTCCTCAAACCAGCTCTGGTACTGCTGGCGGACGGAGGCTTTGAAACTCTTGTTGACCGAGACGTCGAGCGGCTGTACCTCCGCCGTACAACCTCCTGGGATGATAGCCGGGACGATGTTGAGCTCGGCGAACTTCTTCTTCACCTCGTCCGTGAGATGCCCGCGGTAAGAATCCAGAACGAGCATCGCGCTCTTCGCCTGCCTGCCGAACCGGGGCTTCATGAAAGGCTTGATACACCCGTCAAGCCACTTCGCGACGCCGTCGGCGTCCATCCAGCCGTTGTCTTGGCACCCCACCACCACATCTGCGCACGCAATAAAAGGAACTACGCATGTTAAACTGCGACGACATCAAACATGAGTACATGAATAGGCAAGGATGTCTTACCCGTCGGGAAATCCCCCTTCGGCACCGTCTTGCGCTTGAAGAAGACCCATGGTTTCAGCTTCACCCCGTCAGCAGTGCACGCCAACATCACGGTTACTCGCTGCTTCTGGTAACCCGTGCTCCTGATGGGCACCGAGCGAACTCCCTTCTGATCCACGGTGGTGGTGGCGGGCATCTCCAGCCACAGCGGCGTTTGGTCGGCGTTAATAATCCACGCCGTATCAATCCCGCGCTCACGTCGGTTGTTACGGACGAACTCCCAGAATTTCTCGCACTGCTCCGCGACATCTGTGTAACAAAGGTAAGGGGTGGAAGAGGTTACGGATATTAAACCAGATGTCATAAAACCAAGAAAACCAACGGTGAAACAACTGAGCGAACCACTTACGTGCGGCAGTTTTCTGAGCTACCTTCGTCTTCATGCGGACGCTCAAGTTCCAGCGCCGCCGAAACCGGTCCGACCACCGTTGACTGCCCTTCCATTTGACGTCGGGGAACAGAAGCTTCATAAACTCGTGCGACCACTCCTGCAGCCGACCGACAGAGACCGCGCATCCCTTGCGCCGCCACTCCAGCAGCCTCGCATAGACCTTCAGCTCCATGGCTCTGTACCAAGAAGCTCTGCCGCGACCGTGCATCCGCATGCGAGCGCCGTGAGCATCCTTGAGGATGGCGGCCTCCTTCATCCACTGCGTCAGGCACTTCCGATGGATACCAGATTCACGTGACAGCGCGCGGACCGAAACCGCCACTTCCATGAGCGCGCACCACTTCAATTTCTCTTGGGCTGTGTAGGCCTTTCGCTTGTGCTGCGTCATCCTGTGCCTGGGAGAGGGAGGGCGGGCATCTCGGTTCTGGGAAGATGGGTGGGGACGCTTGCGGTTAATCGGTGGGTAGGAAGGGATGGGCAATTTTTCAGGAAGGCCGTCGCGCGACCAGTATTCCACTCCGTCGCTGTCATCGCCGCCCACAGCACCCTCGGGGAACACATCGGCCTCCGTGCCCGCCTCGGTGCCAGCCTCTGTGGCGGTCTCGTTGTCCGCCCCGCCGGCCTTGTCGCCCTCCGCGCCCTCGGTTTCCACTTCGTCGTCAGCGCCCACAGCAGATTCGTCCCACGCGCAGTTTCCGGGCTCGCCCCAGCGTGGTGCCGACGCGGATTCACCTTGAGGCTTGTCTCTGACAGGCTCTTCCAGCCATTCGGTGAACGTCCGAGGGAGATACGGGCAAATCCAGAGCACGGGCAGGTTGCCTAAGGTTTCCAGAGGAGGAGGATTCGGAGGAGCAGGAGGCGCGGGAGGTGACGGAGGAGCAGGAGGAGCAGGGGGAATAGGAGGCGCAGGAGGCTGTGGAGGTTCGGGGGGATCAGGTGCGACACGGCTGTACCACCCGTCAGCGCTAACGGTAAAAGCGGGCTTCCTAGGCTTGTTCTTGAAGAGGAAATGGGTGCCTGAGAATTCCGCCATGGCTGAAGCAGCCTGGCGGGAGAGAAACGAAAACTGTGGTTAGAATGTGCAAGAATGAGGATTGAAATGGAGTTGGGAGGGACCCCTTCTCTTTGGCGCCTCGAGTTCCTCGACGATGACAAGCAGGAAACCCCCGCCTACACCCGCAGAGGACCATGCGTGGCGTGCACGACGCTGCGATGGCATGGCGAATTCCACCACCTTCTAGAGGGTTCGGGTGGAATTTGCTTGCCTAGCAGCGCATGACGCTGTGATTGGGCCGCACGGCAGGATACGCGTCAGCGCTGGCATGAATGATTCCACCCCCTTCTAGAGGATTCGGGTGGAATCGGCGCATGAGCACGCCATTGGACCGCACGGCAGGATTCGTGTCAGCAACAGCAGGTTCGTTGCTTCTGGACGTGAAGGTGAACCCCGAACCCGAATCGCGGTTGGTTTCCCCTGAAACTCGTGCACGAAACCACGTGATCGAACGTTTGGTTATGTTCGCCTTACAGAGAGCTTCAATTCGGTACTTAAAAAAACAAATTTCATTTTTCCCTCTTACAGGCGCATGCGCTTATCCCCGATACTCGTTTACAAGCGCCCCCCTTATAAAACTTGATTTTATTATAAGCGCATATGCGCTACTATCCGGGGTAATACGGTATGTACAGCGTGTACTCTTACAAGCACTGTAGCACTGTACCGCGTATGTTCCATTGCTGACATCTCCTCACCTCACCAGACTCCATCGCACTCCCTCCCTCCGTTCACCATTCTCACCTTACTCGAGCCCCCCGGTCCCCCCAATCCCACCCTCTCCATCTCTCTTCTCTTCCCAACAACTCTTCTAGTCCAGTCTAACCCCCCACCCCACCCCCCCCACCCCCCAGTTCCGGCCTTAACCAAATATTATACAGTAAGCCCCACTTCTCCCGTAGAAATGAGGTTCTGCCATCTTCTGAAAGGTTTCATGAAACCCAACTCTTAATGAGTCTCCAGCATGAACGGTGCAAGCTCACGTCTAAATCTCTTTCCAAACTACTCTTCTGAGCATCTAAGCAGCTGAAATAAGCACACCGCCTCCCTTTTCAGGCGGCTCAACAGCCCAACTAGGGATGAGCTTCCAGCATGAACGGAGCAAGCTCGACTTGGAATTTCTTCTCAAACTCCTCGCCTGTGCACGCAAGAAACTGAGTCAAGCACACCGCCTTCCCTCCCTGCCGCCAACCTTCACCTCGCTGAGATAAAGCATTCACAGCCACAGCCCCTCCCCCTCCCAACGCAGCATAGCTGTCTTGTGCATATTCCAAAGCAGTTCGATCCTCATGCTTCCTCACCCCGACCTCATCTTTCCCACCCACATCCTCCCCTGCTGCTCCCTTCCCTTCTGCCCCGCTCCTCCCATTAGAAATGCCTTCCAAGTGCCATCTCCCTGCACCATTTTTTGGCAAAGCTTCCTCATGCGGCACCAACACAAAGCCTCTGCTCACCAGTGCCACATGTCGCGGTCTGATTCGCCGCTCCAAGCTGTACCCAAGGAAGTGAGGGAACGCAAGCACCTCCTTTATAGAGAGCCCCATGTCCCGCTTTAAGTATTCCACCTTGTGCCTCGTGTTCCTCTCCCAACTGTAGCAAATAGAATTCGGGAACGTAACCACCAGCTTCACCACGAGCTCACAAGCTGTTGTTGTGGCAGCAATGCTCGTAGAACCTGATCCTTCTTCTGAATCTTCTTCAGCCCAGGCCTCGACCCCTGATTGACAGCCAGCATCGCTCCCCCCTTGCTCCGCACGTTCTCTAGCATCCTTTTGACACGCTTCAAAAGCCGGGCTTTCTCTTGAAACCCCATCACCTTCACCACCCTCCAATGCCTCTCCCACCTCATGCACAAGCTTCCTAGCACCTTCCTCAAGCAAGTGCCTCCCACTCTCCTCTCCCCTACTCTCCTCCATTGCCTCTTCCACCTCTCGCACGAGCTCTCTAAAACCCTTCTTAATGTTCTCCTCATTAGAAGCCAGCAGCACAGGAAACCGTGCAACTGCAAGCACAGTGTTCTCTCGGCCAATCAGATCGCCCAACAATGCCACCTTGCCTTGCATGTTCTCTATGGATAGAAGAAGAACCGTTGGATGGCTTCGCACCACACATGCGGCTGCCTTCTTCCCTACCAGTTCCTCGAAGTACTGGAGCTTAGCTAAGATATTCTGAGAGCTGAGGTGGACGAGAGAGGGGGCCTGGCGGAGAACCCGGATGGCAATGGAGGGGCTGTCAGGGGGAGTGAAGGACTGGAGGAGACTGAGGATGGGAGGGATGCGCTCGGGAGGTTTGAGGAGGATACCTGGATATTGCACCAGGAGTTTTCTCAGGTGAGCTTTGTCCTGGTCCTGCCTATTCAGGTGTCCGCTGCCGACAATTCCTCCTTCGTATCCACCAGTAAAATACGCTGACACTTGCTCGAGACGTCTTCGTATCGTTTCCTCCCCCAAGAATAGGATACCCGGATCTCTCTCAATAATCACACCGAGCTTGTCCACAGGAACCCCTGCTCTTTCCACCAAGATGTCCAGGTTCGTTGAACGAACCTGTGAGCGAATGACATATGGAGACCTTCGGAGAACTGCACCTAGCCTGGTTCGGAGTATGCCCCGAGCCAAGAAAAAGCCAAGCATTTCCCGAACCTGGGGAAGGGAGACTCGGAGCCAGAAAGGGTTACTCATTGTGATGGTCGAGATGTCGGCACGGGATATGTCATACGACTCTAGAAGCTCGACACGTGGCAGCAAGTCATTGGTGGAATCAGACCGAAGGAGCGCAGGGTAAGAGGCGAGGAGGGAAGCGACAGTGGAAGGGGAGGAGATGCCGAGGTGGGAGGAGAAGAAGCGGTAGAGGGAGAGGAGGGAGGAGGGAGAAACAGCCCGCCGCCTCTTGAGTAGAGAAGGGGGCGTGGGAGGAGATGTGGCGGGTGTTCCGTCCTCATCACTCGCTCCTGCCTCTGCTTCTGCGTCTTCCCCCTCCTTCCATTCCTCATCCTCTTCCTCCTCAACTTCTGAGCCCTCTATTTCCTCATCCCCATACCCCACCTCTTCCTCTTCTTGTCGTCCCTTAGCCTCCTCCTCATCCGTAATCCTTCCATTTGCTGCCCCCCCCTCCTCCTCCTCCTCTATCACTATTTGAGGCCCGAACTTCTCTCTCAACACTCCAGCAATCACCGCCACTGCCTTTTTCTCCTCCTCTGTTACCTCGCATCCTCCCCTCCCTCCACGCTTCCTCCTGTCTCCCTCAACCTTTCCCTTCACTTTCCTTGCTCTCCTATCACGTCTCGTACGCTCTCCTCTGCAATCCGCCTCCTCCCTTCCCACTCTACTCTCGCTCTCCTCTGATTCTCCTCCCTCTCTTTCTCCCTTTTCTTTTCCATCTGCACGCAACCGAGCGTCGGTCTCAACCGTCAGCACTGTCTTGCCATCGAAGCTCGGATCAAATCGCGGATTTGCGCTCTCCGCCTCGGGAATCTCTACTTGGCTGGCTAACGATCCAGCGGGACAGCTTACAGTGAAGCTCCGGTCAGGGTTTCGAATCCTGGTGAATGCGTTTTCTGCAGGATGGTGTCGGTTTAGCCCGAACTGGTAGCCGCTCGACGGGGAAGGAATAGCAGCTGCGGATGTAATTCCAGGCTTCAATGAAAACGACTTGGAACGAGGAGTAGAAGACTGTGTCATGTATCTTAGCGAAAACAAAAATCTGTCAATCCGCGCGATGGATGGCCGTGACCTGGAGGTACGAAACGCCATAGCGATTAGCCGACGGATTATACGGCTTCAGGATGAAACAGAAGTAATGAAATACGGCTTCAGTGCTCGTCCTACAACGAACTATCTGATGTGATTCTCTGAGCATCGTGCTGTGACTGCCAGAAATCTAACGAGCTAAAAAAGCGCTCAGTCCATTTCTCTGGGTGCAGTTTTCTCGCCCCCCCGTGGCAGACCCCAGAAAGCACCAGATCAACGAAAAACTGGCGCTGAGATCACCGAGCTGCGACAATATTGGCTGGCGAATCCACCCATTCACCCTTCACGATTGCATTGCGACTATGAACCGTCGCAAGCAGAGTTTCATGTGCTTTCACCAGCCCATTTGTATCTAGGCGACGAGTCGTTGGCACACTTGCGAAGAGTCGTGTGCGCCCGTTCGTGCCGCTTCGAATTCGTACCCGTTAACAGAAATTGATGAAGCAAGCACATTAGAACGATACCGTAAGTTTCTCATTAGGTGGGATCGAGAGTGTATGTGTTCCATTGCAATCTCACTCCCTCCCTTCACCATTCCAGCCTTTCCGTTATTCGCCTTCCCCTTCCCAATGGCTCTTCTACTCCAATTTACACCCCCCTCAATCCCCCCTTCCCCCTGCCCTCCGCATTGACCACCATTACCAGGTAAAACCCGCTTAGTATTGAGTTTTTGGCACTTGCTAAAATGCTCCAGTAAAACCGACTAGGGACGAGTTTCCGGCATGAATGGTGCGAGCTCGACCTTGAATCTCTTTTCAAACTCCTTGTCCGTGCGTCCAAGCAACTGAGTCAAGCACGCCACCTCCCATCCCTGCTGTTGATTCACGCCGCGCCGGCCCGCAGCACCTTTTCTCCCCAACACATCATAGCGGTCTTGCATAGAATCCAATACACTTTGATACTCAACCTTCCTAACCCCCAACTCATCCATCTCACCATCTTCCTCCCCATATTCCAATTCCATATGCTCTTCCTTCCCTTCTCCACTCCTATCACTGCCAACTCCCTCCAAGTACCGCCCTTCTCTCCTTTCTCCACCATTCTTCGGCAGCGCTACCTCATGTGGCACCAACACATAGCCATTGCTCAGCAGCGCCAAATGTCGCGGTCGGATTCGCCGATCCAAATTGTAATTAAGGAAATGTGGGAACGCAAGCACCTCCATTATAGACAGCCCCATGTCCTGCTTCAAGTATTCCACCTTGTGCCTCGTGTTCCTCTCCCAACTGTAGCAAATACATGTCGGGAACTTAACCACCATATTTGCCACCATATCACGAGCTGTCGTGGCGCCAGTAGTTCTCTTAAAGCCTCGGCCTTCTCCTGCCCTTGCTTCTGCACCTCTCCCCCCTTGCTCCGCACGCTCTCTTGCATCCTTTGCATCAATTTGAGGCTCTTCAACATACGGGCTTTCTCGTGCATACCCTTCATCTTCACCACCCTCCAAAGCCTCTTCCACTTCTCGCACAAGTTCGCTGAAACCCCTCTTCAGGCTCTCCCCATTAGACGCCAGCATCGAAGGATACCGTGCCACTGCAAGCACAGCGTTCTCTCGGCCAATCAGATCGCCCAACAACGCCACCTTGCCTTGCATGTTCTCTAAAGATATAATAAGAACCGCCGCATGGCTGCGCAACACAGTCCCTGCTACCTTCTTCCCCACCAACTTCTCTAAGTACTGGAGCTTAGATAGGATATTCTGTGAGCTCTGGGACAAGAGAGTGGGAGCCTGGCGGAGAACAGGTATGGCAACAGAAGGGCTGCTAGGGGGGGTGAAGGACTGGAGGTGGCGGAGGTTGGTAGCAATGCGCTCGGGAGGCCTGAGGAGGATTTTTGGAAAAAACACCAGGACTTTGCTCAGGTCATCCTTGTGCTGCCGGTTCAGGTGTTGCCTCAGGTGGCCGCTGTTGATGCTTTCTTCTCCGTATCCGTTAGTAAAAAACGTTGATACCTGCTCGAGACGACGTTGTATGGTTTCCTCCCTCAAGCATAGGATAGTCGGGCCCCTCTCTATAATCACACCCAGCTTGTCCACAGGAACCCCTGCTCTCTCCACCAGAATGTCCTGGTTCGCTGAACGAAGCCGCATGGTCATGAGATAACGAGACTTCCGGAGCACCATACCTAGCTTGGTCCGGCGTACGCCCCGAGCCAAGAGAAAGTCAAGCATTTCCCGAACCTGGGCAAGGGAGCATCGAAACCAGGAAGCATTGTTCATGGTGATGGCTGACATGTCGGCGCGGGATACGCCATACGACTGGAGGAGGTGGACACGTGGCAGCAGGTCACTGGCAGGATCAGAACGCATGAGGGCAGGGCGTGAGGCGAGGACTGAAGCGACAGTGGAAGGGGAGGTGATGCCGAGGTGGGAGGAGAAGAAGCGGTAGAGGGAGAGGAGGGAGGAGGGAGATACGACCCGAGGGCTGTTGAGTGGAGGAGGGGGTGTGGGAGGAGATGTGGTAGGTTGTCCGTCCTCATCACTCGCTTCTTCTTCTGCTTCTGCTGCTGCGTCTTCCCCCTCGTTCCCTTCCTCATCCTCTTCTCCCTCAAATTCCGCGCCCTCTGCTTCCGCATTCCCATCCACCTTCTCCTCTCCTTCTGCACCCTTCGCCTCCTCGTCCGTAATACTTCCGTTTGTAGACCCCTCCTCCTCCCCTTCCTCTCTCACAATCTGAGGCCCGAATTTTCCCTTCAATACTCCAGCAATCACTGCCACAGCCTCCTCCTCCTCCTCTGTCGCCTTGCATCCTCCCCTCCCTCCACGCTTCCAACCGCCTCTCTCAACCTTTCCCTCCACAGCGCTTGCTCTCCTACCACGTCTCGTACGCTCTCCTCTGCCATCCACCTCCTCCCTTCCCACTCTACTCTCGCTCTCCTCTGATTCCCCTCCCTCACTTTCTCCCTCCTCTCTTCCATCCGCACGCAACCGAGCCTCAGTCCCAACAGCCAGTACTGGCTTGCTATCGAACCTCGGATCGAATCGCACGCTCTCCGCCTCGGGAACCTTTGCTGCTCTGGCGAACGAACCAGCGGGACAGCTTATAGTGAAGCTCCGCTCAGGGGTTCGAATCCTGGTGAATGCGTTCTGCCCAAGTTGGTGTCGGTTAGGTCCAAACCGGTAGAGGCTCGGCGTGGAAGGATTGGCAGCTATGGGCTCTGGAAATGACTTGGAACCAGGAGTAGACGACTGTGTCATGCGTCTAAGTGAAAAGCTTAATCTGTTAATCCACGCGATGAATGGCCGTGATGTTCTAGCACGACACGCCATAGCGAATAGCCGACGGATGCAATGAAAGGGATGAAGGATTACATAAACGAGTTACACGCCTGTAGTGCTTGTCCTACGACGAACCATCCGGAATTATTCCCGATTCCCGAATCGTTGCAGTGACTGCCAGAAAACTAACGAGTTACAGGAACCGTTTCATCTCCATGGCTACTCCAGTAAATAGCATGCAGTCATATCGCTCTCTAGTAGCATACTCTAGAATACAGACCCGAAGAAATTCTGGAATAGTGCTCTGATCATAGAAACCACACAAGAAACTAGTAGAGGCAAAAGTAAGAGAGCATTTTCTGGTCCCACTGCCAGCACTGGGATTACCGAGCTGGGATAACCTTACGATTGCCAGCTTGGCAGGCAAATCACGATTCACGAATTCATTCTTCTCTCGCGAGTACTTACGACACGAATGCACACGGAGTATTTTGTGCCTTCGCTAGCCCAACGCATACGAGGCGACGACCGGTTGCCACACTTGCGACGCGTCGTGTGTTTCGCCAGTCCTCGAGCTTGGTTGTGTTGTTTCGGATTCGTACCCGTTCACCGGTATTGATGCAGACAACACATCAGATTTCAGGTGCAATATTTCACAAAAAATCATTAGGTAGACTCTGAAAATTTGAGTGTTAAACAAACACAATTGCAACAACAGTCAACGAAGTGGACCTCATACCTCCGTTTGTTCCATCATAACTCCTCAAAGCGCTTATTTTCAGACTATATTTTGCATATGTTATCCTCTAAATATCCGGTAATGCTTCTAACCACATTCACATAAAAGATGTGAATAGAGGGTTTATTTAGCACTCGTACAGCAAAAACATTTTATTGCTGCCTCGGATGTTACAGATCCACGTGTGCATTCTCTCTTTTGAGGATCAGGGGCTCACCCCACGCGAGACCTATCGAAAGGTCATCAGGCATGCTTTGACCTGGACGTGACGCGACAGCCTTGAGATTGCCAGTCCTGTGACAGGTCCCATCCTGCCACGTGTACATCAGATTGACCCTAGGGGATCACTCATCCCTGTCAGAAGCATTAGAGGTTCACCGCGATGAGCAAATCTAGCCCGTCGCAACTGCTTTCTGCATTTCTTCATAAAATCTCGACCATTAAAACCCACTATGACAGGGCATCTTCAAACTGCTGCTCAACCTCTGATGCCTGAACTCCCAAGCCCAGCCTTGGGATCTCCGTGCACACTAGAAGGCCCTAACTAGTCCTCTCCTGCTGATCAGACGAACAGTTTCAATTCCTGGTCACGGAATCCGGTTTCAGTTGCCTGATCAAAGCTGAACTGACTAGACCTTAGCCAGTTTTCTTTCATTGATTAGCATCTGAAGCCATGGAGGCTGTCGCAATCGCTCCTCGCGTACCAGTTGCGATTTCCCAGCGAAACTCTGTCGCAGGAGCTTCGAGCCAGCGTGCTCGCCCCCTCGCAGCTCCCCAGCAGCAGCGCTGGCGATGCTTGTCTTCCTCGTCGTCGAGCGTCGCAGGAGTGTCGCTCCTGAAATCTGTCGCACAGGCACGCAGTACTAAGACCAGAAAGGCCTCAGCGTCTCGTCTGGTAGTACAGGCTAAGGACGAGTCTTTCGACTATGACCTTATCATTATCGGCGCTGGCGTCGGTGGTCATGGCGCTGCTCTGCACGCCGTCGAGCAGGTACCTTTCTTCAGGCGTATGTTCCGGAAAAGAAGAATAGGTAGAACGTATCACTCACAAATGAGTGCGTCTTGTGTCACTCTAAGGCCTTTATTTCTAACAATTTCCGGTGACATGTTTCGTGGCCCTTTACAACGCTGATCAATGTTCCTGCACTTCCAATTTTTGGCAAAATCTGATTACCAGGGCCTGAAGACGGCCATTATCGAGGGTGACGTGGTGGGAGGCACGTGCGTGAATCGCGGGTGCGTGCCGTCCAAGGCGCTTCTCGCCGTCAGCGGTCGCATGCGCGAGCTCAAGGACGAACATCATCTCAAGTCGCTCGGCATCCAGGTAATATCTGGTAATAATTAATCGATATTACTTGACAATTAATGGTTAAACCCGTCTGCCAAGCGTGAGAAAGCGTTGCACGTTTGTCCTGTGCGCGAGTTCGGGAATAAGCATCACCTCAAGTCAGTCAGCATCCACGTAGTACCGTACGACTGAATCAGACCCAAGTAGTTCAATCACTCGTAAACCCGAATCATGAAACCCGAATCATGCTTGCAAGTTAAGAAGCTAGCCAGACAAGCTCTCTCAGTAAGCACGGTCGGATATGTTTCGTTCATCCCTTCCTTTCGTCCTCCAGGTCGCAGCTGCGCAGTACGACCGGCAAGCAGTGGCAGATCACGCGAACAACCTGGCTGCGAAAATCAGAGGCAACCTGACCAACTCGATGAAGGCCATCGGTGTTGACATTCTCGATGGCTTCGGCTCCCTCGTCGTAAGTGCCACGTACTACCGCTCGTTCTCTGTCCCCTCTACCCTGTCCACATCAAGCTTGTCTTCGTGGGCCCCCTACACATTCTCCCGCTGATTTCACCTGTTGGGGCGACCTTCTCCTTGTCTCAGAGCCTGACCTCTCGTTTCCTTATATCCTGACCCCGTTTCATCCCATTGCGCGCCCCACAGACCCCTCAGAAGGTGAAGTACGGGAAGCCGGGCGCGGCGGAGAAGACGGTGACGGCGAGAGACGTGATCATCGCCACCGGCTCCACGCCGTTCGTGCCCCCCGGCATCGAAGTCGACGGTAAGTTCCGCGCATGGCAATTGTGCGCTCGAGACTGCTCGTAGGTGGCTTTTAATTCGACTCAGTCACCTCTCAGCGAAGAAGACGGTGACGGCGAGAGACGTGATCATCGCCACGGGCTCCCCGCCTTTCCTGCCTCCCGACATCGAGGTGGACGGTTAGATCCGCGCATTGCGGATTGTGGGTGCTTGAGGCTGCGCGTGGTGTTCACTGTGCTGTGGCCTGTGCCGTACGCTCCGTCGTCATGTCATAATTCGACATACTTTTCTGACCCTTTCCGTTTCCCTCGTTTTGTAACTTCGTTTCGAAAAGTGTGGAAGCTTCCGTTGTAAGCTGTCGGTGTTCGCGAGCAGGGACGGGGCTCTGTAACTGTAGTGGGAGGCGAATAGTATGGTCATTAGGTTTTCACTTGTACTGTGCCCACTTGCCCGATCCGACTGCCCCATTTATTCCCCCAGGCAAGACGGTGTTCACGAGTGATGAGGCCCTGAAGCTGGAGTGGATTCCCGACTGGATTGCCATTGTGGGCAGCGGCTACATCGGCCTCGAGTTCAGCGACGTCTACACCGCTCTGGGTGCCGAGGTGCGTAGCTTGATTTGAGGCGCATCGTGATACGACTGGATCCACATTGTGGGTTATTCACTCCGTGCCTCCGCCTGACTCCCCTTTATCGCCATCCTTTCTCTGCTCATCTCCTCGTCCCCCTCGTTTCCCTCGCCTCGCTCGATTCTCTCCTCTCTACACTCAGGTGACGTTCATAGAGGCTCTGAATATCATCATGCCGGGATTCGACCCTGAGATTGGGAAGCTGGCGCAGAGGGTGCTCGCGAACAACCCACTCATCCTGCAAAGTATTCTGAGTGCACCAAACAACTCCTGTCAACCGCCTCCCCTTTCTTCCCCTTTCCCCCCAGGTGACGTTCATTGAGGCGTTGGATATCATCATGCCAGGGTTTGACCCCGAGATCGGCAAGCTGGCGCAGAGGGTTCTCATCACCCCTCGCAGCATTGACTACCACACGGGCGTGCTCGCCAAGAAGGTGCGTGGCGAGGGGGGTTGGAGGAGATGAGTGGGTTGCTAGCCAAGAAAGCGTGTGGGGTTGGGAGTGGCAACGAGGGTCTCAGGCATGCTATGAGACGAGGGTGGTACCTGTGCTGTGTGTACTCAATTTCTCTTTGTTTCTCTTGCTCGCTCCCTCACCGGTTTGTGACCCCCCCCTCTCACAGATCACCCCTGCACGCGATGGCAAGCCAGTGCAGATCGAGCTGGTGGACACCAAGACGCGGGAGTACAAGGAGACGCTCGAGGTGAGCACTGAGTAGAGAGGAGAGAAGAGGAGATTAGGAAGTGCAGAGGGATGGTTGGGTGGAGGTGAGGAAAGATGGGGCAGACGAGATGACGGCAAGCCTGTGCTGCAGATCGAGTCACCAAGATACGGGAGTACAAGGAGACGCTCGAGGTGAGCGTGGGGCAGAGAGGAGTGGAGAGGGGTGGAGAGGAGAGGAGATGAGATTAGGGTACACGGGGAAGAGGTGGCATGGGCCTTTTGAAGGCCAAGAGGAAGGAGTATACTGGAAGTGGGGAGGCGGGACTGCAACAGGAGTACACGTACACCAGGACTCAAGATGTGGGTCGTGTGGAGAGAAAGGAATGGAAGGGAACGAACCGGGGGGGAGGGGAGAGTCCAAAGTGTGGCAGCACGAGTGAAGGCTGATGGAGGAGGAAAAGCTTGTGATTCTGAAGTTCACTTCCTCCACACCTTGCTGTTCGCCCTCCTCGCATTCACCCGTCCCCTGGCTGATTCAGAGCGAGGGTTAAAAAAAACGACCGTTTTTTTGAAAATTTACCGTAAAAAACGATACCGTAAAAAACGACCGTTTAAAACGGTTTAAAACGGTTCCAGGAGGTGCTTTCAGTTTAATTAACATATCGGCCATTTTATGGGACCAAATTGAACCCGAATTTCAGCAGGATGAAGGGGACGGGCCCCTTCTTGGATGTGTGCTCTTGTTGGCATGTTTGATAACGTGTTTGACCTTGTTTTTCCCTTTTTTTTCTTGGTGACCAGAGTTTTCTAACAAAAAAACGGCCGTATTCTTGGAAAATCACCGTAAAAAACGACCGTAAAAAACGGACCGTATTTTACGAAAACCGTATTTTTGAACCTCTGACTGCCACTGAGTACCGTTTAACACCGCTCACAATGCTTCACTTCACCCTCACGTTCCTTTCATTCACCCCCCCTTCTGCCCCTTCCGTCCTCCGTCCTCTTCCTGTCTCTCTCTCCCCCACCCTTCAGGTTGATGCGGCTCTGATTGCCACTGGCCGAGCGCCCTTCACCAAGGGGCTTGGTCTTGAGAATGTGAGTGCATGTCCTGGTATTGCAGTGTTAGCGCATGGCTTGCAAGTGAAGAATCTGATCCGATGTATTGGTGGTGTTGAATGTGTGCGTGCGTGCATGGCTTGGATTTGAGACCTCACAAAACATTGTTTTTTCCATCAAATCCCCTAACCCTGCTGCCAAGGCTGTTCGGTTCTTCTGCTGTTCTTTATGTATAGACCTCGCTCTAAATCGCTTTCCCCTGCTCTGCTCACCACTGATTTGAACTCCCTGCTCCTGCCTACACCTCCCTCCGTCCTCCTGACTAACCCAATCCACCACACTCCTGCATATATGCGTGCAGGTGAATGTGTCAACAAACCGTGGGTTCGTGCCTGTGAATGAGACCATGCAAGTGCTCGACTCTGAAGGCAATGTCGTAAGCACTCTATGTCCGACCCATCCCATTGCAACCCATCATGTCTGTCCAAGCCCCTTATCGTCTTCCCTGCACCTACGAGATTCGGGGCCTTCTTTGTGCCTACAAAGAGAAACTCCCTTCTAACCTCCCCCATTCCCTCTATCCAGGTGCTCCACGTGCAACCAGGCTGAGAATTCCGTCCCACTCCCGCCCTTTTCCCACCTCCCTTACCCTTTCCTCTTGTCTTCTACCCAATTTCCCTCCCCAGATTCCCCACCTGTTCTGCATTGGCGACGCGAATGGCAAGCTGATGCTGGCGCATGCAGCGAGTGCGCAGGGCATATCGGTGGTGGAGAACATCAAGGGCCACAGCAACGTGCTCAACCACCTCTCCGTTCCTGCTGCCTGCTTCACCCACCCCGAGATCAGCATGGTTGGGCTCACAGAGGTGAGTGACTGAGAGGCAAGGCAGAAAAGGGAAGAAGTCTGGGTTTTGAGACGTCTTACAAAGTTTGGAGGCAGGACAGAAGGGGAAGGATGTCTGGGTTTGACATGCCTTGATGCCCGTGCCTGTTCTACCTACCTCAAGTTGCTCTCCCTAGCCTTTTTTACTCCTGCTGTTCTCTGTTCTTTTGTGCCTGTCGCCCTTTCCCACCACCTGCCCCAAGCTTGGGAGGCAGCAGCGGAGGGCTTCCAAAGTGAGTGTGGTCAAGACGAGCTTCAAGGCAATCTCATATGTTCCTCTGTTGTGTCACGCCCCCCCCCCATCCCTATCCCGCTTGACCCACCACCAGCCCCAGGCACGGGAGAAGGCAGCAGCAGAGGGCTTTGAAGTGAGTGTGGCCAAGACGAGCTTCAAGGCCAACTCCAAGGCGCTGGCAGAGAACGAGGCTGACGGCATGGCTAAGGTGGGCTCCAATGGAGGGAGGATCAGGGCCTAGGGGCATCATTCATGGCATGATGGGGGGTTGATAGAGGGGTTGAATTGGGGGAAGATGGGTGGTTATATGATGAGCTTCAAGGCCAACTCCAAGGCGCTGGCAGAGAACGAGGCAGATGGCATGGCTAAGGTGTAGAGTAGTAGATTGTAGAGGGGAGTGGATGCAAAGGTGAGAGATTGACAAGGGGAATTGCTTAGGGGAAAGGGGAGAAGAATGCCTCAGCTTCAAGGCCAACTCCAAGGCGCTGGCAGAGAACGAGGCAGATGGCATGCCTAAGGTGGGTAATGTTCTGAAGGGGGGTGTAGGGGTAAGGGAAAGCTGTGGAGGGATTGATAGAAGGGTTTAATTGGGGCAAGGGGAGAAGGATTCCTATTTGACAAGATGAGCTTCAAGGCCAACTTTAAGGCGCTGGCAGAGAACAAGGCTGACAGCACGGCTAAGGTGGGGAGTCGTAGTGTAGGGGATGAATAGGGGCAAAGAGCAGTGGGATTGGTAAAGGTGGGAATGGGCATGGTTGGGGGATTCACATCGCAGAAGGGATAGATGGGGCAGCAAACAAGAGAAGCATGCCTCCATGACGAGTTGAGTTCACACCCAACTATAAGGCCCCAACCCTGAGGAGATCCTGGGAGTGCACATTCTTGGGCTGCACGCAGCTGACACCTTTCTACTCCGTTTCTCCCCTCCTCACTTGTCAGATGATCTACCGCCCAGACACGGGGGAGATCCTGGGCGTGCACATCCTGGGGCTACACGTAGCGAACCTCATTCCACTCTGTTTCTCCCCTCCCTCTCATGATGTATCACACACCTTGTGTATCATATGAATTGTACCCTTTTCAGATGATCTACCGCCCAGACACCGGGGAGATCCTGGGCGTGCACATCCTGGGGCTGCACGCACCTGACCTCATTCACGAGGTCTCCAACGCCATGGCCACCGGCCAAACCCTCAACGTACGCACATGGGAAGATTCAGAGCAGTATTTCAGTCTCTTCACTGAATTTTTGTCAAATGCACTTCTGTTCATAACTTGGTTTCACTCACTTCACTCGATCCAGGCCAGTGCCTTTACTCATTCCCATTCCATCCATGTCATTCTGTCTACCCGTGTGCACCATCCCATGCCATAATTTGCAGGATATCAAGTTCGCCGTCCACGCCCACCCAACTCTCTCTGAGGTCATTGACGAGCTTTACAAGAGTGCCAAGGTAAGGGATCGTGTCATGCCGAGTCGCTGAAGGCATATTTTGGACTTTATGACGTGATGCATTGAATGTTGTCGCGATATGGATTGAGCTAAAAGTCCCTGCTATGATTTACTCATTGTTTCTTTCCTGTCCTTGCAGTATGGAGCTCATGCGCATGCTTAGATGGAACTCGAGAGCATCAAGAAGCTGAATAACAATTTTGTTGTTCTTTGATGTATGTTAGGTATTTGTTCTCCCCAACTAAAATGGGGAGGAATGTAGTCATTCAGAAACCCCAAAATGTTCGTTCTAGATTATTCAGCATTGAAGTGAAATATTTTTGCATTGTAGGGTAGAACTACCAAATACATGTCACGATGAGGATAAGGTTAAATTGGACTGGAGTAATATGTGCAAGAACTTTGTAGCGCAGATACACCGAAGCGGGGATATCACGCCTGATCAAATTCAGGGTTCCCATGCAGCCAATGCCACGCGAATTCACAGACACGGTACAGTTGTTCCTAGCTGCTAGAAACACCGAGTTGCCCTAGTAGCGGCTTGCGATTCTTGTATATGCATCCGCTTTAGACGCGCGTCGTAAGCCTCGACTCGAGCTAGACTCGAGAGGACAGTGGAAGTTGCCGATGCTCGTATCGCCTGCATCTTCTAAATCTCGGGAATCCGCCAGTTTCCACGGTTTCCATTGACACGGCGCAGACGCTGACCAGCTCCTGACGTCAGCATCCTTCTTCTCCGTCAGAGATCGGTTCATGATTCACAAAACACACGCCAGATAGACAGACTGACATCCGTTAATTCACGAGCCAATGGCGGAGTCTCCCAAGTCCCCGAGAAGGTACGTCCTTCAGTTGACCAGCAGTTTTTATATTCGCCTAAAAAAGTACTGCAAGTCCTCGAGCTCCTCGTCACCTCTCGTGAAATTAGGGTGTTTTTTAGACGCCTCAAAAAGCAAGTCCTCGAGCTCCTCGTCACCTTCTCCTAGACGGTACGACCGCTTCAGTCTTCAGCATCGTTCCCGTTTAGTCACAGCACAGGATGTTATTATTCCGGTTGCATCTCAGCATCGTGGCTGCACTCTTGGCTCTAAACATTCAGGATCAATGGGCAGCAGCAACAACGGTCAGAAATGAGACGAGTTTTGAGTCGACTCAAAACTTGTCTCAGGTGTTTCTGAGATAAGTGGATCAGGACCAGTTGGCACCAGCAACGCTCAGAAATTTCAAGACGTCCCATCCTTGTTTGCTGCTGCCCCTGTTTCCCCCCTCCTGCTCTCTCTGTTTCTAGCAGTCCCCCCTCAGCCAACTCTCAAGGGGCGTACTTGGGTGTGTTTGGGTCCGGAAACTCAGGCGGATCAGGAGGATTGGGGGGATTGGGGGGACTAGGAGCAAATGGTAATGGCAGCAGTGGTGGCATCAGCAGCAGCGGTATGGCAGCTGGAGACACGGGAGGAGTGGTGGGAGGAGGAGTGGAGGGAGGGGATATTGGGGGCGATGGCATGCCGATGGGGCCTCATGTGCACCATCACGTGACGCCTGATGGACGGTGGGTATGCATGACCATGGCATGACTATGTGAGGACCATGGGATGATTATGTCAGGACCATGGCCCCTCAAGGGCAGATGGCACACCAATGGGACCTCGTGTGCACCATCATGTGACGCGTGAGTGATAAACGTTGTGTATGCATGACTGTGGAAGATAGGTAGGTCTACCCATGGAAGGTAGGTACGTCTGAACATGTCATGATTATGCTCCCAATCCATCCCAGGGTGGTGGTGTATGAGACAGTGCATGACCATCTGCTGAACGTGCTCCACCTCTCCCCATCCCACTCCATCCCATCCCATCCCCTCTCAGGGTGGTGGCGTATGAGACAGTGCAGGACCGACTGCTGAACTTCTTCCACGAGGCAGCAGGCACATCTGGTCCTTCTCGCACACTGTTGCTCGCGTTGACGTCATCTCACTCCACCGCTCCGCACTCCATCCCATCCCATCCCAGGGTAGTGCCATACGAAACAGTTCAAGACCGGCCCCTGAACGTGTTCCGCAAGGCAGCTGGCTACATCTGGTCCTTCTCGCACACCGTTGCACGTCGACGTCGTCCGTCTCATCATTACCTCCCTTCCCATTCCCCTTCCCTCCCCTCTCAGGGTAGTGGCGTACGAGACGGTGCAGGACAGATTACTCAATGTCTTTCGCAAAGCTGCTGGCTACATCTGGCCCTTCTCGCACACCGTTGCCCCTCCTCTCCTCTCCTCTCCGTCATTGATTCCCATCCCAGGGTGGTGGCATACGAAACAGTGCAGGACCGTTTAATGAATGTGTTCGGCAAGGCAGCTGGCTACATCTGGTACTTCTCCCACACCATTGCACGCAGTCGACGTCGTGCGTCCCATCACCACCTCCCACCGCCGCCGCCGCTATCGGGACGATGACGACGGCAACAGGGGCAGGAGCAGCAACGGCTTGAGCAGCAGTTACTTTGGTGCGAGGGACAGCTCTCCTGTGTGGAGGGCGAGGAGGCAGGGCGGGAGGAGGCGAGATGAGGACGAGGAGGGGGGAATGATACAGGGGATCAATCACGGGTTGTATGGGGAGGGTGCGAGATTGAAGCTGATGCAGATCTGGGACTTTCCGGATAAGGAAACGGGCAAGCCCAGGCTTCCATACGGGCTCAACTTTGGAGGTGAGCCGAGCTTTCCCTTTAGATGGCGTAGTGTTCTGTTCTTTGAAGACAGCTGTGTATGTATGGGGAGGGGGCGCGGCTGAAGCTGATGCAGATCTGGGACTTTCCGGATAAGGAGACAGGAAAGCCGAGGCTTCCATACGGGCTCAACTTTGGAGGTGAGGTTGTCGTGGGATGGCATGATGTTCTGATGTAGCATGATGTTCTGATGTAGCATGATGTTCTGATGTAGCATGATGTTCTGATGTAGCATGATGTTCTGATGTAGCATGATGATGATGATGTGGCATGATGTTCTGATGTAGCACGATGATGATGATGTAGCATGATGTTCTGATGTAGCACGATGATGATGATGTAGCATGATGTTCTGATGTAGCACGATGATGATGATGTAGCATGATGTTCTGATGTAGCACGATGATGATGATGAAGGGGGTTGGGTATTGATGTGAAGGGTTGGATACTTACTGATAAGCTCATGCAGGTCTGGGACTTTCCGGATAAGGAGACAGGGAAGCCGAGGCTTCCATACGGGCTCAACTTTGGAGGTGAGATCTTCAAGGGATGGCAGGATGTTTTGCTGTGGCGTGATGATGAAGGGGTCGGGTATTGATGTGAAGGGTGGGTACGGGCAAGCTGATGCAGGTCTGGGACTTTCCGGACAAGGAGACGGGAAAGCCAAGGCTGCCATATGAGCTCAACTTTGGAGGTGAGCTGAGCTTCTTGTTGGGATGGTGTCATGTTGCGATCTTGTAGGGAATGTGCATGCCTCTTTGGGATACCAATGTGGGGGCTCCCTTCTGGGGAGAAGGGTAGCGATGTGGTATCCTCATGCTTGGCTGTCTACTTTGTTTCCTGTTTGACCTTGATTACTCTTTTTCCTATCCTCGTTTTCTCTGTACCATACATACACCATTACACACCCTACGCACACCTTGGATGCACGCATGCACGCACATGCAAGGGCAGTTGGGGCGAATTACGAGGTGAATGGGAGCCGCCTGGAGCCCAAACTGAGAATCCGAACCCCCCACGTGGCCCTGCACCTGCTTCCCGAACCTGACATTGAGCTTCGGGGGAAGTGGAGGCTCGGCACCACAAATGTTGCGCTTGATGTTCGTTACACGTGAGTGAACGATTGAGTGCGTAAGAGAGTAAGTGAGTAAGTGAGTGAGTAGGTGAGTGAGTGATAGGAATGTGTGCAGCTGCTGCTGGATATTGCTGCACTTCGCTGCATGCTTTTGTCAAGTAAAAATGTAGGAAGTGCTATGCTCCGCTTTGACTTCCCCCCATCCCATTTTTGCAGCCTGCCTCTGTGTTCCTTCGACCGCTTCTGGGACCGGGCAGCTGAAATGGGGCAGAGTGTTATTGAATCCTCACAGCACGTCCGAACATATGACTCATAGCACGTCCGAACATATGACTCATAGCACGTCCGAACATATGACTCATAGCACGTCCGAACATATGACTCATAGCACGTCCGAACATATGACTCATAGCACGTCCGAACATATGACTCATAGCACGTCCGAACATATGACTCATAGCACGTCCGAACATATGACTCATAGCACGTCCGAACATATGACTCATAGCACGTCCGAACATATGACTCATAGCACGTCCGAACATATGACTCATAGCACGTCCGAACATATGACTCATAGCACGTCCGAACATATGACTCATAGCACGTCCGAACATATGACTCATAGCACGTCCGAACATATGACTCATAGCACGTCCGAACTAGGCCGAACATATGACTCATAGCATATCACTGTGCCTTCTCTCTCGTTCCTCGTCCCACCTCTGCAGCCTGCCTCTGCGTTCTTTCGACCGCTTCTGGGACCGGGCGGCTGGAGTGGGGCTGTCAGTGAACCTCTTCAACCCCATTGGCACAGGCTTCCATCTCTCCCCCGGAGGTATGTTCTACCCCACAGCATCTCACAAAACCTCACAATATCTTGCAGCATCCCACAGCAGCTTCTAAGTATCTCATAGCTGACTTATTCACAACCTGTTGGTCTCTCCTCATGGTTCCTTGTCCCTTTCCGTGCAGGGTTGGAGTTTGACGAGCAGGTGGTTCGGTTAGGCAAGCACACGAAGCTTCGCCTGGCCGCAACATTCATGTTTCCAAAACACCTGCCTCTGGAGGAAGACGAGGATCCGATCCGAGTGCGCGTCAACCGATTAGGAATCAAGACGCGGCTAGCATGAAGGGATGGATTCGACAGGAGATGAAGTTGCATAAATTTAGGTAAGTAGCAGTAACTAGGGACTTGATTTGGATCTGTTCTTTCCTACGCAACAGGCTCACATTATTTTAGAGCCTGTGAACTTTGTCATTATAAAGGCGGTGCGATATGGAGTGTAGAGAGAAATGCATCCGGCTGTAGCGCGAACACGCAGGAGTTTTCGGGTTGCGAGGAACATTCGGTGGCAGACCTGTCCTCCTGCCCCAAGCACGTCTGTCAGGTCGGTGTCGCTGGCGGGAAAACAGCAGGCCAACCGCAAACGTGCGAAGTTTGTTCGGGCAGCGACACTGAAAATTTCACAAGCAATAGCACTAAATTTTATGGTCATCGCCCTATGCCATGCCATGGTAGTTGTTGCAGAAACACAAAACGGGCGAAACTAGGCTGATCCGGATTCTGAAGACTGGAAGCAACAGATGATCAGTAAAAACCCAAATACGCCTGAGAAACACTGACGATCAGTTCGGTGCACAAGGTTAGCTGGAGAGATTCGCGCAGGTTCGTGATCCATGTCCGGTCCTATCAGTTCTTGCCGATCAGCAGTAACTATTTGAACTCATAGAAGGCGATCTTGCCGTTCAAGACCGAGTCCGTACCTTGGGGTTAAAGACTTGTTTCCAAGAAAGAAGCGGCCTTTTTGTTTTCGTGGTCTCTATCCTTGCGATCCTTGCGAAGCTCATAAAAAACACTTACTGTGCTAAGACCATACAAAATCTTCTTGATTCAATCGTACCTCAGCAGATCAGATCTCACTTCTCAGTATCGTATATTGCAGTAACATTTCGCCATGTCGGTTCGCAGCAAATTCACAAGCGTCAATCTCAACAGCTCCTTCGGGAGGCAGAGCCCATCCCAATCTCAATCCGGTGCCGGGCAAACCACAGCCGTCGGATCCAGATTCGGACGGACAGGATCGTTCGGGAGCATGATGGTACTGGGGAAGGTCGCAACTCCCAGCGCGTTAGGGGCGAGCAAGAGCGGGAAGCTGGTTGTGCCGAAGCCGGTTAACCTGCCGTCGCTGCGACGGGAGCACGCGGGCAACGATCCGTCCGTCTCGCTTGTTCCCGCAAGCAGCACAGTCTCGGGATGGCAGAGGCCCCCAGGAGGGAAGCCGCAAGGAGAAGGGACGTCTGCAGCTACTCCTTCACTATCAGCATCAGCATCAGCATCAGCATCAGCGTCAGCAGCGGCAGCAGCAGCAGCAGCAGCAGCAGGAGTATCAGCCGCAGTTCGTTCGTCAAGTGCGACACACGAGGCGCGACGGTGCGTCTCGCTCTCCCCTCCTCCTCAAGGTTTCGACTTCCCGCCGATTTCAGCAGCAGCAGCAGCAGCGGCAGCAGCGGTGTCTGGAGCCGAGCCGAGTCGCGCCTCCTCGGCGCACCGACCTGGGGTGTACCAACCACCAGGCTCACGTGGCGGTAGCAGTGCCACGTCAGCCACCACATCAACTGTTTCGGCAGTTGGCAACACCGGGGTTGTTTTACGCGGGGAGGATTTTCCTTCGCTGGATGATGCGACAAAGAAGCCAGCAAGCAGTGTTTCCGCAAGCGTCGGGCGCGGTAAGGAGCAACAGGGCAAGAAGAAAACGAAGGCGCTAGAGGCTAATAACGGGGATGAGCTGGCCCGATCGGCGCAGGAGCGCGGCGGAGGGGACGAGGCAGGCCGGGCGACGGAACGGTCCCAGGGTAACGATGCGGCGACGAAACGGGTTACCAGTGGGCGATGGGGTGACGAAGAGTCGGATCACGAGCAGAACGAACGAGATCCTTTGTCCGGATCACAGCCTAACAAGGCGCCAGGGTTCATTTCCAGAGACCAAGGCGGCGAGGCTTCTGGCGATTCCGCTACTTTCGGTGCGGACAGGATGGACAGACATCCCCGTTATAAGGAGAACGAGAGACCGAGCAGGCATGGCGATGGCATGCTTCCGCCGAATCGGTTCGGTCCGCCACCCGGGGGAGGCTTCCGCCGACCTTCCCCCCCGCGCAGAGCATGGGCGGACGATGAGCGGGACCTTGCGCCACCCCAACCCTATCCGCCTCCTGGGGGAAGACTGCCTTTTCCGCACAGATTCGACGGTCCGAGGGGTCAATTCGACGGTTATGGTCCCCCCATGGGTGGAGACCCGGGGGGGTTTCATGCTAACGGATGGGATTCTAGAGAGGGCTTCCGCGATTATGGGCCGAGAAATGGCGCCAGGGAGTGGCACGGGGATCCGAGGCATAACGAGGCGGGCATGTGGCGGAGGGAGGACGCGCGCGGATGGGCGGAACGGCCTCCCGCTGGGAGAGGCGGAAGAGGGCCGGGACCAGGCCCCCCAGGACCCCCAGGCCCCCCGGGTCCGCCGGGTCCGCCAGGCCCCCCGCCCCACCCAGGCCTCCCAGGTCCCCCGGGTCCCCCAGATCCCCGAGGCCCCCCGGGACAAGCGGGACGGCCAGGGCCGTTAGGTCCGCCGGGGCCGCCGGGACTGCTAGGGGCGCCGGGGTCAGGAGCAGCAGGGGGGCCGCCAGGGCCGCCTTTCCCGGGTGAGTATGAGCGGTACGGGCCCATGGGGGATGGGGGGAGAGGAAGAGGGGGTAGTGGTGGTGGATATGGTCCGAGGGGGGAATTTGCCAGGGGTTTCGGGCCAGGCCAGGCTTTTGGCCCCGGTCAGGGTTTTGGGCCCGGTCAGGGGTTTGGACCTGGTCAGGGTTTTGGGCCGGGTCAGGGTTTCAGGCCGAACAGGGAAGGTGGAGGGAGGGGCATGGGCCCGGAAGTTTTTGCCCATGGGCCGAGAATGGAATTGCAGTCCTTGCCACGTGTAGGAGTTGAACCTCCGCCTAGCCTTGGGCTTGGGCCGCTGGGGCTGCTGAGGCGGAAGAAACTGGAGGGCGAGGGTGGGAGGTCGGAGTTTCGGGACTTGGAACGAGAGAGGTTTGAAGAGGAGCTCGAGAGGTTGCAGTCGCAGAAGGATAAGGAGAAGGTGAGGAAGGAGGAGGAGGAGCAGCGGGCGGCGGAGGTGGCGAGGCAGCAGCAGGAGGAGGCGGTGAGGAGGGGAAGAGAGGAGGAGGAGAGGAGGCGGAGGGTGGAGGAAGGGGAGAGGGAGGCGGCGAGGAGGGCTAAGGTGGAGGAGGAGGAGGCGGTGAGACGGGTGGAGGAGGAGAGGAGGCGAGTGCAGGAGGAGAGGCGGAAGATTCAGGAGGAGGAGGAGAGGAGGAAGGAGAATGCGAGGAGGAAGTTGGTTGAGTTGGAAGAGAGGATTGCGAGGAGGAAGGCTGAGGAGGAGGAGAGGAAGAGGAGGGAGGAGGGGAAAGAGGAGGAGGAGGGGAAAGAGGGGAAGGAGCGTAAGGGAGCAGAGGAGCGGTGTGGGGTGGTGACCGGTGCTGGGCTGGAGCAGCAGGGTGGGGCCTCGGTGAGTGTGGCAGAGTTGAGTCTTGAGGAAAAGGGTGCGGTGCTTGGGGAGGGGCGAGAACACGAGGGGCAGGGACAGGGGCAGGAGCAGGGGCAGGGTCAGGGGCAGGGGCAGGGGCAGAGGCAGGGGCAGCATAAGCAGAAAGGAAAAGTCGCACCAGAATGCTCTCAAGAAGAAGAAGGAGCTGCAATTGGGGCTAAACCTGTTGGTGGTGATGGCGGCAGCATCCAGGAAAATTCTGAGTCGACTCAAGAGGTTGCAGCTGCTGGTCCTGAGGGGGAGAGCCGTCAAGAGATTGCAGATAAGGACGAGAAGAATGGAACCGTTGATTACGTGGCAAATGGTGACACGTGGGAAGATGGCGAGGGGGTTTGTGGTGAGCAGAAAGCGATAGGGCGCGAAGTGGGAGGGGTGGGTGGGGAGAGGTTGCAAGAGGAAATGAAGGAGGTCGGGGGAGAGGGAGGAAGAGGGGTTGAGGGAGTGGGAGAAGGAGTAGGAGAGGGAGGGGGAACGGACGACTCTCAGCTTAACCTTCAGGAGTTGCACAAAGCGCAGCAGCAGGTGCAGCAGAAGGAGCAGCAGGAGCTGCAGCAGCAGCAGCAGCAGCAGCAGCAGCAGGAGCGGCAGGAGCAGCAGAAGCAGCAGGTGGGGCCTTTGGCTGGGTCCGCCGCTGTCCCACCGCTCTATCATGCGAGTGCGGATGCGAGGCAGAAAGGAATGGGCGAGAGGCAGCAAGACGCGAGTCAGCAAGGCAACCACGCAAGCACTCAGCGTTTCTTTGACCCGGGTGGTGATGCTCATATGAAAGGTGAAGGCTCAGACCGGGCCGGGTTTGGGTTTTCGCCGTGGAATCAGCATCAGCTGCAGCAGTACCAGCAGCAGCAGCAGCAGCAGCAGCAGCAGCAGCAGCAGCAGCAGCAGCAGCAGCAGCAGCAGCAGGTGCAGGGGATTTCGTTTCCTGCGTACGGATTTCCTGGCCCAGGCCCTATCTTGCGCTCCCATCAGTTCGCCCCACCTTATCCTCACTTCCCTGCAATGCAGCAGCAGCATGTGCACCCCCACCCCTTCCACCAGCCTTTCCCGGGGCAGCAGCAGCAACAACAGCAACAGCAGCAGCAGCAACAGCAACAGCAGCAACAGCACCAGCAGCACCAGCAGCAGCAGCACCAGCAGCAGCAGCAGCAACAGCAACAGCAGCAACAGCACCAGCAGCACCAGCAGCAGCAGCACCAGCAGCAGCAGCAGCAGCAGCCACCGTTGCTGCACCGGCCGCCTGGGCTTGCTCCTGGGTTTCTCGCGCATGGGAATGCTGGCCGCGGCTTTGCCTCGTTCTCTGACAATGCCCCAGCAGTGGGAGCAGTGGGAGCAGTGGGAGCAGTGGGGCAAATGGGGGCAGGTTCAGTGGGTACTGTGAACTCAGTTTCAGGCGGAGGAGCAGCAGGGGGTGGGGCAGGAGGAAGAGGAGCAGGCGGAGGAGGAAGGGAAAGTGGTGGTGTGGCAGCGGGCAGGGCGGGGCACCAAAGGAAGGACGAGTTTGGAGGGAGAGAAATTGGTGGTGGGAGAGAGGCGGGCAGTGGGAAAGAGGCGGGCAGTCAGGGACAAAAGCGGTTTACAGAGATGGGTAATGGTGGTGGGGTGGTGGGGAGAGACAGTCAATGGGGAGAGTCTGGGTCCGGGCAGTATCTGGAATGGAGACGGATCGGACCTGAACCTGCTCCAGGTATGTTTCTCGGGCAGGCTCGGCAGCCCGGAGCAGAGCAGTGGCAGGGGCGGGCTGGTTTCGGGCAGGAGGAAATTTCTGGTGGATCGGGACGGGCGGACGGGCGAAATTGGGCGAATCAACTGAATGGAGTAGGAGGGGGGGATGGGCATGAGAGGAGAGGAGAGATGGGGCAGCAGATATGCAATTTAGGGTTGCAGGTGGGGAAGGGAGAGGGAGAAGGGCGGGCAGAGGGGAGGGAGAGGGGTGTGATGGGAGGGATGGGTGTGGAGCATGATTCGGAAATGAGTGAATCTGAAAGTCTTCCTGCTGATGTGGTGAATGAGTTGGGGGCGCTGCTGTCAGATCGAGACGAGGGTATGTCTGATAGAGAGGAGGGGCTGGTGGGAATGGGTGATCATGAGCGGGAGGTGATTGGTGGAGAAGAGAAGGAGAGGGTGGGGGGAAACGAAGGGCTGGATTCTGTTAAAAAAGAGGGAGGGGTGGGTGATAAGGGAATTGTGGGTGGTAAGGGAGGGGTGGAGGCGGAGGGGAAGCAGCTTTCGGGTGGAGAGACGGCAAGAGCTTTTGAAGAGAATGGGAACGGGACTGCCCCTGCTGCTGCATCTGCTGCTAGTGCTGCTTCCAAGCCGTCTCTCCCGTCCCTAATGCGTTCCTCTGGAGCTCCCTTTGTCATCCAAATCGGTTCTGTGCCTCTCACTGTTGGCGGGCCTGCCCAGCTGCCCGGGCAGAGTGAAATTTCTGGAGCGTGCCCTGTGCCAATGTTTCAGTTCGGGCAGATTGGGGTGCCGGCGTCAGTGTCACCTCCTCTGCAGGCTGGTGCTCGACCCATTGGGTCTGATATTTCAGGGATAAGCACGCAAAGAGACATGCCACAGCATCCGCCACTGAACCAGCAGCAGCAACCACCAAAGCAGCAGCAGCTGCCACCGCCAAATCAGCAGCAACAGCAGCAGCAGAAGCGGGAGGGAGCAGCTGATCAGGTAGCTTCTTCGAGGAAGGAGGTACCTGTGCAAAGGGTGGTGGCACTCGAGCCGTTGCTGCCCCTTCCTGTTTCAGCGGCTGTTCCTGGCAGTGGCAGGGCAGCAGCAGCTTCACTGCCAGCAGCAGCAGGATCGGCAGTAGCAGCAGGGTTGACAGGAGCAGCAGGAGCAGGAACAGGGCCGGGAGCAGCAGGAGCAGTGGCGGTGGGAGGGGGGGTAGGTGTAGAGCAGAGGGACGGTGCTGGTGCAGGTGTGAGTGTGGCGGATCGCAGGCAAGCTGTGGGGCGGGGAGGGGGGGTTCAGAGGAAGGGGAGGGAGCAACTGAGGCAGGGAGAATTAGAGGGAGGTAGGATTGCGGGAGGGGCAGAAGGAGACGTTTCGGGGATAGCAGCAGCGGCAGCAACACAAACAGCAGCAGCGGCTGCAGCTGTGGCAGCAGCAATGGCGGGGCCAGCTGTAGGGGTTAGCAGTGGTAGGGGGGCAAGGGGAGGAAGGGGAGTGAGGGGTGGTCATGCAGGGGGGCAGGTTGGGCAGGCACAAGGGCAGGGACAAGGACAGGTGCAAGCAACCCCATCACATGGCCGTGGGAAAGGCAGGGATGGGTTTACCACCACCCCTTTGGTTCCTGGTATGACTGCTCGACCTGGACTTGCAGCCTCGGCTGTTGGTGCGGTAAATGGTCCGGTAACAGGTTCGGCTGTAGCTCCGGCGGCTGGTTCGGCAGCAGGAACGACTCCTGCTTGGTTCGTTGCTCAGGGCGTGAGGGTTCAGGAGGGGAGGGCTGGACAGTATCTGGAGGTGCAAGGAGCAGGGTATTCTGAGATTAGAGGGAGTGATGGTGTGGTGGTGAGGACGAGGATTGGAGGGAGGGGAGGAGGCGGGGATAGGAGGAGGGGTGGCGGAAGGGGGAGAGGGGGAGATGTGGTGGGAAGGCAGGTGGGGGAGAGAGGAGGGAAGGGAGGGGAGAGTGGGGGGAAGAGAGAGGAGGTGGGTGTGAGAGTCCAGGGTGTGACCGTACTGCAGGGTGATAGTAAGGGAGTGGGTGGGGCCTGTGATGAAGCTCAGGTGAAGCAGGCAGCTGTAGCTGAAACTGTAGCCAAAACTGTTGTTGAGATTGTAACTGAAACTGAAACTGTAGCTGAAACCTCAGCTGAAACTGTGGCAGAAACTGAAGTGAAAAGTGCAGCTGAAACCGTTGCTAAAGCTGAAGCTGATGCTGCTGACGGTGTAAGTGGGTTGCTGCAGCCTGGGTCCTCACCTGGGCGGTCTGCTGGGGGAACAAAGCCTCTGGCAGGTGCTGAGAGTGACGTGGCTTCAGGTGCTTCTTCAGGTGTTTTTTCAGGTGGTTCAGACAGTGGAGTGTCTGAGGTGGAAGGGGCGTATGAGAGTGCGGAGGGGTCTGAAGGGGAGGAGGAGAGTGGGGAGCACGAGGCCAGGAGGACAGAAGAGAAGGAGCAGCAAGAGAAGGAGCTGAAACAGGAAGGAAAGGAGGTAAAAGGGGCGGCGGATGGGGCGAGGGAGGGGGAGGGGGAGGGGAAGGGAACTGCAGAGTTGCAGGTTGGTTCAGAGGGGAAAGCTCCAAAAGGTAGTGCGAGTGGGGATGGGAGTCAGCACTCACAGCCCAATGCTCGTGAGGGAGAAAAGCAGCAGCAGCAGCAGCAGCAGCAGCAGCAGCAGCAGTCGAAGCGAGCAGTGAGCATTCGTCGGCCTTTCTCCATGTTCCCAACCGCCTTCCTCTCCTCCCTAGGGTTCCTCTCTGGCGCCTCCTCCTCCGCCTCCTCCCCTTCCTCCACCTCGCCTCCAGCAGGGAAAACCCCCTCTGAAGCACCATCGGAAGCTCTATCCCAAGGGGCAGGTAATGCATCAGTGCGGGCAGCAGACGGATCAGAAGGACCAGAAGAAACAGCAGGGCCGTCGGTGGGGGATAAGTCACAGGCAGCCTCCAGTGCAGCAACAGCTGATGATTCCGGTGCTTCACCTGCTGCTGCTGCTGGTCTGGGTGTGGATGTGTCCGCCTCAGCAACTGTAGCAGCAGTAGCAGGAGAAGAAGACACAGCAGCTGCAGCAGTGAAAGACGCGTCTAAGAAGGCTGCAGCGGGTGGTTCTGCTCCAGCTGCTACAGCAGGAGGTTCCCTAGTGGAACCACGCGCAGGGTCTAGGGGCAGAGAGAGAAAGGGGAAGAATTCGGGTGTGGGCAGGGAAGGGGCGGGAAAAGGGTTGACTGGGCAGCAGGGCAGCAAGCAGCGGGCAGGCGTGAGGGCAGCGGCCCCTGAATCTGGCGCTGGTGCTGGCGACAGCAAGAGCAGTGGAAGCAAGGAGGAGAGAAGAGAGGGGGGGCATGGGCATACGAAGCTTGACTGGCTAGTTTCGAGGCTGGAGAGTTTGGGGGATTCCGAGGTGCCGCTGGGAGGAGGGATAGTGAAGGTTTTTGAACAAATAGGGGTGGAGCATGGAGATGGGGAGGATGATGGGGGGTTTGTTACTGTGCAGTCGAAACGGGGGCGGAGGGAGCAGCGGGAGAGGGAGCAGAGGGAGAGGGAGCGAGAGGAGAGGGAGAGGGCGAGGGAGAAGGAGAAGGAGAAGGAAAGGGAGAGGGAGAAGGAGAGGGAGAAGGAGAGGGAGCGAGAGCGGGAAGTGAAGACTCGAAGGCGGGAGCAACGTGTGAGTGCAATAGTCTGTCTGTGTGCTGCACTTTCAGTTTCATATCTGCACTTTCAGTTTCAGTTACCCTAACGTTACCAGTAACGGTTTTGCCTCCAAACCTTTTTGGCTTTGTTTTCTCCCACCCCCCCCCCCCCCTCCTTTGTCTGTTATGTAAATCTCTGTTCCTGTTTCTACCTGTCATCTTCATATATGAATGAAATTGTATTTTTTGCAGATGAAGGAACAGCAGCAGCAGCAGCAGCAAAAGCGCAAACGCCCAGTCAATCCAAACACCACTGGCGTTGGTGTGACCCTCCCTGCTACAACGGCTGCTACAGCTTCTGCTGAAACTGCAGTCACGGTTTCTATTGCTGCTGCTGGTGGTGATGAGCAGGTAAGCTTATTAGACTTCATATTCAGGCCTGTTCATCTTTGCAAGTCCAGTTTCCTGTCCCCTTGACTGAAACATGCGTTCCTCTCCTGTCCCCTTGGCCTAAGCATGTTGCTGTTGTTTTTTTTGTTTTTTTTTTTTTTCAAGCAGATTCCTCTTCCTGCGCCTGAGTCTGTGAAACCCACTTCTGCGCTGCTTTCTGCAACTGCATCAAGAGGCAACCCTGTCACGCATGCTGTGCCAGCTGTGGCACCTCCTCCCAGGATACTTGTCACTCCTCCCATGGCTGCTCCAGTGGTTGCTTCGGTGGTGGTTGCTTCGGCGGCTGCTTCGGTGGTGGTTGCTTCGGCGGCTGCTTCGGTGGTGGTTGCTTCGGCGGTTGCTCCAGTGCAACTCCAGCAGACGCACCAGAAGCAGCAACAGAATAGTCAGGAGCAGCAGAAACAGCAGCAGCAGCTGCAACAACCGCAGCAACAGGAGCAGGGAGAGCAGGGAGGGGGAGAGCAAGGAGAGCAGGCGCAGAGGAAGGGGCAGCAGAAGCAGGGCCGGCAGAGGGGCAGCAGGGGAGGTAGGGGCGACAGGGGAGGGAAGCAGCGTCAGGAGTGGCGAGTGGCTGGAGGCCCTGATGCGAGCTGTGATCAGCCGCCAGCTCAGCAGCAGCCGACACAGCAGCAGCCATCTCAGCAGCAGGTGCAGGAGCAACCAGAGAAGCTGCTGCAGCAGGAACGTGAAGGACAGGGGTTGGAGGAACAGCAGCCACAGACAGAACAGCAGCAGCAGCAGCAGCCGCTGCAGCAACAGGAACAACAGAAGCAGGTGCAGCAGCAGCAGCAAGAGAAGGGGCAACAAGAGCAGCACAAGAAAGACGAGGAGCAGCACAAGGCAGGGGGTGAAGTAGGTGTGGTGCTGCTACAGCTGAACCAGCATCAGCAGCATCATCTGCCGGTGCTGCAACAGCAGCAGGAGCAGGGGCAGCAGCAGGAGCAGGGACAGCAGCAGGAGCAGCCGCAGAAGCAGCAGCAGGAGGAAAGGCAGCAGCAGCAGCAGCAGCAGCAGGAGGGGCAGCAGTTGGTATCAGCCCCAGGTGATGGTTTCACTCCAACTAATGCCATGCCCCCCTTTCCAATAGCACCAGGAGCTCTGCCCGCTTCTGCCGCCCCAAGCTTCCACCCCATGCATATGTTCCCAGGCATGGTACCCCATCAGGCCATGGTAACGAATCAAGGTATGATGAACCCCCAAGGTATGATGAACCCCCAAGGTATGATGAACCCCCAAGGTATGATGAACCCCCAAGGTATGATGAACCCTCAGGGTATGATGATGCCTCAGGGGATGCTGCCCCATATGCCCTTGTCCCATTTCCCCATGCCCCAGCCGCATGCTCTTCCACATGTGGCCCATGGCATGCCTGGTCACGCCATGCCAAACCATGCCATGCACCCTACTCATGCCACGCCAAACCATGCCATGCACTCGGGTCCTCCCATGATGCTCTTTCCTGGGCCTCCTTTTCCCAATGGGCAGTTCGGGCAGGTGGGTCAGCCCATGCAAGCAGGCATTTCCCTGTCAAATTCCGGGCAGGTTGGAGGAACGGGGCAGGAAGGATTGGGGCACGTAGGTATGGGGCAGGTAGGAGTGGGGCAGGCGGGTATGGGTTTTCCTATGTCACAGTATGGCCAAGGGGTATATAATGTGAGTGCAAGCACCCAAACGTACATGGGGCATCAGCAGCAGCAGCAGCAGCAGCAGCAACCAACGCAGAAGAAAGAGGAGGGAAACAGCCAGAAAGGCAGGCAGAGGCAGAAGCAGCGGCACAAGCAGCAGCAGGGAGGGGTGGCCGAAAGGGGAAACCAGTCAGTTAATCAGTCAGGCAGTCAGTCTCAGTCACAGTCTGACGAATCACGGAACGCGTCGCACTCGCGATTAGAAGTGCCTGGCAGCATGGGTCGCGCTCGTGGAGGTGTCGTTCCTCCTCCGCGGTTCCAGCAGCAGCAGAGTCAGCAGCAGCGGCAGCAGCAGGTGCAGGGGCATACACAGCAGCAGTGGCAGCAGCAGCACCGCTACATGCAGCAACAGCAACAGCAACAGCAGCAGCAGCAGCAAAACGTACAGACCCAGCAGCAGCAGCAGCAGCAGCAGCAGCAGCAGCAGCAGCAGGGCGTGCGTGATGGTTCGGCAGTGATGGTACTTGGTCAGCAGCCACAGGTAGTGTTCCCTGTTCACCTGCCTTCGCCTTAAGTGTTTGAGATTCTCTCAACCTGCCTTTGCCTCTTCTTATGCAAATATTAGAAACTGTAGTGTTTCCTGCTTCACCTGGTTGGCCTTTTACCGTTGATGTTACCTGTTCATTCCTTCATTCTTCTCCACACCCCCACGTCCCTGCAGGTGTCACAACAGCAGCCCTCACAGCAGCAGCCCTTACAACAGCAGTCCATGCCTTACCACTGGCCACACCTTCCCCAGTTTCCACCTCCCCCCATGGGCCCTGCATTGCCTTCCCCCCCCATCGGTCCCTCCCTCCTCCCATTCCCTCCTCCTGCTCTTTTCTCCTCTCAACACCTTCAACCCCAACCCACTCAACAGTCTTTCGCAGCAGCGCCGCCCCTGCTTTCCCATACCAGCGCCCCAGCTTCGGCTACGTCACATGCCGAAGCAGCCGGTGGTATGGCAGGCTCCCAAGCCTTGAAGCTAGGCTTGGAGGGTGGTAGCAGGGGTGGAGGTGAGAAAGACGGGGGAGGAAGCTGGGTAGAAGGAAGCGGGAAGGAAGGTCGGGAGCAGATTCTTGGAGTGTCTGCTAGTCCCAGGGAAGCTTCTGCAACAGCCGCTGCTGCTGTCGGCGTTGGTGCTGTCAAAACAGATGCTGCTGTTGCAGCAACGGCAGATGACAGCTCTGCTACTACTGCCACTGCCGATGCTGCGGCTGTGGCTGCTTCTACATCTTCTGGCATTACCGCCTCCAGCGCGATCGACGATCATCGGTTCCCAGAAACTCTGGGTGATGGGGACACCACCTTGATTTCCGGCAATGCCAGCTTGACTTCATCCTCTGTGCCGCACTCAAGCGCCCAGTCCCTCTCCTCTCGCCCTCTGCTGCACACACATGCTCAGCATGCCGCTCCTTCCCTGCAGTCGATCCCTTACCGTGGGCCTGTGCTTGGGGTGCCAGGGCAACATCAGACTGGGGTGGTGGTGCAAGGGAGCATGGCAGGAGCAGCAGCACAGACAATGGCACAGTCAGCAGGAGTGGGGATGGTAGGAGCGGGTGGTTTGCCCGTTTCCCTTCCCAATGTCTACCTTTCACAGCTTGGGCCTGTACCTGTAGGAATGGCAGGAGGTATGGCAGGAGGAGTGGCAGCCTCACAGCGGTATGGAAATAGGTTTGGCGGAGGCTCGGACCAAGGCATGGGCTACTACCAAGGCAGGCCTGCTGGCCCGGGTGGGAACAAGAGGCGGCCTCGCCAGCCGCCGAGGCTCACCCGAGCCTCTGCTGGAGGTTCGGGAGGAGATGGTTTGGGTGGTAACCAGCAGGGTAGTGTGATATCTGGCAACCAGGCAAGTCTTAATTCGCCGGGGGGTTTGATCTCACATCAGCATGGCTACTCTGGATAGCAATGGTTGCTGCATGGGGGTATGAAGGGTTGTGGCGCAGAGCAGCAGGAGAGAAAGGGCGCAGAGCAGGTGGGTGTGTGTGTTGGGAGAGGCATGGATGCATTTGATTTGTGGGTAACGAGAGGCAGGCAGTAGCACGAGAAAGCTGCGAAACCCCAGCACGTGTTGTTTTGTTTTCTGGGCAGCTCAGCTTAAGGTTGGACCTGGTTAATGGGTTGACTTGTTTGGCTGCAGAATTGCTTTGATTTGATTCTTGATTGCTTAATCTCTGGTTGGGTGTTGGGCTAGGTTGCTTTTGTATGAGATTATTTTTAATTGTACATCATCAGATGCCAGGTTGGAACATGTGGTGGTGAATTGTGCAGAACAGAAGTCATGATTATTGTGAGCTGTAGCACATGCAATGCAATGTCATACCGGATCTTTCCTGTTTCTAATTAGCGTTGCCATTAGGAATCGTATTGTTGCGTTGGGTTGGATTTGGCAGCATTACAAGAAGAATACAGAGCAGCGTGTTCTGTAGGGTGCACTACCTGCTAACCTTATACATCCACATCAGCATGGTGGGGTAGTATTGAGTGTTTCTCATTTTCCCCATTTACTTCCTGCCTCCATTTTGTTGCTCGTAAGGTACTTAGTTTCTGCAGGTTTACTTTTCCGTGCACTGTAGTATGCGAGTTATGGTCAGGTTTGGGTTTTACTCTGCTTCGCCTGATCGGCAATCCCAAGGCACAGGTTGTGGTGATCACGTCACCTCTCCCTGATATCACGATTTTCTGACATTCTGGTCCTTCTTTTCCTGACACCTGCGAGGGCGGCACCGCGAACAAGTCCTCTTTCTTACTCCTCTAGCGACTAGCATTGCTTCCTTCTTCGGCGGTAGTTGCAATGGCTCCGCCAGCCACCGCGAAAGCTTCCAGTGAGGTGGGTGATCAACGTTACCGCTCCGACGGTCCAGATCGATATCAACTTGAATATCCTGTCAGGCTAGAGTCAACCTGCCATGCGCACGAATCTGGCACGCGTAGTTGCATTGGCTCCTCTCCACCATGCCTGATCCGGCGTGCGCATGTAATGCTTGTTTCCGAATCGCATGTCGGCATGTTAAGATGGAATAGGCTCTTCGCAATGGCAAGTCAAGTTCGGGAGTCCTATGCAGAGTCGGGGTAGTAGTATTCTATTCTTTAGAACAGCATTCGGATTCTTTGTAGTTGCAAGAACTAGCATGGATTTCGAGTTTAAAGAGTTTCGACTCGTCTCTAAAGTAACTTCTTTCTAGGGACGACATCTCAGTCTCGTACGTGCGAAAATCCAGCAGGGTTTTTTTAATCCACTTTCTTGCAGTTCGTCAATTCTAGCTTGCAGAAGGGATGAGAGAATCTAAGAATGCAAGACTTCGATATTCACAGGGACGGCAAAGTCGTTTCGTAAGACAAGCAGCCAACGCCTTTCACACGATCACTCCATTACCCGATTGCTCTTAGATACGCTCACCAGATTCGGTGAAGCAGCCAGCGTCGATCACCTGATCACTTGCTCAGCCTTAGATAAGCTTACAACATTCTTTCCTTGTTGATGCGTCTTGGCATCTCCCATTCTGATCCTATGAGGCCTTTCCCGTTTGATACTTCAACCCCGTACTTTATAAGGCCCATCATCAGGCAGCACGAATTCGCCGTAAACGCGTCTCCCGACCATCCCCCACTTCCTCTTCTGCATCTCGTCTCCCCTCTCGCCCTTCACAGGCTCAGCCACAGGAGGGCGCGAAGAGCCACGTGCGGCGGGACCTGCTGCTGCAGATTCAGGCGGCCGTGCAGAAGCAGTGGGAGGAGGAGAAGGTATTCGAGGCCACGGCCAAGGAGGGAGCAGTTGCTGGGTCCGGCCCTCGTGATGACCGCTTCTTTGGCAACTTCCCCTACCCCTACATGAACGGGCTGCTGCATTTGGGTCACGCGTTCACTCTTTCTAAGGTGAGACTGAGTCACTGAGGCCTGTGCTACACAGCCTCCTGGGGTGGGACCGCGTCACTGAGGCCAAGGAGGGCGCAGCTGCTGGGTCCGGCCCTCGCGATGACCGCTTCTTTGGCAACTTCCCTTCCCCTATCCCTCCACCATGAACGGGCTGCTGCACCTGGGCCACGCTTTCACTCTCTCCAAGGTGAGAGCGAGTCACTGAGGCCTGTGTTACACAGCCTCCTGGGTTCTGGCCCTCGCGATGACCGCTTCTTTGGCAACTACTTCTACCCCTACATGAACGGTCTGCTGCATTTGGGCCATGCCTTCACTCCCTCCAAGGTGAGAAAAACTGCTCTTCACAATGCATGCCTCGTCTGTGGTCGATTTACATGCGCCTTTTCCCCCCTATCCCTACATGAACGGCCTGTTGCATTTGGGTCACGCGTTCACTCTCTCCAAGGTGAGAATGAGTCACCGAGGCCTGTGTTACACAGCAGCCCCCTTGGGGTCTGGCCCTCGTGATGACCGCTTTTTTGGCAACTTCCCCTATCCTTACATGAACCGCCTGCTGCATTTGGGTCACGCGTTCACTCTCTACAAGGTGAGAAAAAACTGCTCTTCACAACACATGCCTCGTCTGTGGTCGATTTACAAGCGCCTTTCCCTCTTATTCCTACGGGCCTGCTGCATTTGGGCCATGCGTTCATTCTCTCCCTGGTGAGAACTTTTTGACATGCTGTGCTGTGCCGTTCCATGCTGTGCACCGCATTTGAACTACGCGTTTTCCAAAAGCAGCAGCAGCAGCAGCAGCAGCAGCAGCAGCAGCAGCAGCAGCAGCAGCAGCAGCAGCAGCAGCTTACAATCGCCCTACTCACACACTCTAACCCCCTTCTCCCCATCCTGCACCCGTTGCACCTTTTTCTCTGTCCTTTCGCACCTAGTGCAGGTGGAGTTCGCAGCATCGTACCACCGGCTGAGGGGAGCTAATGTGTTGTTCCCCTTCGGCTTCCACTGCACTGGCATGCCCATCAAGGTGCGTGCGTGCTGCATGATAGATAAGTCTTTTTGTTCTGTAAACAAATCAATGCATGTATCGTGCTCCTCCCCTCCCCTTCGGGTTCCAGTGCATAGGAATCTCCTGTTAACCGCCCTCCCTTCCCTCTGCCCCCACACCAGGTGCGTGTGGACACATACGGGGTACCCGCCCCAGTTCCCCAGTAAGGGGGGTGTTTTGTTTCCATCGCCATACTACCTTTTCGTCCTTTTCCTCCCCACCACTTCCTTCCAGGCGTGTGCTGACAAGCTAGCGCGTGAGATAGACACGTATGGTTACCCGCCCCTGTTCCCCAGCGAGGAGGAAACGGCGGCTCTGGAGGCACCTCATTCTTATAACCCCCCCACCCCATCTCCCTCCCGTTCATCCCCTTCCCCCCTCACCAGGCGTGTGCGGACAAGCTAGCCCGCGAGATGGACACGTACGGCTACCCGCCGCAGTTCCCCTGCGAGGAGGAAACGGCGACTCTGGAGGCCCTCTCCATTGCGGAGGGCAGCGCGTCTGACCCCATCCCTTTCGCCCCTCCCCTGCCCCCCTCACCAGGCGTGCGCAGACAAGCTAGCGCGTGAGATGGACACATACGGGTATCCACCCCAGTTCCCCAGCGAGGAGGAAGCGGCGGCTCTGGAGGCACTCTCCATTGCGGAGGGCAGTGCTGCTGCAGAGGGGGGGGATGGGGCGGCCACGGACGGGGCTAAGGGGGAGGAGCAGAAGGCCCCTGGGCAGTTCAAGGGGAAGAAGGTGAGGATTTCTTCCCGGCGTGGATAGGTGGGGATGATGATTTTGGAATTTCAGCTGAGGGGTTAAATGAGGGGATGGCGGTGGTGATGGTGTCATAGTGTGGGTCTGGGACTGGAGCTCACAACTTTTTCTTCAGCTCTCGCGTTTGTCAGCATCCCATCCCATCAGCATCCCTGCCCCTAGTTTTTCACCCCTTTCTCCCTCCCTCTCATCTCTCCCTCGCCCCTTCCTGCCCCCTCCACCTAATTTCCTGACAGTCCAAGGCGGCTGCCAAGACAGGGACGGCCAAGTACCAGGTAAGGGAGGTGGCAGTAGGGGTGGCGGAGCTGGTTGGGGGATGTGGCACAGTTGGTAGGGGTATGTGGCATCATGTGACATGACGTGACGTCATGTTGGTCATACATACCCATGGTCCATGGACCATCCAGGCATGTCTGCACATATGCATCTCAACCTCTCAATGCGCATGCCCTGTTATCTTCTCTCACCGTTTCTGATCCCGCTTCAACCTTTCTCACCCCATTTCACCCTTTTACAACTATTCCCACCCCTCTACAACTATTCTCACCCCCCATTGCACCTCTTTTTCCTCACATGTACTCATCCTTTCTCACACCTTCTCACCCGTTCTTACCCCTTTCCACCCCTTCACACTCCTTTCCGCCCTATCTCACCTCTTTGCACTCCTTCCCACCGCCAGTGGGAGATCATGCGGTCTATGGGCATGTCAGACGAGGAGATCAAGCCCTTCAAAGACCCTGCACACTGGCTCACCTACTTTCCCCCTATCGCTGTGGTATGTACTATGTATGTGCTGCTGCTGCTGATGCCGATTCCGCCGCCGCCGCCGCTGCTACTGCTCTCTGGTATGCTTTGCTCTGAATCGTCTCGGAATCAGACCTTGCTGCTCACTCGCTCACCAGCTTTCCCCCATTTCCATTCTGAGGCCCCTCAGAATTCCTTGAACTTTGTTTCGCCCCCTTACCCTCTATCCTTCCATATTCCCCCATTGCTCATGCTCTCAGGACGATCTCAAAGCCTTTGGGCTGGGTGTGGACTGGCGGCGCTCCTTCATCACCACGGACATGAACCCCTACTATGACTCCTTTGCTCGCTGGCACCTGCAGTCGCTCTATAACAAGGGCAAGGTGCGTCTGTGTGGCATGGGCATGGGTGCACATAGGTGGGTGCATTTCTCCCTCGTCACATCACCACGGACATGAACCCCTACTAGTACTACGATTCGTTTGCGCGCTGGCACCTGCAGTCGCTCTATAACAAGGGCAAGGTATGTCCCATCCCATGGCATCTAGATGTGTGCACGTCAGACCGTGGGTGCACATGGGTGCATCCGCTCCTTCATCACCACGGACATGAACCCCTACTATGACTCCTTTGCACGCTGGCACCTGCAGACGCTCTACAACAAGGGCAAGGTAGTTGGCACGTTGATGGGTGCATGTTGATTGGTGCACATAGGTAGGTGGGACCGTTCCTTCCATCACCGCGCACTTGAACCCGTACTACGACTCGTTTGCTCGCTGGCACCTGCCGTCTCTTTAGAGCAAGGGCAAGGTAGGTGGCATGGGCAAGGTGGGTGCAGGCTGATGGGTGCACATAGGTGGGTGTCCCCCTCCTTCATCACCACAGACATGAACTCCTACTATGACTCGTTTGCTCGCTGGCACCTGCAGTCGCTCTATAACAAGGGCAAGGTGCGTCTGTGTGGCATGGGCATGGGTGCACATAGGTGGGTGCATTTCTCCCTCGTCACATCACCACGGACATGAACCCCTACTAGTACTACGATTCGTTTGCGCGCTGGCACCTGCAGTCGCTCTATAACAAGGGCAAGGTATGTCCCATCCCATGGCATCTAGATGTGTGCACGTCAGACCGTGGGTGCACATGGGTGCATCCGCTCCTTCATCACCACGGACATGAACCCCTACTATGACTCCTTTGCACGCTGGCACCTGCAGACGCTCTACAACAAGGGCAAGGTAGTTGGCACGTTGATGGGTGCATGTTGATTGGTGCACATAGGTAGGTGGGACCGTTCCTTCCATCACCGCGCACTTGAACCCGTACTACGACTCGTTTGCTCGCTGGCACCTGCCGTCTCTTTAGAGCAAGGGCAAGGTAGGTGGCATGGGCAAGGTGGGTGCAGGCTGATGGGTGCACATAGGTGGGTGTCCCCCTCCTTCATCACCACAGACATGAACTCCTACTATGACTCGTTTGCTCGCTGGCACCTGCAGTCGCTCTATAACAAGGGCAAGGTATGTCCCATCCCATGGCATCTAGATGGGTGCACATCAGACCGTGGGTGCACATGGGTGCATCCGCTCCTTCATCACCACGGACATGAACCCCTACTATGACTCCTTTGCACGCTGGCACCTGCAGACGCTCTACAACAAGGGCAAGGTAGTTGGCACGTTGATGGGTGCATGTTGATTGGTGCACATAGGTAGGTGGGACCGTTCCTTCCATCACCGCGCACTTGAACCCGTACTACGACTCGTTTGCTCGCTGGCACCTGCCGTCTCTTTAGAGCAAGGGCAAGGTAGGTGGCATGGGCAAGGTGGGTGCAGGCTGATGGGTGCACATAGGTGGGTGTCCCCCTCCTTCATCACCACAGACATGAACTCCTACTATGACTCGTTTGCTCGCTGGCACCTGCAGTCGCTCTATAACAAGGGCAAGGTGCGTCTGTGTGGCATGGGCATGGGTGCACATAGGTGGGTGCATTTCTCCCTCGTCACATCACCACGGACATGAACCCCTACTAGTACTACGATTCGTTTGCGCGCTGGCACCTGCAGTCGCTCTATAACAAGGGCAAGGTATGTCCCATCCCATGGCATCTAGATGTGTGCACGTCAGACCGTGGGTGCACATGGGTGCATCCGCTCCTTCATCACCACGGACATGAACCCCTACTATGACTCCTTTGCACGCTGGCACCTGCAGACGCTCTACAACAAGGGCAAGGTAGTTGGCACGTTGATGGGTGCATGTTGATTGGTGCACATAGGTAGGTGGGACCGTTCCTTCCATCACCGCACACTTGAACCCGTACTACGACTCGTTTGCTCGCTGGCACCTGCCGTCTCTTTAGAGCAAGGGCAAGGTAGGTGGCATGGGCAAGGTGGGTGCAGGCTGATGGGTGCACATAGGTGGGTGTCCCCCTCCTTCATCACCACAGACATGAACTCCTACTATGACTCGTTTGCTCGCTGGCACCTCCAGTCGCTCTATAACAAGGGCAAGGTATGTCCCATCCCATGGCATCTAGATGGGTGCACATCAGACCGTGGGTGCACATGGGTGCATCCGCTCCTTCATCACCACGGACATGAACCCCTACTATGACTCCTTTGCACGCTGGCACCTGCAGACGCTCTACAACAAGGGCAAGGTAGTTGGCACGTTGATGGGTGCATGTTGATTGGTGCACATAGGTAGGTGGGACCGTTCCTTCCATCACCGCGCACTTGAACCCGTACTACGACTCGTTTGCTCGCTGGCACCTGCCGTCTCTTTAGAGCAAGGGCAAGGTAGGTGGCATGGGCAAGGTGGGTGCAGGCTGATGGGTGCACATAGGTGGGTGTCCCCCTCCTTCATCACCACAGACATGAACTCCTACTATGACTCGTTTGCTCGCTGGCACCTGCAGTCGCTCTATAACAAGGGCAAGGTATGTCCCATCCCATGGCATCTAGATGGGTGCACATCAGACCGTGGGTGCACATGGGTGCATCCGCTCCTTCATCACCACGGACATGAACCCCTACTATGACTCCTTTGCACGCTGGCACCTGCAGACGCTCTACAACAAGGGCAAGGTAGTTGGCACGTTGATGGGTGCATGTTGATTGGTGCACATAGGTAGGTGGGACCGTTCCTTCCATCACCGCGCACTTGAACCCGTACTACGACTCGTTTGCTCGCTGGCACCTGCCGTCTCTTTAGAGCAAGGGCAAGGTAGGTGGCATGGGCAAGGTGGGTGCAGGCTGATGGGTGCACATAGGTGGGTGTCCCCCTCCTTCATCACCACAGACATGAACTCCTACTATGACTCGTTTGCTCGCTGGCACCTGCAGTCGCTCTATAACAAGGGCAAGGTATGTCCCATCCCATGGCATCTAGATGGGTGCACATCAGACCGTGGGTGCACATGGGTGCATCCGCTCCTTCATCACCACGGACATGAACCCCTACTATGACTCCTTTGCACGCTGGCACCTGCAGACGCTCTACAACAAGGGCAAGGTAGTTGGCACGTTGATGGGTGCATGTTGATTGGTGCACATAGGTAGGTGGGACCGTTCCTTCCATCACCGCGCACTTGAACCCGTACTACGACTCGTTTGCTCGCTGGCACCTGCCGTCTCTTTAGAGCAAGGGCAAGGTAGGTGGCATGGGCAAGGTGGGTGCAGGCTGATGGGTGCACATAGGTGGGTGTCCCCCTCCTTCATCACCACAGACATGAACTCCTACTATGACTCGTTTGCTCGCTGGCACCTGCAGTCGCTCTATAACAAGGGCAAGGTATGTCCCATCCCATGGCATCTAGATGGGTGCACATCAGACCGTGGGTGCACATGGGTGCATCCGCTCCTTCATCACCACGGACATGAACCCCTACTATGACTCCTTTGCACGCTGGCACCTGCAGACGCTCTACAACAAGGGCAAGGTAGTTGGCACGTTGATGGGTGCATGTTGATTGGTGCACATAGGTAGGTGGGACCGTTCCTTCCATCACCGCGCACTTGAACCCGTACTACGACTCGTTTGCTCGCTGGCACCTGCCGTCTCTTTAGAGCAAGGGCAAGGTAGGTGGCATGGGCAAGGTGGGTGCAGGCTGATGGGTGCACATAGGTGGGTGTCCCCCTCCTTCGTCACCACAGACATGAACTCCTACTATGACTCGTTTGCTCGCTGGCACCTGCAGTCGCTCTATAACAAGGGCAAGGTATGTCCCATCCCATGGCATCTAGATGGGTGCACATCAGACCGTGGGTGCACATGGGTGCATCCGCTCCTTCATCACCACGGACATGAACCCCTACTATGACTCCTTTGCACGCTGGCACCTGCAGACGCTCTACAACAAGGGCAAGGTGTGTCCCGTGGGTGGCATGTGGATTGGTGCACGCTGATGGGTGTATGTAGATGGGTGCATATCTCCTTCATCACCACGGACATGAATCCGTACTATGACTCGTTTTGCACGCTGGCACCTGCTGACCCTTTACCACAAGGGCAAGGTGACCCCAAATCCCTTGTTCCCTCCTCCCCACCTCCCCCCCCGCCTTGACAGGTGGTGAAGGACCGGCGGTACACCATCTTCTCGCCTCTGGACGGTCAGCCCTGTGCGGACCGTGATAGTAAATACCTCTTTCTCACTCATTCCTCCCTCCCCCCACTCTTTCCGTTGGAATCGCCACTGGTTTCCCCTTGCTCTTCTTGTGGCTACCAGGTGGTGAAGGACCGGCGGTACACCATCTTCTTGCTGCTGGATGGGCAGCCCTGTGCCAACCATGACAGGCAATGCCCCCTTCCCACGTACCCACCACTCTCCCTCCTTCTTCCCCCTCAACCTGCACTGTTTCCCTCTTTCTCTCTCACTCCCCCCACCAGGTGGTGAAGGACCGGCGGTACACCATCTTCTCGCCGCTGGACAGGCAGCCCTGTGCCGACCATGACAGGCCAGTCCCTTTCATCCCCCTCTTGTCCCCACCATTTCTGCGGGTTTCCCCGTTTCCCCCTTGCTCTCCCCCTTCTGGTCACCAGGTGGTGAAGGACCGCCGCTACACCATCTTCTCGCCGCTGGACGGGCAGCCCTGTGCCGACCATGACAGGGCGTCAGGGGAGGGCGTGCTGCCTCAGGAGTACACACTCATCAAGATGCAAGTTGTGCCGCCGCTCACAGGTACGTGGCACAGCTCTCATGTGCCACCCTTAACAGAAATGCGATCTCGGGCACCATCACAGGGCGTCAAGGGAGGGGCGTCAGGGGAGGGCGTGCTGCCTCAGGAGTACACTCTCATTAAGATGCAAGTCGTGCCGCCGCTCACAGGTGCGTGAGTGAACCCTTTTAGTAGCCTGTGAGCCTGTGAGGGCTGTGAGGAGGGCTGTGAGGGCAGGGCGTGCTGCCTCAGGAGTACGTGAGTGAACCCTTTTAGTAGCCTGTGAGGGCTGTGAGGAGGGCTGTGAGGGGAGGGCGTGCTGCCTCAGGAGTACACTCTCATTAAGATGCAAGTGCTGCCGCCCCTCACAGGTGCCTTTCCTTACCTACCCTTTCTAGCACATCACACGTCATAGTCATACGTGCTTGTGCTTTTTCATAAAGCAATCACGGCCTGCCTCACCTGGCCTTTCTATCCTACCTATCCTTGTGGCCGAGTTTTGAGAATTTTGGAGAATTGCCTTCCCATGCTTTTGATTGTCCCTGCCTCCCATCCACCCCCCATTATCCTTATGCACCCAGAAATTCTAAATTTCCTGTTTTTTTCCCCATGTGCTTTGCAACCAATGCCAGGCAAGCTCGAGGCTCTTGCGGGCAGAAATATTTTTCTCGCCGCTGCCACGCTGCGCCCGGAGACCATGTATGGGCAGACAAACGCTTGGGTGCTGCCAGATGGGCAGTATGGCGCGTTTGAAGTGAACGAAGCGGGAGACGTGTTTGTGGTAACCAAGCGATCGGCTCTGAACCTCTCCTACCAGTTCCACTCCAAGGTGAAGCGCACTATGCTTAAAGCAGCCCCAGTGTTCGAAGCAACCCCTCTGTAAATAGGTGGTCTTCTATCGCTGCCCTGCCTCTCGTGGCCTTTTCTCGCTCGATTATCTCTCGTGTTTGTGGTAACCAGGCGATCCGCTCTGTACCCTTAAAGCCCTACCAGTTCCGCTCCTCGAGCAAGGAATCATTATGCTCCGAGCAACCCTTGTCTTGGTAGTGGCTATTTTGTCGCTCCCCTATTATTCGTGCCTGCCGTCCCTCAGTCGTATGCTGCTCTCCTCTGTACCGTAATCGCCCCTTCTCCCGCTACAGGAGTTTGGCAAGCCGAACTGCCTGCTGGAGCTGACGGGGCACGACCTGATTGGCCTGCCTCTCAAGGCGCCTCTGACGCCCAACCCGGTCATCTACGCCCTGCCCATGCTCACCATTCTCACGGACAAAGGTGTGATGCTCTGTCAGTCTTAGAAGCAGATGTGCTGAGTCAAAGGTGCACGTACCATGTTCACCTGCCTCTCAAGGCGCCTCTGACGCCCAACCCGGTCATCTACGCCCTGCCCATGCTCACCATTCTCACGGACAAAGGTGTGATGCTCTGTCAGTCTTAGAAGCAGATGTGCTGAGTCAAAGGTGCACGTACCATGTTCACCTGCCTCTCAAGGCGCCTCTGACGCCCAACCCGGTCATCTACGCCCTGCCCATGCTCACCATTCTCACGGACAAAGGTGTGATGCTCTGTCAGTCTTAGAAGCAGATGTGCTGAGTCAAAGGTGCACGTACCATGTTCACCTGCCTCTCAAGGCGCCTCTGACGCCCAACCCGGTCATCTACGCCCTGCCCATGCTCACCATTCTCACGGACAAAGGTGCTTGCTTCGGTAATCTGAGATTGAGCTTCAAACAACTACATGCCATCTCTGGTTCGCACCCCTCTCTCGCTCACTCTTCTGCCTCTGTGCTCTCCTTCCCCCTCCCCCCGTATTCTTTCTCTGACTCTCTCTCACATGGCACATCCATGTGCATGCATGCAGGCACGGGAGTGGTGACGAGTGTGCCTAACGATGCACCGGACGAACGACTACATGGCTCTTCTCTTGCCCTCTCTGGTTCTCCCCCCTCTCACTCACTCTTCTGCGTCTGTGTACCCTCTCCCCCACCCTGCAGGCACGGGAGTGGTGACGAGTGTGCCCAGCGATGCACCGGACGACTACATGGCACTGCAGGACCTCAAGAGCAAGCCTGGTGAGCCGTGGGGTACATGTCACGATGCATCCATACAGACATGCATGCATACACATGTGCATAAGGTACAGTATGCACCGGACGACTACATGGCTCTGCAGGACCTCAAGAGCAAGCCTGGTGAGCCGTGGGGTACATGTCACGATGCATCCATACAGACATGCATGCATACACATGTGCATAAGGTACAGTATGCACCGGACGACTACATGGCTCTGCAGGACCTCAAGAGCAAGCCTGGTGAGCCGTGGGGTACATGTCACGATGCATCCATACAGACATGCATGCATACACATGTGCATAAGGTACAGTATGCACCGGACGACTACATGGCTCTGCAGGACCTCAAGAGCAAGCCTGGTGAGCCGTGGGGTACATGTCACGATGCATCCATACAGACATGCATGCATACACATGTGCATAAGGTACAGTATGCACCGGACGACTACATGGCTCTGCAGGACCTCAAGAGCAAGCCTGGTGAGCCGTGGGGTACATGTCACGATGCATCCATACAGACATGCATGCATACACATGTGCATAAGGTACAGTATGCACCGGACGACTACATGGCTCTGCAGGACCTCAAGAGCAAGCCTGGTGAGCCGTGGGGTACATGTCACGATGCATCCATACAGACATGCATGCATACACATGTGCATAAGGTACAGTATGCACCGGACGACTACATGGCTCTGCAGGACCTCAAGAGCAAGCCTGGTGAGCCGTGGGGTACATGTCACGATGCATCCATACAGACATGCATGCATACACATGTGCATAAGGTACAGTATGCACCGGACGACTACATGGCTCTGCAGGACCTCAAGAGCAAGCCTGGTGAGCCGTGGGGTACATGTCACGATGCATCCATACAGACATGCATGCATACACATGTGCATAAGGTACAGTATGCACCGGACGACTACATGGCTCTGCAGGACCTCAAGAGCAAGCCTGGTGAGCCGTGGGGTACATGTCACGATGCATCCATACAGACATGCATGCATACACATGTGCATAAGGTACAGTATGCACCGGACGACTACATGGCTCTGCAGGACCTCAAGAGCAAGCCTGGTGAGCCGTGGGGTACATGTCACGATGCATCCATACAGACATGCATGCATACACATGTGCATAAGGTACAGTATGCACCGGACGACTACATGGCTCTGCAGGACCTCAAGAGCAAGCCTGGTGAGCCGTGGGGTACATGTCACGATGCATCCATACAGACATGCATGCATACACATGTGCATAAGGTACAGTATGCACCGGACGACTACATGGCTCTGCAGGACCTCAAGAGCAAGCCTGGTGAGCCGTGGGGTACATGTCACGATGCATCCATACAGACATGCATGCATACACATGTGCATAAGGTACAGTATGCACCGGACGACTACATGGCTCTGCAGGACCTCAAGAGCAAGCCTGGTGAGCCGTGGGGTACATGTCACGATGCATCCATACAGACATGCATGCATACACATGTGCATAAGGTACAGTATGCACCGGACGACTACATGGCTCTGCAGGACCTCAAGAGCAAGCCTGGTGAGCCGTGGGGTACATGTCACGATGCATCCATACAGACATGCATGCATACACATGTGCATAAGGTACAGTATGCACCGGACGACTACATGGCTCTGCAGGACCTCAAGAGCAAGCCTGGTGAGCCGTGGGGTACATGTCACGATGCATCCATACAGACATGCATGCATACACATGTCCATAAGGTACAGTATGCACCGGACGACTACATGGCTCTGCAGGACCTCAAGAGCAAGCCTGGTGAGCCGTGGGGTACATGTCACGATGCATCCATACAGACATGCATGCATACACATGTGCATAAGGTACAGTATGCACCGGACGACTACATGGCTCTGCAGGACCTCAAGAGCAAGCCTGGTGAGCCGTGGGGTACATGTCACGATGCATCCATACAGACATGCATGCATACACATGTGCATAAGGTACAGTATGCACCGGACGACTACATGGCTCTGCAGGACCTCAAGAGCAAGCCTGGTGAGCCGTGGGGTACATGTCACGATGCATCCATACAGACATGCATGCATACACATGTGCATAAGGTACAGTATGCACCGGACGACTACATGGCTCTGCAGGACCTCAAGAGCAAGCCTGGTGAGCCGTGGGGTACATGTCACGATGCATCCATACAGACATGCATGCATACACATGTGCATAAGGTACAGTATGCACCGGACGACTACATGGCTCTGCAGGACCTCAAGAGCAAGCCTGGTGAGCCGTGGGGTACATGTCACGATGCATCCATACAGACATGCATGCATACACATGTGCATAAGGTACAGTATGCACCGGACGACTACATGGCTCTGCAGGACCTCAAGAGCAAGCCTGGTGAGCCGTGGGGTACATGTCACGATGCATCCATACAGACATGCATGCATACACATGTGCATAAGGTACAGTATGCACCGGACGACTACATGGCTCTGCAGGACCTCAAGAGCAAGCCTGGTGAGCCGTGGGGTACATGTCACGATGCATCCATACAGACATGCATGCATACACATGTGCATAAGGTACAGTATGCACCGGACGACTACATGGCTCTGCAGGACCTCAAGAGCAAGCCTGGTGAGCCGTGGGGTACATGTCACGATGCATCCATACAGACATGCATGCATACACATGTGCATAAGGTACAGTATGCACCGGACGACTACATGGCTCTGCAGGACCTCAAGAGCAAGCCTGGTGAGCCGTGGGGTACATGTCACGATGCATCCATACAGACATGCATGCATACACATGTGCATAAGGTACAGTATGCACCGGACGACTACATGGCTCTGCAGGACCTCAAGAGCAAGCCTGGTGAGCCGTGGGGTACATGTCACGATGCATCCATACAGACATGCATGCATACACATGTGCATAAGGTACAGTATGCACCGGACGACTACATGGCTCTGCAGGACCTCAAGAGCAAGCCTGGTGAGCCGTGGGGTACATGTCACGATGCATCCATACAGACATGCATGCATACACATGTGCATAAGGTACAGTATGCACCGGACGACTACATGGCTCTGCAGGACCTCAAGAGCAAGCCTGGTGAGCCGTGGGGTACATGTCACGATGCATCCATACAGACATGCATGCATACACATGTGCATAAGGTACAGTATGCACCGGACGACTACATGGCTCTGCAGGACCTCAAGAGCAAGCCTGGTGAGCCGTGGGGTACATGTCACGATGCATCCATACAGACATGCATGCATACACATGTGCATAAGGTACAGTATGCACCGGACGACTACATGGCTCTGCAGGACCTCAAGAGCAAGCCTGGTGAGCCGTGGGGTACATGTCACGATGCATCCATACAGACATGCATGCATACACATGTGCATAAGGTACAGTATGCACCGGACGACTACATGGCTCTGCAGGACCTCAAGAGCAAGCCTGGTGAGCCGTGGGGTACATGTCACGATGCATCCATACAGACATGCATGCATACACATGTGCATAAGGTACAGTATGCACCGGACGACTACATGGCTCTGCAGGACCTCAAGAGCAAGCCTGGTGAGCCGTGGGGTACATGTCACGATGCATCCATACAGACATGCATGCATACACATGTGCATAAGGTACAGTATGCACCGGACGACTACATGGCTCTGCAGGACCTCAAGAGCAAGCCTGGTGAGCCGTGGGGTACATGTCACGATGCATCCATACAGACATGCATGCATACACATGTGCATAAGGTACAGTATGCACCGGACGACTACATGGCTCTGCAGGACCTCAAGAGCAAGCCTGGTGAGCCGTGGGGTACATGTCACGATGCATCCATACAGACATGCATGCATACACATGTGCATAAGGTACAGTATGCACCGGACGACTACATGGCTCTGCAGGACCTCAAGAGCAAGCCTGGTGAGCCGTGGGGTACATGTCACGATGCATCCATACAGACATGCATGCATACACATGTGCATAAGGTACAGTATGCACCGGACGACTACATGGCTCTGCAGGACCTCGAGAGCAAGCCTGGTGAGCCGTGGGGTACATGTCACGATGCATCCATACAGACATGCATGCATACACATGTGCATAAGGTACAGTATGCACCGGACGACTACATGGCTCTGCAGGACCTCAAGAGCAAGCCTGGTGAGCCGTGGGGTACATGTCACGATGCATCCATACAGACATGCATGCATACACATGTGCATAAGGTACAGTATGCACCGGACGACTACATGGCTCTGCAGGACCTCAAGAGCAAGCCTGGTGAGCCGTGGGGTACATGTCACGATGCATCCATACAGACATGCATGCATACACATGTGCATAAGGTACAGTATGCACCGGACGACTACATGGCTCTGCAGGACCTCAAGAGCAAGCCTGGTGAGCCGTGGGGTACATGTCACGATGCATCCATACAGACATGCATGCATACACATGTGCATAAGGTACAGTATGCACCGGACGACTACATGGCTCTGCAGGACCTCAAGAGCAAGCCTGGTGAGCCGTGGGGTACATGTCACGATGCATCCATACAGACATGCATGCATACACATGTGCATAAGGTACAGTATGCACCGGACGACTACATGGCTCTGCAGGACCTCAAGAGCAAGCCTGGTGAGCCGTGGGGTACATGTCACGATGCATCCATACAGACATGCATGCATACACATGTGCATAAGGTACAGTATGCACCGGACGACTACATGGCTCTGCAGGACCTCAAGAGCAAGCCTGGTGAGCCGTGGGGTACATGTCACGATGCATCCATACAGACATGCATGCATACACATGTGCATAAGGTACAGTATGCACCGGACGACTACATGGCTCTGCAGGACCTCAAGAGCAAGCCTGGTGAGCCGTGGGGTACATGTCACGATGCATCCATACAGACATGCATGCATACACATGTGCATAAGGTACAGTATGCACCGGACGACTACATGGCTCTGCAGGACCTCAAGAGCAAGCCTGGTGAGCCGTGGGGTACATGTCACGATGCATCCATACAGACATGCATGCATACACATGTGCATAAGGTACAGTATGCACCGGACG